TTCATCCCGAGTGATTTTAACTCATATTGTTCACGTTTGAGGTTGCCTATTTGCCGAGTTAGGATTTCGAGTTGGATTTTCGAGTTAGGATATTTTTGGCGGGCTGTTTCCAATAAATTTTCAGTGGTTTTACACAACGTACTTTGTCAGCGGTGTTGCACATCGTCTTGAGGTCTTTTCAAGATGGAGGAGAACGAGGATGGCAGACCGGTAACGGCAATCTTGTTTAATCTATCCTAGTATTGCACTCGTAATTGTAATTTTGACTGAAAACAATAACTGACACTTCAATGAATGCTTTTAGTTATGAATCATTCGTTAACTTTCGAGTGTCTTTTCATTTGCGTGTCAACCATTTTTACGAAAGATTGTAAAAAATGTTTGATTTCAAGAGAATTATACACCAGACAAAACCTATGATCCCAGAAATGTTACCTTTTTATAATTTTGTTTTCAGAAGCACATGATATATCCAGGGCCGGGTGGAAGTGCCAGATATAGTAAATGATTTTCTAATACCATCAGAATTGACAATTCTGATCCCAGATCCAGAGTAACAATCCCTATCCCAGGAGCTAAAAATCTGTTCCCTGATGAAACAAATACTGCAGGTCCAATATTCTTTGTAGTAGCAAAAAACTCTACAGATTAGCTCTTTTTTTTACAGATGGTCATTGATTTAACATCAAGCCCCACCAAGAAAGACCTTTAATATGGCAGTGATAATGACTTTAAAAAGGAAGACGAGGTTGGTTTCTTGTGTTCACTTTTCCCATTGCACACAGCACACACAGGCTGTTTTATTGACATCTAAGTAATAGGTGGTTTAGCGGTTCCAAATTGCCAACAAAAGCCGTCAAAACAGTTTGCATTTTTTTAAATTTCATCTTGACTAGTGCTTTCACAAAGTTATGGAGCCATTTATAAGCAAAAAGAATTGCCACACATGCTTCATTCATGACCGATACATGTATTGTCTCCTTTAATAAGTAATAATTAAAAACTGAGGGGGGCTTTTTACAAAATTTACTTTCAGCGAAGAGATAGGGTCTTACTTGAATGAGGAAGCTTAATGCTGTGTATCCTGCCGTATGGCTGTTTTTGCTTTTTTCATACAGAATGTTGTTGATTTAACCATAAGTTAAGTTGCAGCTGGATTACTAGTAACCATCTCGAAAAAAACAACTCTACATCCTTACTGGAAATCCAAATCGAAATCCTAATTCAAAAATCTATCTCGAAATCCAACTCAAAATCCTATCTCGGAAGTTACAGGTCTAAACAGTTACGATTAACGTTTTCCTCTAGGTTTCTCTTTGTTATGCTAATTCTCAGCTGACATTTTTTGGATTAGGGGGTTCATAAAGATCAAAAACATTTTTATCACTGGCGAAGTAATAAGAATAATAATAATAATACATTTTTTTTTGTTTTTTTTTTAAAGCCAGAATCGAAAACCAAAATGTATCATCCAAATGCAGAATGTGTGGTAGCCACGATGAAACTGTGCAGCATATTTTGTGTAGTTGCCCCAAGCTTGCGCAGACAGAATATAAAAAGAGGCATGATGTTGTTGGGCGGGTCATTCATTGGGAGGTGTGCAAGGAATATGGAGTTGAGTGTAGTGACAAATGGTATGAGCATTCCCCCAAAAGCGTAGAAGAGAATGAGGAGGTTAAACTGTTGTGGGACTTTACCATCCAAACAGACCGTGAAATCCATCACAGGAGGCCAGACATTGTAATTCAGAAAAAGAAGGCAAAGGAAACAATCATTGTGGACAAAGCTGTTCCCGGAGATAGTAATATTCTGCAGAAAGAAACTGAAAAGTGTGAAAAGTACCAAGACCTGGCAAGAGAGATTCAAAGGATCTGGAAATCAAGGACAAAAGTGTTGCCAGTGGTTGTAGGTGCATTGGGTTCAGTGTCAAAGAAGCTGGCAGACCACTTGGAGCAACTAGGAATTAAAAACCGAATAACAACGATGCAAAAGTCGGCACTCCTCGGATCGGCACATATCCTCAGAAAGGTGCTGGAAGTCTGAGGTCTCGGGATGAGACTTGACTGGATATTTCTCCCCAGGGAAAATCCCTGTGCTAAATTTTACATAATAATAATAATAATAATAATAATAATAATAATAATAATAATAATAATACTATCACTCTGGGAGCGATACGAAATAACTTTTAAAAAAAGGCACTTGAAGGAAATAGGAATTGTAAACAGCTCAGGGGGTATTAGGACTATGCAAAATCTGCACTTCTTGGATAGGCCACCATTTGCAGAAAGGTCGTTGAAGGTTAAAACGCGGCGAAACTTTACGTCCAATTTTTTATAAGTCCAAATTAAAATAACCGCAAATCGAAATATTAGTGCAAGAATGAGTTGTAATATATCAGACATTTTAAAGCCGTTCAAAAACTCGCGGGAGTGTCTTATCAGGTGTAAAAACTCTCGGCTTCGCATCGAGTTTTTAAACCTGATAATACACTCCTGCTCGTTTTTAAAACAGTACATAAAACCGTCATGTTAACCGAGGCGATTTAATTCAACGATATGGTTCATTTTAAATAAACATTTAAAAATCAACAGTGGTCGACAAATAATTTTCAATATAAATTATCTAGCGCTATCAGGTGTCTTTGCTAGCTAAGATAATAGGGAGTTTTAGCAACGACGACGGCGACAGCAACGAGAACGTCAAAAAAAAAAAAAAAAAAGCTGAACCACAGGTTTATTGAGCAAAACAACAAGTTTGCAGGTGCTCACGCTTTTGTGTACATTTCTTTGCCGTCACTGCACGACTGCGACGTGAAAATGCCTAATTTTACGTTTTATGGAGGATTTTAGTTGCTGAAAAACTCTAAACATCCTTTTGCAAGAGCGGCGCGAATATCCGTCTTTAGAAAGGGTGAAACCGGTTTTAGCTTTGCCGCATTAAATTGAATTAAACGCTCTTTCCTTTTCAAGTTTTTTCGTGAGTTTATACACTTTACCCGCCGTCAGTAAATTTTTCAAAATGCTGCACTTCAGCCACGATTTCTTAGGTAAAGCTATTCTGCTTCTCAAGGATTTTAAGAGACTCTTCAGTTTTCTAACCAATTTTGACGGCAAGAAAACGGGTTTACCGTAATACAATTAACCAAAACATAATTCTTTGGTGTTAGAGAGTATGAGTACGAGGACGAGAGTGAAAAAAAACTTGAAGCAAAATATAAAGTATGTTTTATAAACGTAAACAGTTAATAACCTTTCTGCATGTGCGCATACAATTTTCCTTCTTCTCTGCCTTTCTCTTCAAGTCAACCTTCCTTCAAAGGGTGATATTTGAACGCACGTCTCCGAGACCAATAAACAAACAAAGTTTCAGTATGGGTTAATCAAGAGTTTAAATTTGGTATTAGAAACATAAAGGAAGACATATTTCTTGCAAAAAATACTAAGCATTGTTTAAGTTAAGTTAGGACTTCTTTTCAAGGGATTTCAATTCTGACGTTTCCCGCGTCTGACAATCCGTTAATTTGAGTAACGTGCCTTTGCTAATTACATACCAGTCACATACATACTTTATTGAGACTCCCTTCAACAGGCGGCTTTTCAGTCACAATGTTAACCATTACATTATAATGGTAATTAAGAAAAGAAGACTTATTTACAGTAGTTTAATTAAATTCAAAATACATCCAAATCAATATATTTCGTATGAAAGTCTCCGCTTAAAACTATCAATATCTTTATAGTGTTCTTAAAATTGTCAGCTAGCCCATTCCATTCCCTTGGACCCCGAAAATAAAATGCCCTTTGTCCCATTGACAGTCTACATTGGGGGACCACAAAATTGTTACACCCCCTAGTGTTCTTGTTGTGAACTTCTAAACGTTTGAAAAAATATTTACCTAAATAAATAAATAATCTGGAGCTTAGCCATCTAATTGTTATACGGAACCTGATCATATCTCTTGCTGCTGAATATATAGACGATATTTCAACACTCGAAGAGAAATTTCGTATCTCCAAGTGGCCATGTAATATCCTCTATATGTTCAGCAGCAAGAGATAATAAGTGAAATGCAATGATCAGTCTGTAAAAATAGTTCCGTATACCAATTAGATGGCTTAGCTCCAGTTTAATTGGCTTACCTCCAGATTACTTACTGTAAATATTTTTTTTCAAGCGGCCATGCAGTGTTCTATTTATTATATAAACACCTGTGAATTACCAAAAGATTTCACTTTTAAATATTTTTTTTTCTGTGAAGGGCGCGATTTATTATGTAGCCATAGCAACGGCGATATTTCACGTGTGAAGATAACATGTTTATATTTTCGCATGTGAAGATATCATGTTTTCGCGCGAACACTTACCTGGTATTTAAATGGTGGTTATATAATATTATACTAATAAATTCCATCCTGATATCCATGGATAGTTGAAATAAGCAACTTATGAATCGACACACCACTCTCTCCGTTTGAAACTATCAATGATTTTCACCTGCTCAATTTTTTTGTTTGGACACCTCAACCATTTATGAATTTTAGTCATTAAATTCTAACTATCTGGAGATGTGTATTTATGATAACGTTTTAGTGTTCGAGTGATATTTCGTAATTTTTAAGGCTGGACATTTTGAAAAGTTGTTTTTTTAACAAACGCTACAGCTGTGGAAACTTTTCGTTAGAATATTACGTTAAGAGCAGCATCACATCAGAATATAGCTTAATTCCTTTCAGCTGCGAAATTAGACAGTGTGCATTTAGGGAAGTCTAATACAAACTTTAATTGAGAGTGACCGTCTATTAGATAATTTACGCTTTCTTTGCTTTTGACAGAACACGTCACTGACAACGCACAAGTCAATCGAGCTCAAATTTATTAATAAATTTAGCATGCTATTATTAACAATGACTGTATTAGGGTTCCTTCCAAATTCTACTTGAGAAAACTTCCTTTTTACCGCTCTGTTACACACACACCCTGCTGATGAAAACGGCGCTATGAAATTGCAGAGGAGGCCGGATAAAGTAATTTGTTCGCTCATATTCTGCTTCATCTTTGGAGCAGTTTTGGCGGCCGAAGAAGAATCTAGATCTTCCTACATAGTAGCCCAAGAGAACAAGCGTTTACATGGCTATGCTGTAAAGAGAATCGATTCTACGGATGAAATGTCATGCAGTCAAGCTTGTTTAAGGCATTCTTGGTGTACTTCTTCTAACTTCAAAGAGTCCTCAGGCAATTGTGAACTGAACAACCACGAGTTTTCAATAACTGCAGATGGTGACACCAAGCTCACTGATAATACGGGCACAACGTTGTCAATGTTTCTTAAGGTAAGGCGAAGAGAGGTTTGTCAACAACGTACGCGATGTAATTAAGAACTGCGTTCAACTAAATTTTTAACTAATACACATCAGTTCTGTTCTGTTGGAAAAACAATAAAATTGAGTTTTATTAGGATGCATTTATCAAAAATGGCATCCAAAGCGGGGATATGCCTTGTATTGGAGCCAGTCATGTTCACTGCCTTTTGCTACCAGTTTCAATCCGGGACAATTTTTTAATGTTATTGACGGCTATGTATATTCTTGCCTTCAGTTGGTTTACTTGTTATTAAATTACAGTTAAGAAAAATGCGCAGTGCAATTCAAAAGGAGAGTCCGTCGAGTTTGTAATTTATGGAAATTTTATTTTGGTTTCCAAGTTCAAAGTAATTATATTGTACAGATATGATTTGCACTGCGCCTTAAAAAGTATCTTGAGAGATCAGTACGCACTGCAAGGATCACATGAATTCGAACGTTTTTGCCCTAAAACATTTGCTAGTGTAAAAAGCTGCAGGAAGTCGATGGAAAACAACTTTTGCTTACCCATGTAAAATGTGATTTTCTGCAGGGTTGTCTGATGGCTGGATGCCTCAACGGAGGTTCTTGTTTGTTCGACAAGGAAAAAGAAGCTTTCGCTTGCTCATGCGATCTGCAATGGAATGGAGAAAAATGTGAACTAGGTAAATTCTTACTTTTTTTTTGTCCCTTTTAATAAATATAGAATAGTGAAAGAGGTGCATTCCCTGCTAGCACCTGGTATCCCGAATACCATGGAAACTCTAGGCCTCAAACAGTACACATCTTTCCCTGTTAGCAGAAAAATCACATATTTGTCTGTATCTGGCAAATGTTTCAGTGGTACAAAGAAAGTTAAACTGTTGACAGATTACCAATTTAATGAACCTTCTACCTTGTGAAACTGGTAAGCAGCATTTGGCGTTCAATTTCTTATCCTCAAATGTGGATCGGCCTGGAATCAGGTTCCTTAGTAGGAAGAAAAAAGCGAATAATGGAGTGAACAGCCTGCTATTCGCCCCTTTTCTCCTCTAAGAAGCCTCAGATCTAGGCTAAGTCTGGAACTTCAATGTTTTTCTCGTGATTTTTCGTTTTCTTTCTCATGAAGTATAGGCTCCTGAAGGGTATATATGTCCAATGCACAGTTGTGGCCATTTTTAATTTTGGGTTCGCCATCTTGTGTTCCGGCCATTAGGCTCTACAGCAAAAGCTTTCAGCCAACCTTGCATTATCCGCGAGTTTCTCCATCTGATGGACTAATTATAATCTGTTTTTGTAGACATTGACGAATGCGCAAAAAATACCCACAAGTGCGGTGCCAATGCTTACTGCAATAATTCCAAGGGAGGATACAACTGCAAATGTCATCCGCGATATTACGGAGATGGAAAGAATTGTGAACCAGGTGAGATGGCAGGCTTTGTATGAACTTGGAAGATTTTTGAAAAACTACGTAAGCAGACAATACCGTTTAATCTGTGCGAAAAGTAGACAATTTATTTGGCCATTATTCTATAATGATAGTCAAACGTATTTTTATACTAGGAGTAATCGGAGCTTAGAAGAGTGCGTTCGATATGTTTGTTAGGCGTACAGGTAGCAGTTGAGGGGGAAGGGTGGTTGCGATATAGATAAATATGATTATGGCTTATATTGAACGTAAGGTTTGCGTACAGCAAAACCTCTATTTAAACTGTGCATCATTATAAGAAGGTTTTGAAAAGATATCGTATGGTTCGGTGTCAAGTGTTTGTAATCGGAGGAGACATTGGCCAGAGTGCGTCGAGCGTGTAAATAGAACATTTTGCTTTACTGGCGCGATTACAGGACGCAGTTGCTCAAGGCCGATTAGGCTTAACCCGGGATTCTTTTTCTTTCTTCAAAACATTTCTTCGGATAATTTTCTCTGTTTTCAGTTTAAGAGCATCCAATCATCAACTCGTTGACAAAATGAATTAAATTGAATTTACTGTTTTAAAAGCTTTCACATCTGAATTCAAACTTCGCACTAACCCTGTCAAAGCCTTCAATGGAATGTGTGTGCGGCTCACGTCAATAACTTTTTCAGTAATTTGGTCGAGCGTGTTGATTTCAGTGACTCGAAAGTGGCGCTACTCTGGGCTGTTTTATAAGTTTTTCCTAATAAAGAACATAGAGTTAAAGTGTTCGTTCGTTTTTCCGGTGCCGAAAATATCACAAGTCATGATCAAATGGCGCCGCCAAGCTTCACATCTCGGTAGATTTACTTTGTGGTACAACGGCCGCCGAACTAAACCCGGTTTGATGCATGCAACAGGAGTCGCAGACATTTTCCAAAGACAGTGATGAACCATGTTGAAAAGTATGAAGGCTTAATCCAAAGTAAAATTTAACAGCAAACTGCTGAAAGATGAACGCTTTGGACGATTCAGCAAACACAGATTCGATCAATGTATGCTTTACGAAGATTCAGCAAACTTTTTAAAAGATGAACGCTTTACGAAAACAGAATATAAGACCTCAGCAAACCTTTGAAAGATGAACGCCGAGGACACAAGAATCACCACGTGAGCTAGCGCGTGAAAGTGAGGCAAAACGTAAGCAAGCGCCTCAAAATGCAATCTCAAAATGCAATTTCAAAAAAACCTCCCTTATTAATTACACAGGACACCCAACACAAATTAGGGGTTGCGTTCTCGTGACCTCGAACGCAATAATAGTATGAACCGACATCTAACTGAAGACAGTAGGTCTTCTTCTCAAACAGAAAATGGTTGGGAAGGAATTTTTAATATAGAAGGTATCTTTTTAAAAGAATCATGCTGAAAGTAAAAATAAAAAAGTTCACAAACCATTCGAGAATAAATTTGAGTCTTTCAGACCTAGCAGGTACTCACTGGACATGTTACAACGGACATATTTGTGGGCAAAATTCCAGACATCTCAACTGCCTTTGTAACGAGGGCTTTATTGGAGCATCTTGCCACAATAAGTAACAAAACAAGCGTTGACTGAAACTGAAAAAGTGCCCTTGTCTTAGCTTGAATATAGGACAAGAACACTAGCAGGACTACTAGTGAATTTGATCATTTTTTTTTTCAGCGATCAAGTCATGTCAAGACTGGCATCACGAGAACCCAGACGAGTAGGTTACTTCTATTTTTCACAAAGGTCTTTTTTTATTCGAGTTGGTTTGAAAACGACACCAACGCTTTAGTACTAGACAAGGTTGTGAAACTGTTCTTTTTTTATGTAAACAGTGAAAAACCTGCATGTTTTGACACCCTTAGGGAATGCTCTAGTGTCCGCCTAATACAAGTTTCACTGCAGTTGTTAATTAACCAAAAAGTGTCTTCTTTGTCTAGGACAAACAAAACTCAGATGGTTACAATTATCTTTGACTCAAAGCCAACATCGGTTCTCTGTCACATGGGAGATTTTGGATGTGGGGATGGAGGATGGACACCGGTCATGAAGATGGACGGCAACAAGGTACGAAGTAGCCTGTGTCAGGCTCTTAGATAGTAGGGACATCAGAGCCTCTGTATGGGTGTTTCCGACGAAATCGAACGCGAAGATCGCCATTGGTTGGGCTGAGCTTGCTAGTAGCGTTACCACACAAATGCTTAATATGCGACGATTTTGTGCTCGCCTGAAAAAACGACGATTTGATGGAAAATGCGCGACAAAATCGACGTATGCAGGTACCCACGCAGAGGCTCACATCGCCAAAATAAAACAGGCCAAGCGTTCTTATTCTGCGTTCAGTTCATTTTTATTTACTAGCCAAAATATAATACAATACAGGAATACAAACAGAAATTGTAAGTTGGCAGGGAGCCCAGAAAAAACCAGAGGGCTTATGAAGCCTGGGCTCCCCAGTCACGAAGAAAAATGTACGACGAATTTCGCTGAGCGATACGTTAAAAATAGGAACTAGACAGAGACTGAGTTAAGTTATGATGTCAGTAACAAGATATAGAAAAACGTTCTTAACTCTGGATTCGTACGAATATAAGGAGGGGCATCGCGAATGTAACGTTGTACACATCAGTAATTTATCGTTCAATTAATTTGACGGCCAAGTACTTGTTTCTGTCACAGCAAACTTTTGAATACAATTCCTCTCTCTGGAGCAACAAAGAAACCTTTAACCTTGACGGAGGGAAGACTGGGTTTGACTCACAGGAGACCAAACTTCCCTCCTACTGGAACACATCCTTCTCCAAGATCTGCCTCGGTATGAAGATCAATGACAACCAGTCCAAGTTTATTGTTATCAACCAGCAGGCCAACTCCTTGTACTCTCTGATCGCTGATGGGCAATACCGCAACACCTCACTGGGTCGTGACACCTGGAAGTCGCTGATTGGTTCTGAGGCCTCCTTGCAGAACAACTGTAACAAGGAAGGGTTCAATGCTGTTAGTAGTGGTATTCGCGGTTCCAAAGCAAGAATCGGTATCATTAGTAACGACCGTTACAATTGCGCATCTTGCGACTCTAGAATTGGATTTGGCACTGGTGGAAAGCCTGGTAATAGCAACTCATGTGGAAACGAGGCTTCACATAATTCAGATAATGGGAATAAGCATATTAAGACAATGGGATACATTTTGGTGCAGTGACAGGAAACTGATCTGGGCTAATTTACTTTTGGCGCCAAACGAAAGCTATCTTAAGGGGCCGGGGTTAAGGCCATTTTACTGGATGTTCATTTTCAAACACTTGATTTTTAGGGGTTTATTTTCAGATTAGAAAGCTTTTAATATATTTCATGGAAGTAGTGAAAAGGCAGTTATAAGGAGCGTAAATTAAAACTGAATGTACAAGCCGTGAATACTGTAGAAACTCCGACCTTATAAATACGACTGTAGATAAATTGTGTGCAGGTGACAGAACGTCAACACGATTTGCAGCCAAAATCAGTGATTCGTAATTTCCACAGCAATCGGGTTCATCGGGTTATATTTCATGGAAGTAGTGAAAAGGCAGTAAGGAGCGTGAATTAAAACTGAATGTACAAGCCGTGAATACTGTAGAAACTCCGACCTTACGAATACGACTGTAGATATAAATTGTATGCAGGTGACAGAACGTCAACACGATTTGCAGCCAAAATCAGTGATTCGTAATTTCCACAGCAATCGGGTTCATCGGGTTAAGAGAGGGAGTCACTTTCACGATATGTAAAATTTATGAGGGATCATTTCTAAAACGCTGAGATCCAGGAAGGGTTCGGTTTGAAAAATCTTCTTAGCCTTCTCATACTCCTCAAAATGGCCGCCCCCCCCCACCTCACAGGTAATAAACGACCAGCCCTTGATTTAACTCGAGATCCTGCTCATTTTTTTTTGTAGATAAACACATGGTAAACAATAAAAGGTTATTTCTAGACTGGATTAAAGTAACCATTATGCATACGAAATAAGAGGTACACTGGAAAACCAAGATAAAAATCTTTAACTAAGTTTCTCCGTTGCTCCTCATAGTTTATGCGCACAACATTTCTTGTTGGGATTGTATGTCACTAAGTGGACTGGAAAAGTTTTTAGACAGGGATAGCCTTTCTCAAATTGCAAGAGAGTCTCTTGCAAATTGTGATCAATCGTGGTTCCAGAGGAGGCTGAATCGAGGTTGCACCACGCAGTGAGGTAAAAATTAGACAGGTAACTTTACGGTTGATACGGTTGCTGCACGGATGCGTAGACAATCTGCGAAGAACACGTTTGATGTGTGAAGTGATAAGCTGTGATGAGAGAGGGAAAGACAGACTTCACATCAGTGAAACATTTCCGACATTTTTTTTTGAACAGGAATATGGGTTGTTGTTATTGTTGTTTTTGGAGAGAGAAGGATGAATGGCGCCAGCCAGGAGCCCTGCGCCAGCTCATGGACACCACCGAAAAAAGGGCGATTAATTGAACTGAGACAAGATTATTTACAGCAAGCATTATAACTTACCAGTTTTTTTAAGAGCCTAGGTTAGTGTAAGCCTAGTCCCTGGGAGTTCTCTCTTGATCCGTTGTTTTCGCGAAGTCTCGGTGACGTCACAGCTTATGGTAGAGTCCAGGAATGACCGAGCCGAAAACGCCTGGGGACTAGGCTGGGTTAGTGTTTTGTCCTGGATTTAAACTGGTCCTCGAGCTCAGCAAGTCTGAGCCCGTAAACAAGCCGAGCAGTGGTTACAGGCATGCACACCAATGAGATGACTTTTTTGGTTCAAAACAAACGGTAAGGACACAGACATGCGTGCTGGCATGTTAAAAAAATAACAGGGACAGTGCTATTTCAGGTAAATTCTGAAGATGAATCTGACGATGTCTACCACGGCACAGGTTGTCGAAACGTCAGTCATTGTCAACAACGGTACTACGATCACCCGGACGATCATTCTCAACCTACTTTTGAAAAACTTTTGAGACTCGATTTTGAAATGACTCCTGGGTTCAAACCGAGCCTCCATTTCCAGTCGCTGTTCTAAAAACGAGCCAAAGCTCCTCCACCGGAGACATAATTAAAACTGCAGCTTTTTGTTCTTCATTATTTGGCGCGGGATTCTCCTTTTTAATGTTTTCCTGTCAGTAATAATGCCTGAGTAACTGAGACAGCTTATACACCAGCTAGATTAGTTTTGCATGATTATCTTCCCTCGCTACTGTGCAAGTCGCTATTTATTTTTCAACCATCTTTTGTCCTTAGCGCAGCAACCTTAGCTTGTGACACAGCAAGCGGAATTGATCAGTGCCTTGTATTCAGGGACCGCAGAGACCATTTTAAAGTGGTGGGGCTATAAAATCTGGCCAATACAAAGAAACAATAAGTTCAGTGTTTCGCCATTTAGTAAAATCCAACTAGTGGTCTATTATCAGTGCTGCGTTCTGATTGGTTGAGCTACTACTAGGCTATATGTTATAGCCCACTAGTAGCGAAAAGCGCCGTCGTTGGTGGCTTAATCATGATTCATCACAGTGGTGGCTTCATCATGATTTGCTAGCTAAAGTTGTTTTGTCTCGATAGCTATGACCAACTAGTTACGTTTAATTTATGTTTATTTTTTTTGCGCAATTGACTCAGAGCCCACTCGGGCTCGAGGAATAATTGCATTTTTATCTCTCATTTGCACGCCATCTTATTTACAACCTCAACGAATATAAAATCAGATCAGCTGTAACATAAACGTCGTCACATGTTATAGTATCCAGTATAGCCAATATGTTCAATAAACCTTCCTAAGATTGCTACTTTTTGAAGTTGCCAGGCCCGCAGGGCCAAAAGTTTCTATTGCGGTTCTCATGATCATACGGGAAACAAACCTGAATGATCTTGTTAAATGTTATAATTCTACATTATCTGCGGCTATTGATCGTCATGCTCCACTTGTCACCAAGTTTATCACAGTGAGGCCTTTGGTACCTTGGTTTAGTGAAGATATTAGGGAGTCAAGGAGGGAAAGACGGAGAGCTGAAAGAAAATGGCGTCGATCTCGAAGTGTCAATGATTTGCTTGAATTTAAAAAGAAGAGGAATTTTACAACCTATCTGATGAATGAAGCCCGTCGTAAGTTTTACTCAGACTTTATTGTTGAAAAATGATCAACCTGTCTCTTAATTCTGGAGAATTTGCGGATGATTGGAAATGTGGGCTTATTAATCCTATCTTGAAGAAACCTGGATTGGATTTGCTGTACAAAAATTACAGACCAGTTAGTAACTTACAATACGTATCCAAGTTGACTGAAAAAGTCGTTTTTAATCAAGTTTACGATCACATGGTTTCAAATGCTATTTTTCCTGCGCTTCAATCTTCTTACAGGCAATTCCATAGCACTGAAACTGCACTTATCAAGGTGATGAACGATGTTTTGTTAAAGATGAACTCTCAACATGTCACTATGTTAATTTTATTGGATCTCAGTGCTGCCTTTGACACTGTTGATCATCGAATACTTTTAGAGAGGCTATCTGACGAAGTTGGCATACGTGGGACTGCTCTGAATTGGTTTAGATCGTACTTGTCTGATAGAAGTCAGCGCGTTTCTGTACATGGAGTTCTTTCTCGTCCTTTTGACTTGAACTGCGGGGTACCCCAAGGCTCATGTTTAGGGCCTTTGCTATTCATAATATATGCGTCCAAGCTGTTTAAGATCGTGGAACATTATCTTCCTGATGCTCACTGTTTCGCTGATGATACGCAGCTGTATCTGAGTTTTAAACCACTCGGCAACACTGCTCAAGCTGATGCTATACAAGCTATGGAAAAGTGCATTGACGCGGTGAGGAAATGGACGATTCAAGATCGGTTGATGATCAATGATGATAAAACGGAGTTTTTGTTAGTCGGCACACGACAACAGCTTGATAAATTAGATTCGTGTTCCATAACTGTGGGCAATAATCGTATCAGTCCAAGCCCATGTGTTAGAAACCTTGGATCGTGGTTTGACAGCAAGTTAAGCATGACTGATCATATAAACAAGGCTTGTAATGCGGCATTTTATCATTTACATAACTTGAGACGTATTAAGAAATACCTGTCGAGAGATTCTTTAATTACTTTGGTTCATGCTTTTATAACCAGCCGTATTGACTATTGTAATGGTTTATTGTTTGGCTTACCAAATGTGCAGTTCGCTAAATTACAGCGTGTACAAAATGCAGCAGCAAGACTTATTCTTGGCATTGGAAAGTTTTCTCACATTACACCGGCGCTTTATGAGCTGCACTGGCTGCCGGTTTCTTTGCGTATTGACTATAAGATTTTACTTTTGACTTTCAAATGTATTTATGGCCTAGCGCCAACTTATCTTAGCGATCTTATTAGTATAAAATCGAATTCATTATATAATCTTAGGCCTACTGGTAAGCTCTTATTGGACCATCCCAAGGGAAAGATGCTTACAACATTGGGAGCAAGATCATTCTCAGCAGCAGCTCCGAAACTCTGGAATGAGCTACCTGTGGAGCTTCGTCAGGCAACATCACTTAACAGTTTTAAATCTCGACTTAAAACCTATCTTTTTAAGAAGTATTTTTATAGTTTGTAACTTAGTTTATTTTATTCTCACGGTAATTTATTTTCGTTTTCTTTTAAACATATGATTGTAAAGCGCTATTGATCAGCACATGTAAATACGCACTATATAAATTGGTAAATTATTATTATTATTAAACCCCTGTGCGACGTCAGCTGTGGTGGCACTGCTGTTCTCCGCTTGTGACCCGACACTGCTGGGTTGCTAAATCTTTCATCACCCATCCTGGACCGAAGCCACGTCTTCAGACGCCGTGCAGATAAGGATGAACCCTCGCCAGCGGCGATGGTAGCGGGATTTACAGCAAGCAGCCTACACTAACAGATAGTTTGGACCTCCTGATTTAGCTTCTTTTCTGGTTCTGGAAACTTTTAACACCGCCAACAGGATTTAGTCAAAACATGATATCTTCTCCTCCTTCTCACCCTTCTTCTCCTCCTCAGCCATCTTTGTACCCTCAGATCCTTAAATAGATTATCGGTGTGGGAATAAAACCGCTCTCCAAGATGCAAAGCAAAGAAAAAGTCAAATCGCACCATTTGGGCCTTACTTCTTATTATCCTTGCACGCACTTCGGATTGTAATCATTCGGACAAGCAAACATTCCACTCTTCAATATGGAAAAGTCCACTTAGTGAATAATTTCACGGGAATTTTTTCCATGTCACCATTCACTGCAGCACTAGAAAATAAATCCCAGTAATAAAAGTGATAGGGCTATATAGCCCTACCAGCCCCTCCCCCTCCGCGGTCCCTGGTATTCTATGCATTATTACTACAAACAAACAGTCGGCTGATTCCAAAAGGACCCTAAAGTCTGAGAACAAATATCTTAGAACTGAAAAAAGTATTTCCCGTTGATACATAAAGATCGAATTTGATTCGCAAAATAATATTTTAGTTGACAAATTTCTAGAGCGATTTTGCTTTGGAAGTGTATCAGTTGTGAAGAAGGCGGTTGTGATTCTGGTACCTTTCTGCCACCTAAAATGTTTTTATTTTTTTACATTCTATTGCTGCCTTATTTTTTCATTTAAGTTCTCTAACTGTAACTGAAATAATTAGATCTCAAAGAGCTGCAACCCTGAAGGTGACGAAACAGCAGCACTGTATGAAAAGAGAATCAAGACAGGTGCAAAACATCAGGGCTTGACTAGCAAATGCAAACCCGATGGGAGGAGAAAGCATTGCACGGAAGGTAATATTACCCAGTTACCTATAAACGGTTTGATCAATGAACTGATGAACTCCTATAATTACTTTATCAATATACAATTCATAAAATACATTTCAGCTTGTTTTGATGTTCGTGACAAATTATTATCAAAGTAACATAATTGCCCTGTGTTGTAATTTTGATTCCTAAAAATAGTTTTTGCAATACTGTATGTGTTTGCATGGTCATGCAAATAAAGCTCGTTGTTGTTGTTGTTGAAGGTACCCTTGACGGAAACCACCCTGACATGGTCGTCAAAAACAATCGGTATAAGAAGTGTACTCTCATTGATGTGGCTATACCCTCTGATAAAAATACCTGCACCAAGGTTTCCGAAAAAGTTTCCAAGTATAGTATATAGGTTGTAGGTTCGTTAGGGGTGATTAAGAAATGCTCAGGGAAGTTTGTCAGAGAAATTCAAAAGACAACATTACCGGGAACGGCACATATTCTACGGAAGGTCCTATCCATCAAGTGATCAGGGGCGGATCCAGGATTTTTTTTAGGAGGGGGTGCACTCGTCTCTTGCGCTACTTCAACACCAATAAACCACATAGTTTTTCATTTTTTGCAGAATACCAGTTGTATTAGAAAACCGCAGGTCATCTCGAGGGGGGGGGGCACCCCCTGCACCCTCCCCCTAGATCCGCCCCTGAGTGACAGTGATGACAAAGAAACCCTCAAGTGCTCCGGGTTCAAGTTTTAAGGACTTGGGCCTTATGAACTGAACACTTATAATAATAATAATAATAATAATAATAATAATGAAGAAGCACTTTTTCTTCAAAGAAACATATAATATAAATAATAATAATAATAATAATAATCATAATAATAAAAAAAATTAATCTGAATCTTTTATTGATAAGAAAACTAACTACAAAATCCGGCCTATTTACAATTAAATTTTGCTTAAAGAAAAAACTATCCAGTACAAGTACTATTTACAATTCATTTCGATTAAAAAAACCCACATAGTTCCGATTAAAAAATTCATTTCAATTAAAAACCGTTATTCGAATACTAATACTAATTCTACTAATAACAATTATAAAAAGCATCAAAAAGTTAATAATAATAATAATAATAATAATAATAATAATTAATAATAATAATAATAATAATAATAATAATTAAATCCCGTGTGTGTTACAACAGAAGGAAAGGTGGTAACTGCAGCAAGAGCTGGGAATCTGTTGAAGCAATCTCAAGAGAAGCAGTTCTTGGAGATCGCTAAAGACAAAAAGTGGCAAGGAAAGTTATTCCGTATCAGATGGGAAGATGAGAGCCTAAGCATAACCAGCTGCTTTGCATGGTTAAAAGGTTGGGCTACATGCCCTACACATACCATCGCGGGCGTGTATGAATTGTATGAGCAGTTGTTACCTACGAAGCTCTACACAAAGGAGAGGACGCAAACCTCCACCGACGGCGAAGTTCTATGCAGGTTATGTCGGAAGGTAGCTGAGAGCGTTGCACATGTACTGGCTGGATGTTCCTCCCTGGCACAAACCAAGTACCTATACAGGCATAATGCAGCTTTGAAGATTCTGTTTTTTGAGCTCCTGCGAGAGCATGGGTTAATGGAAGAGGTTCCACCATGGTACTCACCGGTGATGCCAAAACCAACCTACCAGAACACCACAAGTGAGGCGTTTTGGGATATTCCCATCTATGCAGAGCACAACGAAGTTAGAGCAAATCGGATCGACGCGCGACTTGTCAACCACGAGAGGAAAGAAGTCTGCACAATCCAAATGAGCTGCCCATGGATTGAGAGTAGAGCTAAGAAAGATGAGGAAAAGACACTCAAGTATGGGCCCATGATGTGGGAGCTGAAGCAGAGATACAATGGTTACAGGGTTGAACAGTACAACGTAATAATTGAGGTACTGGGGGGTTACTCTAAACACCTAGAGAAGTCGGTGAGAAAGCTACTTGGAGCGAGAGCACGGAGCGTACTTGAGCGGATGCAGAAGTCGGTCATCTCAAACACTTTAAACATAGCCAAAACATTTAAGATAAATACTTAGTTAGGGCGCTATGGACTTCAGTTTTTAGGTTTTTGTTTTTTCTCTAGAAATCTAGAAACACAAGCTTGCTGACGTTTTTAATTAGATATTTTAGAACATTAGAGTGTGATATTATTATAAATATGTTTTTAGTAGAGATAGCGGAGGTTTTACATCGTATCGACCTTTTTTTACTTCTTAGTATAGCTTCTCAAGTAGTGTAGGTTACGCTATGCGCCCTATACTACTCATAATGTGGACAGCATTCCAAAGTTTCATACTGCGACATAATAATAATAATAACCAGTACTTCAAGACATCTCCGGCGAACATTTAAACAGAGGATCTAACAAAGCTCAGGATGCGAGGTTAGATATCCACGCGCGTGGTTTCTGGGAGCGACATCGATCAGCATTCTTCGATGTGAGGGTCTGTCACCCTAATACTGTATCGTATATATAGGGACCTAGAGCCACAACAAATTTATCGTATCCATGAGAACGAGAAAAAGAGTCTCTACTAAGAGAGAGTCCTGGACATCGAGCATGGAACATTTACACCTTTGGTCTTCACCACAACTGGCGGAATGGGAAAGGAGTGCTTGACGTATCATAGCCGTTTAGCACAGCTGATTGCCATCAAAAAAGGGGAGCAGTATGCCAAAACAAACTCATGGATCAGAACCAGAAACTCATTCGCATTCTTGACCTGCGTTGGTTTGTCTTAGAGGCTCTAGGATAAGAAGAGTGTCATGAGACATTAGGAATGTTGATATCGACGTCGAAGTTGTTGAAGGAGCCATTCAATCGGACTATTGATGTGTTTCCTTACTTTTAAATGGCAAATATTCGTCATTAAAATACTGTGAATACTATTTAATTTTCCTCTTTTTTTTAGTGATTTTTTTTAGGGATTATCTTAGTAAGAATGCAATTGACCTTGAAAATAGTTTCTTCTTTTTTTATTCGAACTGAATTGAAATGCTCTCAATTTGAATAATTTTTGTTTAATGAAATGAATTTTTTTTTCTAATCAAAACTAAGTGTTTTTTTAACGAAAGGAATTGTAAATAGTGTTTTGACGAAATATATATTTTTTATTTTTTACAGTGAATTAATTGTAAATAGGATTTTAATAAGTTAGTATGTTGTTCGATATTAAAAAATAATAATAATAATAAAACAATAGCTCTGGGAGCGATACTGAAGAACTTTTAAAAAAGAGTCACTCGACGGAAAATGGAATTGTTGACAGAGGGTCAGAACTATGCAAAGTCTGCACTTCTTGGATCTCCCACAATTTAGGGAAAGGTCTGTGAAGTAGAAGAAATTTGTTGTTTCCAGGACAAAAACCAGTTTTTCAAATAATTAACCCAAAATAATGGTAATTAAATTAGCTTTTTTGCTGTTGTAAGTAATATTTCACACTGTTAAGTATTTCTTTCTGGACATTTTCACTAAAATGTGATTCCAACTATTTCTAGGGTAAAACCGTTTAGTTAACCCAGGCGATTTTATTCAACATGTATTCTTTATTAAGTGTCGACTACGGTTGATGTTCAGAATGTTTATTGAAATAAGCATTTGAAGGTCAACAATAGTCGACACTTTATTTTTAATATATTGGTTATTAAGCGATATCAGGTGTCTTGGCTAACTATGATAATAATGACAACGATGATATAAAGTTAAGGTGTTTCCTCTTTGTTATGCTAATCCATAGCTAAAACTTTGGAATTTGTTGCTTAAACGGCCCATCTTTTCCTTCAACTCAATAATTTTAAACGATGTTTTTTCGGCTGAAGTTCTGCAGGGATTGAATTACTCATGCCAGATGCTTTTAGTTGCTAAAAAAATTCTTAACAGGCTGACCTGACCATTATTTCATAAATTGCATTCATATTTTGCGAGAGCGACGCGAATATGTCTTTAGAAAGAGTTAACGCGGTTTGAGTTTTTTCGCATAAAATTGCATGAAAATTGCTCTTTCCTTTTCACCTGTCTGAACTTTTCTCGTGAGTTTATACACGGTACTTGCTGTCAGTCAAAATGCAGCACTTTAGCCACGATTTCTTAGATAACGCTGTATTGTGCTTCTCAAGGATAAAAAAATATCTTAAGAGACTCCTTTTCTAACCAATTTTTGCCTGCAAGAGAACGACGGAGTATTCATTTAACCAACGTATAATTCTTTGGCGCAAAATATTAATTATGTTTTGTAATGGTAAAGACTATAATCTTTCTGGGTGCGCGTACAATTTTCCGCTTTTCTCTGCCTTTCTCTTCAAGTCTGGAACTTCCGTCAGAAGATGAAATTTGAACGCATGTCACTGAGACCAATAAACAAACAAAGTTTCAGTATCGAGAGATTAAATTTGGTGTTAGAAAGATAAAGGAAGACATATTTCTTGAAATAAGTTAAGTTAGGACTACTTTTCAAAGGGATTTCAACCGATTTTCCCGGCATTTGACAGTCAGTTCATGCGAGTAACGGACCTTTTAAAAGACTGATCAAAGCAGTTTACCTAGTATTTTTTGCTGCTGAATGTTTGGACTGTTGGACAGTTTATCATCGACACTTACTCTCTCAGTTTGAAACTATCAATGATTTTCACCTGCTCAATTTTTTTGTTTGGACACCTCAGCCATTAATGAATTTTAGTCATTTAATTCTAACTATCTGGCATTGTGTATTTGTGATAACGTTTTAGTGTTCGAGTGATATATTCGTAATTTTTAATAAGGCTGGACATTTTGATAAATTGTTTTTTAACAAACGCTACAACTGTGGAAACTCTTCGTGAGAATATAACGTTAAGAGCAGCATTACATCAGAATATAGCTTAATTACGTTCTTATTCGCTTCGCTCAAACGAACGTATCATTTTACCCTTAAATTCCCGTAATACAAACAAATCACACGAGAAATATGGTAGGATGTGCAAGCGGATCCAAAACAGTTTATTATAAGATAGATATATAGTTACTAATACAGAGTGGACTGCAAAAAAAAATTACAAAGTTGTTATTGTTGTTGTTGTTGTTTTTACAATTCTTTATATACTTCTGTATGCAGAAATTAATATACGCTCGATAATACATTACAAACCTAAATACTTAGTTACTTGTAACCTGTTTTCAAGCTAAGGCTTTCTTCAACATACAAATCCTTGGCAGAATCAGGTTTCCATCTACCATGTATTTTAAGAAGTCTTTCTGGAATCGAGTTACTACTATTACGTACCGCAGATGTAATGCCACTGGATCTTAAACTATGAAGACCATAATCATTAGGGTTGTAGCCCAGCCGACTTAAGGTATCCCTGAAGATATCTCTACAAGTAGTATAAGAAATATTTTCACTTTTCAGGGTATAGCTAGAACGTAACTACGGTGAAAAACAAGCCGACTCTCTCTCGCAGACACTTTGAAATCGGCTTCAATAATATGATCAATTGTATTAATGATCTCAACAATTCTTCTTTCTACAATTTTTAAAGTACCCAGTGCAGAATCCCAGGTTATACCCAATTAGTCCAATACTTGGGTGGGTTCCCATACCGATTTGTCTTCGTTGACAACAAAACCCCCATTATACAAATCCCCCCTTCCAGGGCAAGAATTGTGGCTAGGGGACTGGTAGCTGCCGGCCAGAACATGGATCTAGAGTCCTTGGCCCAGTCTGTCCAAATTTGCCGCATTTGAAACAGCGAAAGAAGTCGCCAGAAGTGTCTCTACGGCCTGAAAGATAAAAGCAATGACGAAACCTGTAGTAAACGGGAGGGGGGGGCGTAAGCCAGAAAGATGAATAAACTGTATGGAACCGCGAGCGTTAATGGTACTCAAGAGACAGCGGAGAGTATAAGTACTAATAACTGGCCAATCAGGGCATCCATGTAAAACAGAATGCACAATAGTGGGTACGGCAGGTGTGAAACGAAAACAACTGCGACTAATTACTTGGAATAACAGCGGAAAATACATTTACGTTCTAACTCGCTTTGCTCAAACGAACGTAAATCTTTTTACCCTTAAATTAATTCCCGTAATACAAACAAATCACACGAGAAATATGGTAGGATGCGCAAGCCGATCCAAAACACATGAATATACAAAGTAAAGAGGAGGCTCTTTTTCTTACCACGAAAAAGCTGATTATCAGCGCCCAAAGCAATTCTTGGTTTCTTTCCACGATCACTAGAGAGTTGTTTCTTTTGACGTCTCTTGCGGCTCGGCGCTTCTCTTGCCTTCTTAAGACGCTTTTCATCTTCGGAGCCGGATGCAAGCTCGTCCGACTCGTACTTGGCTACAACCTGCCAGCCGTCGCTACTTATTTACCAGCGATTTTTATCAACTTCTGTCGCTTTCGAATACGTTGCCTGCCTTCTTTGGAAAGTTTCTTGATTTGCGACAAATTTGGCTCGATGCTTTCACTTTCAATTTCAATGCTTACAAAATGGCATCTAATTCGGCATTAGGCTCAAATTGTTTCTGGTTCCCTTTGAACCGTAGCTGTACAACTTCTTTATCTAGCTTACTCCTTTGTTCGATTTGCTTTTCTTTTATCTTCTAATTTTTTCTCAAAAATCCTTAAACATGGAAAAGACTTGATCAACGGCTGCTGAGTTGCCTCCACTATCACCTGAAGACGTTTGGCCTACTTCAGCCGGAACGGACGAACCTTCGCTCTGTTTTTGGTCGTTGGGCATCACACGAATAGCAGAACACAAACCATAAAGATGAATAAACTGTATGGAACCGCGAGCGTTAATGGTACACAAGAGACAGCGGAGAGTATAAGTACTAATAACTGGCCAATCAGGACATCCATGTAAAACAGAATGCACAATAGTGGGTACGGCAGGTGTGAAACGAAAACAACTGCGACTAATTACTTGGAATAACAGCGGAAAATACATTTCCTTTCAGCTGCGAAATTAGACAGTGTGCATTTAGGGAAGTCTAGTGCAAACTTTATTTGAGAGTGACCGCCTATTAGATCATTTACGCTATCTTTGCTTTTGACAGAACACGTCACTGACAACGTACAAGTCAATCGAGCTCAAATTTATTAATAAATTTAGCATGCTATTATTAACAATTACTATATATTAGGGTTCCTTGCAAATTCTACCTGAGAAAACTTCCCTTTTATCGCTCTGTTACACACACACACACCTTGTTGATGAAAACGGCGCTATGAGATTACAGAGGAGGCCGGATAAAATGATTTGCTCAGTCATATTCTGCTTAATCTTTGGAGCAGATTTGGCGGCCGAAGAAGAATCTAGATCCTCCTACATAGTAGCCCAAGAGAACAAGCGTTTACATGGCTATGCTGTAAAGAGAATCGATTCTACCGATGAAATGTCATGCAGTCAAGCTTGTTTAAGGCATTCTTGGTGTACTTCTTCTAACTTCAAAGAGTCCTCAGGGAATTGTGAACTGAACAAGCACGAGTTCTCAATAACTGCAGATGATAACACCAAGCTCACTGTTAATACCGGCACAACGTTTTCAAGGTTTCTTAAGGTAAGTCGAAGAGAGGTTTGTCAACAACGCACGCGATGTAAGAACTGCGTTCAAATAAATTTTAACTAATACACATCTGTTCTGTTGGAAAAACAGTAAATTTGAGTTTTATTAGGATGCATTTATCAAAAATGGCATCCAAAGCGGGGATATGTCTTGTATTGGAGCCAGTCATGTTCACTGCCTTTTGCTACCAGTTTCAATCCGGGACAATTTTTTGATGTTATTGACGGCTATGTGTTCTTGCCTTCAATTGGTTTACTTGTTTTTAAATTACAGCTAAGAAAAATGTGCAGTGCAATTCAAAAATTCAAGGAGAGTCCGTCGAGCTTGTGATTTATGGAAATTGTATTTTGGTTTCTAAGTTCAAAGTATATATTGTACAGATATGATTTGCACTACGCCTTAAAAGTATCTTGAGAGATCAGTACGCACTGCAAGGATCACATGAATTCGAACGTTTTTGCCCTAAAACAATTTTGCTAGACGTGTAAAAAGCTGCAGGAAGTCGATGGAAAACAACTTTTGCTTACCCAAGTAAAATGTGATTTTCTGCAGGGTTGTCTGATGGCTGGATGCCTCAACGGAGGTTCTTGTTTGTTCGACAAAGAAAAAGACGCTTTCGCTTGCTCATACAATCTGCAATGCAGTGGAGAAACATGTGAACTAGGTAAATTCTCACTTTATTATACCTTACCTTATAATAAATATAGAATAGTGAAAGAGGTGTACTCTCTGCTAGCACCTGGTATCTCGAATACCAGGGAAAAACTCTAGGCCTCTTCTAACAGGGAAAGATGTGTACTGTTTGAAGCAAAATCACATATTTGTCTATCTGGCAAATGTTTCAGTGGTACAACTGAGAAAGTTAAACTGTTGACAGATTGCCAATTTAATGAACCTTCTACTCTGTGAAACTGGTATGTAGCTTTTGGCGTTTACTTTTATTAATTTCTTAGCCTCAAATGTGGATCGGCCTGGAATCAGGTTCCTTAGTAGGAAGCAAAAAAGCGAATAATGGTGTGAACAGCCTCCTATTCGCCCCTTTTCTCATCTAAGAAGCCTGATCTAGGCTAAGTCTGGAACTTCAATGTTTTTCTTGTGATTTTTCGTTTTCTTTCTCATTAAGTATAGGCTCCTGAATGGTACATATGTCCAATGCATGGTTGTGGCCATTTTTAATTTTGGGTTCGCCATGTTCCGGCCATTAGGCTCTACAGCAAAAGCTTTTAGCCAACCTTGCATTTTTGGCGAGTTTCTCCATCTGATGGACTAATTATAATCTGTTTTTGTAGACATTGACGAATGCACAAAAAATACCCACAAGTGCGGTGCCAATGCTTACTGCAATAATACCAAGGGAGGATACAACTGCACTTGTCATCCGGGATATTACGGAGATGGAAAGAAATGTGAACCAGGTGAGAATGACAAATATGTAAGCAGACAATACCGTTAAGTCACTCAGTGCCAAAAGAACAATTTACTTGGCCATTATTCCATGACGGTTAAAAGGCGGTATTTCTATATATAGACAAGAGCCATAATGGGTCTTGATATAGAATATGGACACACATATAACTGAGGACAGTCGTAGGTCTTCTTTTCAAACAGAAAATGGTTGGGAAAGTATTTTTAATACTAAAGGTATCTTTTTAAAAGAATCCTGCTGAAAGTTGAAATAAGAATAAATTTGTGATCATAAGAGAGAAATCAATTCCCGTAGCTATGAGCTGGTCTTTATTTTGATTAAGGAGACTACTTTTTTCTTCTCATCTGTTCTTGTAACATCGTTTATCGGTCTTGTAGAGAATAATACCAATTTAAGCACTGAAGCACACGTACCAACTCCGAGATTTTCCGCGGTATGGCCATTACCTTACACATGCGCAGAACCATACCCTGGCAGTGGCAGCCGCATGGACGGCTGTTTCGCCCTTATTGGGTGCCGGGACATACGCCGATTATTATGCTCGGCTAGACCAAAAGAGTGTTAAGGGAAGTCACTAGATTGTGTAGTTTGGGTCAGTTCTGTATGGTAGTAATTCGGTTCAATCGGTTACTTTAATGTGAATAATTAGACTGTACAGGTCTCTAATAGGCTTGTTTTCTTCAAGCTTTATATGACAACTCTGGCCTATTAATTACCCCCTTGTTTATTTTGTTGTGCAGTTTCATCGTGTAAGGATCTTTTTGACAAGAAAATGTGAGTAAAAATTACAAAGTTTACTTTTTAGGATCTTAAAATAACGAAATATGTCGGTGCAGTTGAATGCGCCCGAACTGTGCTTGTTTCGCCCGTCTGGGTGAGATCGAAATATAAGATAGTAAAGTGATTTATCAGCTGTCATTACGTTATACGTTATTTCGATTGTTATTGTTCGAAGTTCTTCCTGGCAAATGCAATGATGGCGGTGTCGCAAGTAAACCGTCAGCTTAGCTACCTTCAGTACGCAGTACGTATAATTATATTTGAGCTAATTGAGTCCCACAGCTACTCTCTTACGCAGTTCTTGTGTCTTGTGTTCTTGTGTGTTCCTTGACTGACGAACTTAATTAGTTATCACTACAAGAGCAAGAAAACTTATATTAATTGATCTTTCACTTTTTTATTTAGTTGCTTTGCCCTTTCCTAGTAAATTTTGTCTTAACACCTTCAGGACCACGAAGTCTCACAGCATAATTCCACGACATACATCCTTTTGCCGGCCACTTTTGCTGGTGACTACAAGTACTCTTTATTGCCCGTTATATACCTGTGAAACAGTCCTTCGTCTACCGCTATCAAAGCTCCGTCTTTGTCAGTGTATAAAACCATAGATAAATAGCCTGCGATGCGCGATGGTTAGGAGCTGGAAAAATTAAAATGATATTTCATTTTGTACAGCTCGAACGTGACTCCGTTGGTCACTCTCCTCCTTGACTCCAAACTAGTTTCAGTTCTCTGTCACTTTGGAAATTTTGGATGCGGAGATGGAGGATGGACACCGGTCATGAAGATGGACGGCAACAAGGTAAGACATTTGTGTACGTTTTCCCTTAGTTTGGCGACGAGAGTGGAAAAAAATGTGTTATTAATAATTAAATACAGGTTTACCTCTGTCAGCGGTAATTTTCAATTATCCTTAGGCAGCCTGCGAATACAGCCGTTTCTCCTTGCTCCTCGTCGCTAGGGACGTTCCACCAGGAGGAACGTCTGCACCTCAGCGACAGAAATTCCATACTAATGACGTGAAATTGTAAAATTTTCTGGGGGAGCATAACCCCAGTCCTCCAAGTTTGAGGCGCACCGTCGGCGCTCTAACTTTTCTTCTTGTCGGTACATGCTAAGTCCCTGGATCTGAAAGATTTAAGTATTAAGAACACCTTTAAGCTTCTGCTGGAATATCTCGGTCAGTAGCAGAGGTCACCTGCCCTTTCTGTCAGACGATGTGGAGGTTTTCATCAAAACACGGAAGCCTGGTCTCTGTACTTGCAGATACGCGAGAGTTAAAGATAATTATATTCAATTCGTCATTTTTCAATCGCATCAATCACCAACTAATGATTACGGAGAGCAGTATTTGTTTACTTTTTATTCTACGGGTGACTATTAACGCCATTTTGCCTGCTGCGGCTAGTTTCATTTTATAAAGCTGGAGAAACAAGGACGTTGTATATATTCTTTTCATTGTAATTGATCTTCCATTGCAAATTCGGTTTTTTTTCTTCTCCGGGAAGGATGTAGTCTTTAGAAGAAAAAAAAACCTTTGAACTTTTCTTTTAAAGGACAATTTTTCTATTTCTTCCTCCTTTCTACCACAGCAAACGTTTCACTACAACTCCACTCTCTGGAGCAACAAAGAAACCTTTAACCTTGACGGAGGGAAGACTGGGTTTGACTCACAGGAGACCAAACTTCCCTCCTACTGGAACACATCCTTCTCCAAGATCTGCCTTGGTATGAAGATCGGCCAGCAGATCAAGTTTATTGTTATCAACAAGCAAGCGAACTCCTTGTACTCTCTGATCGCTGATGGGCAATACCGCCACACCTCACTGGGTCTTGACACGTGGAAGTCACTGATTGGTTCTGAGGCCTCCTTACAGAAAATCTGTAACAAGGAAGGGTTCAATGCTGTGTCTAAAGATTCTCGTTTTTCCAAAGCCAGGATCGGTATCCTTGGTGACAACATCGGCGATTGCAGAACCTGTGACTCTAGAATTGGGTTTGGTACTGGAGGAGATCATGATAACAACAACACATGCGGAAACGAGGCTAGTGTGTTGGGGCCAGATAATGGCGAGAAGCATATCAAGGCAATGGGATATATTTTGGTGCAGTAAAAAGAAACTGATCTTCGGCTCTAATTTACCTTTTGCACCAAAAAGAAAGTGTAGTTTAAGGAAACTCTTTTTCTCTCTTCGTTTTTTGTGGATAAACAATAGACTATGTCTAGATTGAATTAAAGTTAACCATTGTTCATTAGAAGTAAAGACACAATGAGAAACTAGGATTAAAAGTTATTGGTTACTGTAATCCAGTCTCGCTATTACTCTACCCGCTAACAAAACTATATTATTTTGAGATTGGAGGTGAGTTTTCAGTTTTTAATTGTTTTTTTTTTTTTCATTATTGTCCTTTACTTAGATCAGCACTTGAAGAGGACGAAGTTGGTGATGCGAGTATATTAGCTTTTCTACGTGGTCTGTTTTCCAAGTTCTTATAAGCGTCCTTGAAGAGTTTACAAATTTCAAACTACTGTAGTAATGAAAATAAAATAAGGACCGTCCTGTATCGGTAATTAGAAACGGTCAGTGTTAACTTGGAAAAATAGAAACTCAGGGAACTGAAATGTACTCATAGGCTTAAATTAGTCATAAAGTGGGTTGGGAAAGTTTTCAGATTGGGATGATCTTTCTCAAATTGTGATCAATCGGTTCCAGAGGAGACTGAATTGGAGTTTGAACCACGCACTCAAATGATACTTGGAAACCGAATTTGATTCACGAGATAATATTTTAGCTAATAAATTTCTAGAGTGATTTTGCTTTGGAAGTATCTCCCTTGGGAAGGATAGGATGCAGTTGTGTGAATGGTTTCCATCCACGTACTTTTCTGCCACCTAAAATTTCGTGTTGTGTTTTGGGTTCCATTGCTACTTTATTTTTTCATTCAAGAGTGAAATTAGAAAATCTGAAATACAATCTCAGTTTAATAATGAGTTTTCTTTGCTAAATCTGATTGACTGCGCTCTTTTTATATCTAAAATATTTTGCGCAGTCAAGGTTCTTGCTGATCCATTAGAAGCTCGGACGCCCGCTGGGACCTTTATTGAATTTTGGGACCCCCTTGGGGGCGTATAGACAGGAGACTCAAAGGAGGCGTTTATTGACTTTATAATGTAATAAAAGTTGCAAGCTCAACAAAATTTTAAAGAGAATTTATCAAGAGAATTTAAAAATGGTGGAATTTTTGTGTTCATCAATTTTACGTCTAGGGCCGTACACATAGCGATGTATATCAGGAGCTCGTTCGAATCTTTACATCGATGTCAGAATCCTCGCTTCGGGTTATTGTGTTTGTCATCGTTAGTAAATCCTTACCCTGAATTTAACACAGAACACGCAAAATGCAATGCGCAGACGAGGTTGCCTATTTACCGAGTCAGGATTTCGAGTTGGGTTTCCAGTTGGATTTTCGAGTTGGATTTTCGAGTTAGGATATTTTTGGCGGGATTTTTTGGCGGGGTTTCCAATAAATTTTCAGCGGTTTTACACAACGTACTCTGTCAGCGGTGTTGCACATCGTCTTGAGGTCTTTTCAAGATGGAGGAGAACGAGGATGGCAGACCGGTAACGGCAATCTTGTTTAATCTATCCTAGTATTGCATTCGTACTGTTACATTTTTGACTGGACAGAATGGCTTACACTTCAATGAATGCTTTTATTTATGAATTATTCATTAATTGTTGAGTGTCGGCCGGATGTAAACCATTAAAGTCTTTCGTAAAATAATGTTTGATTTCAAGAGAATTATACACCAGAAAAAACCTACATGTGATCCCAGAAATGTTACCTGGTTATAATTTTGTTTTCAGAAGCACATGATATATCCAGGGCTGGGTGGAAGTGCCAATTATAGAAATATATAGTATATAAATATAGACGTCAATGTCACGAGGTGCAAATTATCTAAGGCCCAACGTAACTGGTTTTTTAATACTGCAAGAGCGGTGCAAATATCTTTCTTTAGTAAAATCCAACTTTAGTGGTCTATTATCAATGCTGCGTTCTGATCGGTTGAGCTACTATAGCTACTAGGCTAAAATGTTATAGCCCACTAGTAGCGAAAAGCGCCGGCTTTGAAAACCAAAACAATGGCGGCTGAATAGCGTTTTGCTAGTTAAAGTTGTTTTGTCTCGATATTTTTGAGCACCTAGTTGGATTTTACTAAAACAATTATTCCTCTCGCCCTCATGGCCCCTGAGTCAATAGCTCATGACCCCCCTGTATAACTCATGCATTTCGGGCTGATAGTCCGCTTGTTTCTACAGTAATCTGGTGCTTAATGCAGTTACAAAAAAAGTCCATACCTAGACAAAACGAATGATGATACCGAGTCTGGATGAAAAAGAAGTTTCAACACCTGTGTAATTTATCATTTACTTGGGAAAACTGGAGGGGCTGGACATTCCGCTTGTTTGTGTCATTCCAACCTTCAGAGAAGATTTAAGACGAAGTAATTTTTGTACTCTTTTCAGTCTGTTCAGCCGATTTGGATATAATTTGTAGCGGATCGTTCTCAAACTACGTGAAATTTTATTTACCATTTTCACCGAGACCATAATTATACACCTCGTTTGACCCCCCCCCCCATTTTTCATCACCATTGTTTCCACTTTTTTCACCTCTTAATAGAGTCGTCCCAAGAGAAATCGAAGAAAAGGGTTGTACCAAATTTGGGGGTGTAAACAAGGTACGTTATAGTCTCGGTGAAAATTTTCAATAGTTTTATATCTATGCACCAGATTTCCACCTGGGTGGTTTGTGTAAATGGTAAGCATCTCTCAGTTTCCAAAGATTGTTTACTAACTATGCAATACAACAGACGCGCTGATCAGACATAACAACTCAGGTTTGATTGATATTCTTATTAGTCTGGCTGCCAGAAGCGACACACACAATTGAAAAGAAATTCATAGATAATTAACATTTAATATTGCATATAAATTAATGGTTTTCGAGAACACCTATCGCTTTAGAAAAAGACTCAATATTTTACAGTGTTTGTCAGGTTCCTCAATTTCACGGAGTTCTCCAACAGTCTCTCCCCACTAATCGGCGATGTTCTCTTTTTACTTTTGCTCGTTTTCCCTCATTCCGTTGTTTTCTGTGATACCTAATGCGGCTTCTGCTCAAATGGAAGGTTAGTTTTCTCTTATTTATATAGAAGGACATAGACTGACATGACTTCTTGTGCTTTGTATGTAACATATGACTTTCCTTGGTAACTAAAAATTCCGGTGAGTGCGTTAAAGAGATTGTATAAGAGCTCCGATCTAAGTGAGGACTGTGGGTGTAAACTATGTTTTCTTTTAAAGACACCATGGTTAAAATGCAAAGACGCTTCTGCCCTTGGAAATGAAAATAGCACTAGTCACTCGGGGGGAAAACTTGGCAAACAATTTGGTTTGGTCATCGTTAAAAATTGTCTCTCCATTCACGACTCAGACTCAGTAGTGAGAAAATTAAGAAGTGGAAAAAAATTGTTATGGTCATCGTGAGACGATTGTCTTCCCCTAGCTAGTTCTTTATTCAACAGCTTAAGTACTGAAACTTCTAGCAGAGACATTTTTTAAGTGTCAAGAGCTGCAGACGGGCTACATGGGTTTCCATTCCTTACCAAAACCACCCCACCCCTCCATTGCTAGGCAGGCTTGTTACGCCAGCTGGTACCTAAAACAAACGACTCCACGGCTGATTGCTTAAACCACGATGGGTAAATTGAGGTTGCAAAAAAGGACATTTCTTAATCCAGCCTACTTTAAATGAGTGACAGTGCTCATAACCTAAAAAAAAAATATTTTCAACTGAAAGTATACATTTGTTGTGGAGTATTTTGAAAGTTATTTTTAGACAGATCTATCTTATCTTTTAAGTTTAGTTTTTGATCTTTTGTTTTTACTTGTACTTTATTTAATTCACGCTTAGCTCGTGAATTTTTTTCAGTTACCATATTCGGAATGTTATTCGCTTGGCATTCTCAGATGTTAGTTTTTTACAGGTGGTCGTGCTTGTGGTGTTAGAGCTGACCTTCGTTCTTTAGTACTTATCAGTTGGGACTGTGCGTAGGCTAATCTATTCCCTAACAATAGGAATCCTGTTGCAATGTTAGCGATACGATATACAGACATGTCCAGTTTTGGCTATTAAAACCACTACTGTACTTGAACTAGATGACAAAATTAGAGATCCGAGACAAACAAATATGTCTCCTGAGCATTATTTTTGAAGTTGCAAGCAGCAGGGATAAACTTTGAAAAACTGTTAAGCTGAACAGTTTTCAAAATCCCTAATTTCAATCCGTCTCAACCTTCTTCAGTTTTGCCCATCCGTAGCATCTGTTGCTTCTGTTATGTTATTTTAACCTTGCTTTAAAGTTTTAAGAGGCTATTTTTATGTTTCTCTCAATTTAACGGGCATTTTGTAATTTCCTAATTTGCCTGAATTTCGTGACACAGCTCCTTTAAAATGAGAGATTATATGGACAGGCGGGTTACCCCACCTACGCGGTTTACCTCACCTTACTGGGGTCCCCCACCTCCATGTAAACAGGCCCTAAGAAATGTGCCCCAAAGTGTGATGCACGTGCGGAGCTGTTATTTTTTCATTACACAAATTGTTTTCGGACGTTCGATCGTTGCCGCCATCGTCGAGTGGCTGCTTCAAACTTAATAAATCTTAATCAGTTTTAAAGCTCACAAAAAGTATGATTTATAGAACTACATGACTTTAAACAGTCCGGGCCACAACCACATCTGGATATGTAATTTCCTGCAATGTGATTGGTCCAGAACGCAACCAACACATTGATTTGACCGCGAAAGGACTAAGTTCGACAGAAATGTCGCAGCAAAGAGCGCTATGAGGGCCTCCCAGGGATTTTAGGGAACAAGGGAACATCGCCATTTACTTTTAGGGAACAAGGGATGTTTCAAAATAACTTTAAGGGAACAAGGGAACTGTTGAGGGATATTCGGGAACAAGGGAACATTGACCAACATTGACTTTCGACCATTTTCTAACTTTTGGAGAGATTTCCATTAACTGTTTATGAAGACATTTCCGACGTTTCTGTAATTTCACGCATTTCCGACGACTAAGCCTGGTGACTAATCTTCACAAGTGAACTGGTGACGACTGGGGACGAGTTTAGAATGCGTGGGAACCTTGGGAGAGACTCCGTTGGGTGGACCGCCATTTTTATGGTAATTTTCTCTTTGGTGTTCCATGTCTAGAAACGCTAACCATTTATTGATAAATGGCAACTGAAACAGAAGGAATTCAAGCTCAATCTGCGGATATATCAGACACAACGGTAATTGTACCGGTTACCGGTGCAATTTATCACAATGGAAATGAAAAGCCCACAGAAAGATGGTGTTTTGAACTCGGTATGAGGACTGTTTCAGATAAAGATTTTACGTCAGTTTTAAGCCGCTTGCAGAAAGGATTTGGCATCAAGGAAAAAACTTAAGAAAATACCTACGAAGGAACAACAAGACACCGCGCTCTAGTTCAAAGACTCACTTATGTTAAGAAAAACTAAATGGACTGTGTGAGCGCTAAGAGAATTATCTTGACTGACGCACGGCATATTTCTCCAAACTTGGTGTAGCTTTAGTTTTTAAGCCACAGTGTGCAACTCATATCTGAAGATCGCACTATCCGTGGAAATTCAAAATCCTGCAAACCACACTATAGAGCTGGGCCCAGAGTCATATTGACATGGCAGGAAATAATCACATTCACGGACAAAGAAACTTGCATGCATGCATGTAGTTATTCAGATACAGTCATTTCGGAGAAAACCAAAAAAACTAAAATCTTTATTCAGCCGTAATAAACAGAGGTCAAAGGATATAAAACACTTTACAACTGCATCTGAAATCAAATCCTATGAGGGACACCTACCGAAGCATAAACCACAGGAAATGATTACTCAGTATGTATGTAACAAACCTGCTTCATGACCTCTAAATATTCTTGGTTTTCACCCACGTGACCCACCGCTTGGCAACGGTTGCTATCCGCCATGTTGGTGTCCCTCAAGTGTAAACAAACCAAGATGGTTCTGTGCGTTGTCGTTGGATGTGGAAGGAAAAGTGGAAAGGGAAACACCCAAGGATTTTTTCGTATACCATCAGTTGTTAAACATCAAGGCGAAGAGTTCGAAGATCTCACCACTGAGAGGATAAATAGTTGGATTTCGGCGATAAGTCGAGACGATACTGATACGAAGAACGTCCTGGAAAACGAGCGAGTTTGTGAACGCCACTTTGTGTCAGGAAGGCCGTCACCGAACTGGGACAAATTTAACGTCGATTGGATACCGACCTTAAACTTAGGTAAACGAATACACAAACAGAAAGACGTCGAGGCTGCGACAAAAAGAGCCGAGAGAGCAAAGGCTCGAAGGAAAGAGTCATTGAACGACAAGAGAATGAAGCTGCAAGGAAAAGAAAGCTCTTGGACCAAAGAGGCGAACAGGTTGCTAACATGGACTTTAGGGAAGCGTCAACGAGTACTTCATCCGAAATAGTCGAAGACCATAGCGGTGAAATACAGCCTGAAGAGCCTGATACTCAACAGCCTGATATTTCTTCAGCCGCTTGTGCGAGCGATGAAGAAACAATGGCGGTTGTATTTCACGACGCTGAAACACAGACAGAAGAATCTGCCACATTTCCACCAGTCGACGCTGAAACTCAGACTGAAGAGTTTGAATATATATTCTCCAGGCTCAGCGGATATCAAGCACCCGACCAAGATTTCTTTCAATCTGACGACAAGGTCCGTTTTTATACGGGACTGCCATCATTTGAGATTCTAATGGTTGCTTTTGAACACGTGTCTCCACATGTCACTCGCAAAACTCACTCCCTCAGCAGATTTCAGGAATTTGTCATGGTCCTGATGAAACTGCGATTGAATGTACCCTTTCAAGATCTGGCTTACCGTTTCATGGTATCTGTGCCCACTGTGTCAAGGATTTTTTTCTCCTGGCTGGTTGTTATGGACACCAGGTTGTTTCCTCTTGTTTCCTGGCCAGATAGGGAGCAGTTATGGAAAACAATGCCAATGTGTTTTCAACATGCATTTGGAAGGAAAGTAACTGTAATCATTGACTGTTTTGAGGTGTTTATCGAAAGGCCGTCAAATCTGTTAGCCAGAGCACAAACATTTTCATCGTACAAACACCACAATACGATCAAGATTCTCATTGGTATTACACCCCAAGGAACTGTGTCTTTTGTTAGTGAAGCCTGGGAGGCCGCACCTCTGATAAGTATCTGACAGAGCATTCTGGATTTCTCGACCAATTGCTACCAGGAGACATGGTAATGGCTGATAGAGGGTTCACGATTGCAGAAAGTGTTGGCTTAAAGCAAGCCAAGCTGGTTATTCCAGCCTTCACAAAGGGGAAATCCCAGTTGGATCCAGTTGATGTGGAAAAACCAGAGGCATCGCAAGTGTTCGTATCCACGTGGAGAGGGTGATAGGGTTGTTGCGGCGCAAGTATACCATTTTGGAAAGCACACTTCCAACAGATTTCCTTGCTTGCAACCCAAATGGACCACCTGCATCACAGATTCCTATGATTGATCGTATTGTGAGGGTTTGCTCCGCACTTATTAACTTATGCCCACCTATAATACCATTTGACTAGTTTCAGTTGTACAGTTATCTTCTTTTAAATGGACACCCCGGTATACCAGACACTTCTGTGCAGCGGACAGCTTTCACTGGTCCTAACTCAGGCAAATTAGAGCTGTTCATCTGTAACTAAACTCTCTTTTAAAGAGAGTTTAGTTACAGTTAAATAAAAACAGACACCTAGAGCTGGTCTCAACGGTGTCCTGCTTACTAGAGAGTTCACTGTATTGCCAGTTTTAAGTTTAACATAATTATGTGCTTCTGTGAACAGTAACTTAATGTAGGTGAAGGTCAGTAAGAATGTGTCCTTAACAAATATCTAAAACATTTTAATTGATTCAAAATGACAATTTTTGAAGATGTAGACTCTCATGTCATCAATTTTCTTACTTCTTTTAATTACATAATTTGTTAATGTTTCAAACAACAAGAAAAGTTTTAAAAAATTGTCTTTTGAGATGACAGTGAAACAGGTATTTGAGCAAAAACACTCAAACCCGTAATTAATGCAGTAGTTTTCAGCAGGTTATTTTATTGTTCTTCTGTTTGGTCTAATACTACCATGAAGAATGTAGTTAAATTACAGTTAGTACAACATTTTGCAGCACGTATCGTTGCTAAAAAGCGTAAGTATGATCATGTAACACCTATCCTTAAATCATTAAATTGGTTACCCGTAAAAGACCAATATTATACTTTAGAGATGCTGTGTTAGCTTTTAAATGTATGTCGGGACTAGCCCCTGGGTACCTTAGCGATCAATTAATTCTACGCAGTACTGTAAGTAACCGGCAGACCCAGACTCACAGATGCTAAATATCCCTTTAGTTAGGTCTGCCACTGGGCAGAAAACATTCCACTACAAGTTCAGGAGTTGCCATAAAGGCATTATGGTGACAACCGGGAGGGCACATTGTTTACAATTGTATGTATGTATGTATGTATGTATGTTGTGAGCAATCACGAAACAGGCTTGTAGGGATAGAAATGTTATTTTTCCGCTAACAATATTTTTCACGCTCTACTTTATGTACTGAGCACTCTTCTACGGAGATATCGAGCCACAAACTTTATGTATGTATGTATCTACAGTGGAATCCTGACTTTTTTAACCCACAAGGGAAATAATAACTGGTTCAAGCAATCAGGATTTCCAGATATCAGGAGTAAAATTATGGGCTTAAGAAATCAAGGGACTGAGAAACCGGGATTCTAGTGACATGTTTTTCTCATGAGTACAATATTATGTACATTTATCAACAATGAGCAATTAGACGCTGATCTGATCACCATTAGTTCAAAAATGAAAACGCTGACCCATTTCTGAGCAGGCAAACATTTTTCAAGATGTTGGAATGCTATTTGCATTTTTAATTCCTCTTTCAGGTGAAATATCTTCGTTATAACAAACAGTCACTTAAATTAGTGGTAACTAATGTAGGCCATTCATTTAGAAAAAGGTCTATTTTACCCGGGAGTTCTCCTTTAAGACCAAACCCTTAGCATAATATTTTCTAAAAACATATTTCATCAAAGAATAGCTGTCCTTTCAATAACCTGCTGTGGAATGATGTACCCCCTTTTTTATTTTTCAAAATAATTTCCCTTGGTACACTGTAAAATCTGCCGCAAATAATAATTATTACCTATACCCCTTTGGAAGCACATAAACATTATTGCCCCAGCTATTTTTCAAGGAAATACAGTTTTATAATTATTGATTCTGAAACAGATCAACCTCCAGTCATAACTGTGTCCCATGTTGGGCACTTTGACAATTCTGGGTTGGTAGCCTGAATCTGTGTAAGATTTGCCAAAGCACTCTGTTTGTCAATTTCACCTGATCTCAACATCATCATCACTTCCACTAACAGAATCAGTTTGGATGTTGGATGTTGATGGTACAGACAATGGCACAGGTAATGATGAAACTGTTCCACTGAGTTGAAGAAGTACATGGTGGCACTGACCTGTTTGGCTGTTTACACACAGTACTGTCAGCTAGTCTTACAATTGTTTGGCATCCTTTTTTATAAGACAACTTAAATGAAAAAATTTACTATTCTTACAGTCTGTGCTGTGGCACTCTAGTAGTTTATCTGTTGAGGTTGCTTTGGACTTGCAGAGACAAATATTGTCGCAAAGCAAGGCATTTTGGTTAGTTACATTATCAGGTACACTTAATATTTCCTCTTACAGAGGTCACGAATCCCCAAACAATCTGGTTGAAGGCTTCCAAACTCTTGTAGGCCTTGAACTGCCGTTTCGTATACTAGCTAGTCTCTAAAACCAGATATCCTAGCAAATCAGTGGCTTCAATACGTGGCAAACATTCTGGGTCGAACTGCTCGGTTGGAATGCTGACCGGGTCAACTCCAAGTAGGAACATTTTCTGAATATATCGTGTCTTTACTTGGCTCTCGAGGCTTTTGGCGAACTCGGAAAGATCAAGGATACTCGCACTGGTCCTATCTGAGTCCTGATCGCTTTTTCCGTCCGATAATTCCATTTACGACCGCAAAATTTCGAAGAGAACGAAAGAGTTGCGAGATCCGACATACTATTATCACAAATTTCACGGTCGGAAGGGACACCAACATGGCCGACAACCAAATTTGGAAATGCCCGTGACGTCACGTGAAAACCAAGAATAAGATTTAGTGCGGCAAAAACAAGATTTACTCAGTCAAAGTTTAGAATGCTACACCTCTTGCACTCTGTAGTGCTAGTAACCTTTGCGCGAGAGAAAAAAGAAAGAGAACCTTTGTTCAAGCAGACTCTCAAGGTCACGTTTCATATTATCACGAGCTTATGAGTCGTGTTTGACCTGTCAACGCTTATTTCTTAATATGCTTTTCGGAAAATTCAGAGAAATACATTGAGGTAGATAGCATTATTTGTATCTTGACGACCTACAAACATAATCAAGATGTTTTGCAACTTAAGGAGGAAGAGCGGATCCTACTTCAGGATGAAATTCAACAGACAAGTGATGTCCTCACTCTTACAGAGCAGGGCCGTAGCCAGAAAAAAATAAGGACTGAGGCAATATCTACGGTTGAATTCCCCGCCTAGCTATTTAGGGTCTTTATGATGACTACGTTTAAACAAAACACTGGGATCAAACCTTAAATGACTGAGGCAAGTGCCTCAGTTTGCCTCATACTGGCTACGGCCCTGCAGAGGCGACAGAAATTTCTGTTGATGAACCAGAGGTGATGCGGCATTCATCAAGGAGACGAAAGAGGCGTTTTCCTGAGGATTATCTCTACTATGACTAACGAGGTAAAACTTACGAAAATACTGACCATCGAAAACTGAAATATGATTGAAATTCTGGGGAACATTAATTAATATTTCTGGGGATCAAGGGAACATGCAACAGAATTTCTGGGAACAGGGGAACTTGATGAAAGTGAATTTCAGGGAACATCTTAATTTATTTTTGGGGAACAAGGGAAAAACTCCAATTTTTTCTAGGGAACAAGGGAACATGTACCCCCCCCTGGGAGGCTCTCCGCTATGGCTGGGATGTTCCTTGAAGAAAATTAACAGTATGTACTACCAAACCGATTAATGGAGATGATTTTATGCGTCTTAGCGTTCGATTTACAAATATCAAGGTGATAATGATCGAGGAAGGTTTCTGTAAAAACGCCTGGAGTTTTGATATCAAGAGGCCCGAAGCAACTCGACGACACCGATCGAAAGGGAAGAGTAGGGAATTTGAATACTTGAAATACTGATACATTTTAAGTGGAAAGGTATAAAGAAGAAGTGTTTGGAGTACTTTTTGCGAGCACTGCTTCGGCCTAGAGTAGTATGCTTTATGCTTCTTCTGGAGCAATTGCAAGTTTTCAGTGTCACGCCATTCAAAATAGATCAAAATAAAAATCAAAACCATTCGACAGATAAAGCCCAGAATCTGGGAAGTGAAAGGAGGTAAATATACAAAGACCCTCGCCAAGATTTGGGTCGAAGGAATAATTCGTATACGAGATATCCGAGGAAATGTTTTACCCAAATTTATAGAGCTTTGTATGGAGACGCCATGCTGGATCTCATCCGGATGGGCTCCAACATGGCGGACGGAAACCAACAGAAACATCTGTTGCCGAGTTTTGCTACAAAAGCGTGAATTTACTCCTAGAGGAACTCATAAACATTAAAGTAATACTCTTTCTAATACTTGAACTGTTTAGATAGCAAAATTCCTCGAAAAAAGTTACTTTTTTAACCTAAATGACAGCTCTCTCGGCCGTAATGTAAATGCTGCGTCACGCAAAAGCTTAGAAATTCAAGCGTACTCTATTACAAAACCAAGAACCCTTTTGAAGCGAAAATTTGTTTGAAAATTAGTTTCCAGCTGCTCTAATACACCATGAAAGTAAAATCTCAGTAGGATCGATAGTTTTGTATTTTGAATTTTAGTGACGTCATGTGAAAACCAACAATACCATACGCGCTAACATCTAATTGCGATCGAAGGAGTGCTGGATATCAATTTTCAATATTTCAATCGTCAAACATCTTAGATTAATATGCGAGGGTAAAAAAAAATAAATAAAATTTCTGTAAATTGCACTCACGAAGGGTCGTAAACAGTCGTTAATCAATGTCTGTCTTTTCGAGGTGCAAAACCTCATTGCGGATGAAAATATTAAAATACCATTCACAGTTCAGAGGAGGACTTTATCGTGTTCTAATAGCATTAAAGTGGGGTGGTAGGCCTACACGAATTTTAACTCATGCCAAAATGCTGCTCGTTTCAATTAAGTTTTTTTCCTCTGCTGGGTAGATTATGATCTGGAAGATTCAGGGGAAGATTGTACATTTTCACTGAGATTTTAGCCGCTTGTTGCACACTGAGAGGTCATGGCACACACATCGATTTACTGTGGTTTTTGTATCTGGTCTGAAGGATTTTCCCTCTAATGCAAGAGCATTTTCTGTGATCTCAGTTTTTGAAGCGTAAAGCATTTTATTACGGCTGAATAAGGGTTTTAATTTTCTCCAAAGTGCCTTCTGGATCTGAATAACTGAGCGATTTTTGTTAGTCCGTGAATGTAATAAAAATGTTGTTGTCTTTTTTTTGCAGTGTTGTATCACGCTGGGCCCAGCTCATGAGTTTTCTTTGCAGGATGTTAAATTATCACGGATAGTGATTTACAGATACAAAATTATAAGAATTAAGCGCAGCTTCAACTGAAGCTGCATCAAATATGGAGAAATGCATTGTGACTCAGTAGACTCCAGCTTGGTGTTTTTCTATAAATGCGAGTCTTCTGACTGGAGCGCGTATTCCCTTCCTTGATAATAGCTTTTGAATAAGCTTAACAGTGTTTGAACTGTTTTGTTATTGCCACTTTGTGATCAGGCAAGACCATGGTTACGGTTCTCCACGAACAAACTGGCGGCATCTTTTTGCCACAAAAACAAGGTGCTTTTGCTTTTCCATCCGACTGCAAGATAAAAATAAACATTGCGATACAATGAAAAGCAGCGGCACGTGAACGGCGCAACTGACTGTTGCATCTTCCAAAGCACAACACTATTTGAATTCGCTATGCACTACACCAAAAAGACCACCACCAACAGGCAAATTTTATGTAGATTTCAAAAACTTTTTTTTTCAAGGATCAGAAAATTGAAACTCACCTTCTTTTTTAGATGTTTTGCGCCTTGTCCAGCATTTCTTTGAGCTGAAAAACTCTCGTGTTCGGTCGTTTTGCCTCCCAAGAACGCACAAACGTTAATCGGACGGCATTTTTTCTTCACACCCCTGATTTCTCGCTGCTAAAGTCACAGCTCTCAAAGTAGTATGGGGAAAAGACACTTATAGGTGCAGGGTTGAAAGAGCCTGGAAGTGACCTTCCCCTGTGTTTCTCGGCGAGGGCGCCATTTTGCAAATGTGGGTGACGTCATCATATATCCAGATCTGGTAGTGGCCCGGACTGTTAAAAGTCATAAATATCAAGTACCTAAGAACTGCCAGAAAAATACTTAATTCCATCAGAAAATAATTCGCTATTTTTCTTCCCCTGACATCTTTACTTTAGCTACGTTTTTTAGTTTCAGCTCACTTAATGCGTTCCACTTTAAAAGCCATTCTTAAAGCCAGGAACTCCCTAAATTAAGAGATTTCTAATATGCACGACCCATGCATTCTAAAAACGTAAATTTAACCCTTCATTCCTTCTCTTCAGAATTTACCACCATGTATCATCACAGTCTTCGTCAAGATGTTTTTATAAAGGACGAGTACCATTATTTAAACGTTCCTAAAGTTGGAACATTCACAGTGTATGACAGCCTTGACTGCACCTTTGAATGCCTCGGCAATCCTTCCTGTTTGTCCTTCAACCTGGCAGCTTACAAAGGAGCAGATGGAAAGTTGCGGTGTGAGTTGTTATCCTCAGAAAAGTACAGCAATCCTGAGGAATATAAAAGGAACGAGAGTTTTCATCACTTTTCCATCAAGGTGGGGTAAAATCTTTGCATAGAGTTTATTAAAGTAAGATATTTTTTGATATCACAGTCTATGCGACTTTTAATAACCTGTCACGAACACTAATCGACGTAAAAGTGACTACTGCACGATAACAAGTCGGGGGTATTCAGTCGAATGTCACTTTCCCTTTTTTTTTCTTACTTCTGCCATCAACACTTTTACGCAAAACGAAATTACCTTAATTATATTGCATTTGACATCAACCTTTTTTTAACTTATTTCAGACTCCATGTATGTCATCACCTTGTCAGAACGGAGGCACCTGTGTAGCGAACTATAAGTATCACTCGTTCGACTGCCGTTGCAAAGAAGGGTTCTATGGAGAATTTTGCGAAGAAGGTAATTGATATTCAGACCGGGGCCCCCGTTCAAGTTAGGACAACCAAACTTAGCGGCTTTACCTAAAATTTATCTTGGAAAATTTTAAAGACGTTGTGACGTGTACGTCAACATTGATGTTACCATGGCAACCGAGTTTTGACAGGCATGGTTTTCAGAATTTGCTTTTTCTCTAAACAAAATAGGTTTAAATTCATTTCTTTTTTAACTGATTGATTTATTACGTTATCTACTTTTTTTTTACAGTTGCCAATTCCTCATGCCAAGATGTTTATAATCAGCTCACAGAAAAGTGAGTAAACCTATGCATAGTAATTTAATTGATGAGGATAGATCACTTAAAGTCCGGGGGATCATTCGGAGTGCGTCAGTACTGTGTTTGTAAGCCAAAAATCAGCCGTCAGGCCTCAAAAACGGAATACAATTGTGTTGCAGGGAAAGTCGATATCATTTAATTAATTGTACATGTTAGAATTCGTATCGTGGCTGATGGATTCTATTTCAGCCTTTGTTCTCCACTCTGGAAACTTAGGGTTATTAGAGACCTAAACTTGTAAAAACTGTTGAATTTTTAAAACAAATGATTGGTACTGTTAAGATAATAAAAACCATAATCTGTGAACACCACCATCCTGCAATGAAGGCCCTCCAGCAAAAAACGTTGTTGATGACATGCGGTTGAACCCCGCCGTTTCGTTTAATACGAACACCCGTATAAAACGAATGGTTCGTTTGTACCGACAAAAGTTCAGATATTCCAGTGCTCATAAGTAAACCTGGTTAATATGGAAAACAAACACTTTTCTTGTGTCCCGAGTCCCAAACTGTCATATAATAATTATCGTAAACTCCCCCGGAAGGTCCTCAATTAAGTTTTATAGGGCAAGCTTAGCCCTGGGTCTAACTCCTTACGTTTTATGCCCATTATTTTTGCAGAAAAGGTACTCCTTTCGTATACCATTCCATTCGTCTCTAATGGTTAAAGGTTCGAGTGGCTTGTTGCAGGCACTTTATCCCCAGGGGGTACTCAACAAATTTTTACGGTGATAATCCCTGCCCCGAGGTCCACGTCCTTACCTTTTCACATACCTTTTGGCGGTTGAGGGGTGGATAATCCAGGCACTTTATCCCCAGGGGGTACTCAACAAATTTTTACGGTGATAATCCCTGCCCCGAGGTCCACGTCCTTACCTTTTCACATACCTTTTGGCGGTTGAGGGGTGGAGTGGCTTGTTACAAGCACTTTATCCCCAGGGGGTACTCAACAAATTTTTACGGTGATAATCCCTGCCCCATGGTCCACGTCCTTACCTTTTCACATACCTTTTGGCGGTTGAGGGGTGGAGTGGCTTGTTACAAGCACTTTATCCCCAGGGGGTACTCAACAAATTTTTACGGTGATAATCCCTGCCCCATGGTCCACGTCCTTACCTTTTCACATACCTTTTGGCGGTTGAGGGGTGGAGTGGCTTGTTACAAGCATTTTAAAATGAGCTCAGATCATACAAGGGCCAATATGAAGAAAGACTGCCTTATCAAAATCAAACTTACACACTATTTTAATTGCTGTTTCTTTTTTTTTAGTAACAAAATCGTATTAACCCACAGAAATCTGTAATTATTTGAAAAAGATTCATTGTATGCAATTAGTGCGTGGTTGTGACAAGGAAATAGACCGTGACAGCTATAGGTAGCCATTGGTCACCAGTGTCCATAAAGCGGGGTTGACGAGATAAGATTTTAAGACTTGGGAACACAGAAAAGTGTCCGTTCTCCGTCTTAACCGTTGTCCTTATTAAACGGGTTGGAGAAAGTACGTGAGCTTCAATAATTAAAACATGCAAAACTGACTACTGAGTATCTGTGTAACATGTTCTGAGTAGTTGTCAAGAAAAACCAATCCAAGTCTTACATGTAGCTCGCGGGTAAAACAGGGGTCCTTTGACGTCAGATGGGAAAAACATCATGCGCACCATTTTCGCGGTTTTTCGGTCGCCCCTTTCCCCTTCCTTCTGAACGTCTGTTACGCTGTTTAGCCATCTTCGATGTCCGAATTTAATTCCTACAGAACACTTTATTAAAATACACTTTATTAAAGTTAGTTGAAGAGCAGAACAACTTGGTATCATAAAGCAAAAATAAATATCAACCTGTGCTGGAGGTGAAATTATATCAGTCCAAAGTACATTAATCGTGTAGTAACTCCCAGTAACATGATGGGAACCTGAGAAATTTAGATTTAACTGAGACTGTACTGAATTCGATTGATTCATTTATTTTTGTAAAAAAAAGCGAACCTTTTTTTTCTCAACCAGTTAAGGTACATTCCATTTTTCTCTCTCCGACAGTTGGGAGCTGGAAAAATTAAAATGAGATTTCATTTTGTACAGGTTGAACGTGACTCAGTATTGGTCACTCTCATCCTTGACTCCAAACTAGTTTCAGTTCTCTGTCACTTTGGAAATTTTGGATGCGGAGATGGAGGATGGACACCGGTCATGAAGATGGACGGCAACAAGGTAAGACATTTGTGTACGTTTTCCCTTAGTTTGGCGACAGGAGTGGAAAAAAAAGTGTTATTAATAATTAAATACAGGTTTGCCTCTGTCAGGGGTAATTTTCAACTATCCTTAGGCTAGCCTGCGAATACAGCCGTTTCTCCTTGCTCCTCGTCGCTAGGGACGTTCCGCCAGGAGGAACGTCTGCACCTCAGCGACAGAAATTCCATACTAATGACGTGAAATTGCAAAATTTTCTGGGGGAGCATAACCCCAGCCTCCAAGATTAAGGCGCCTTCGGCGCTCTAACTTTTCTTCTCGTTGGTACATGCTAAGTCCCTGGATCTGAAAGATTTAAGTATTAAGAACATCTTTAAGCTGCTGGAATATCTCGGTCAGTAGCAGAGGTCACCTGCCCTTTCTGTTAGACGATGTGAAGCTTTTCATCAAAACACGGAAGCCTGGTCTCTGTACTTGCAGATACGCGAGAGTTAAAGATAATTATATTCAATACGGCATTTTTCAATCGCATCAATCACCAACTAATGATTACGGAGTATGTTTACTTTTTATTCTATCGGTGAAAATTAACGCCATTTCGCCTGCTGTGGCTAATTTCACTAGTTTTATAAAACTGGAGAAACAAGGACGTTGTAGATATTCTTTTCATTGTAATTGATCTTCCATTGCAATTTCTTCTCCGGGAAGGGTGTAGTCTTTAGAAGAAAAAAGAAACCGTTGAACTTTTCTTTTTAAAGGACGTTTTTTTCTATTTCTTCCTACTTTCTACCACAGCAAACTTTTCACTACAACTCCACTCTCTGGAGCAACAAAGAAACCTTCAACCTTGACGGAGGGAAGACTGGGTTTGACGCACAGGAGACCAAACTTCCCTCTTACTGGAACACATCCTTCTCCAAGATCTGCCTTGGTATGAAGATCGGCCAGCAGATCAAGTTTATTGTTATCAACAAGCAGGCGAACTCCTAGTACTCTCTGATCGCTGATGGAAAGTACCGCAACACCTCACTGGGTCTTGACACGTGGAAGTCACTGATTGGTTCTGAGGCCTCCTTGCAGCTCAACTGTAACAAGGAAGCATTTAATGCTGTTAGTAAACGATCTGGTTATTCCAAAGCCAGGATCGGTATCCTTGGTGACAACTACTTCGATTGCAGAAGCTGTGACTCTAGAATTGGGTTTGGTACTGGAGGATATCATGATAATAACAACACATGCGGAAACGAGGCTAGTGTGTTGGGGCCAGATAATGGCGAGAAGCATATCAAGGCAATGGGATATATTTTGGTACAGTAAAAAGAACCTGATCTTCGGAGCTAATTTTCTTTTGGCGCCAAACGAAAGTGCAGCTTGACGAAACTCTTCTTCTCTCTTCGTACGCCTAGATTGAATTAAAGTTAACCATTATACATAAGAAGTAAAAGACACACTGAGAAACTAAGATTAAAAGTTATTAGCCACTGCCAGTCTCGCTATTGCTCTACCCGCTAACAAAACTGTCTTGTTTTGAAATTGGAGGTGAGGTTTCAGTTTTTACTTGTTTTCTTTTTCATTATTGTTGTTTTACTTACATCAGCATTTAAGAGGACGAAGTTGGTGACGCGAGTATTAGCTTTCCTCCGTGGTCTGTTTGTCAAGCTCTTTTAAATGAGCGTCCTTGGAGAGCTTACAAAATCCAAAGTAATAATTATAATAAAAAAATAAAATAAAGAACGTCCTGTACTGGTATTTAGAAACGCGGGTCAGTGTTAACGTGTAAATATCAGGTCGAGCCTATCACAGGCGTCTGTAGAAATATAATTGCAGGGGACTGAAATGGACGCATTGGCATAAATTAGTCTCTAACTGGGTTGGAAAAGTTTTTAGACGGGGATTATCTTTCTTAAATTGTGATCCAGAGGGGATGCCGGGTGAGGCAAAAATTGGCCGGGACTCTTTGCGGTTGCAAACGGTTGCTGCCCGCAGACAATCTTTGAAGACCGATGTTTGATGTGTAAAGGCCGATACACACGAGGGATTTTGCTCCCGGAGCATGCTCCAGGGGAGCCGAATTGCTGGGGAGGGGCAATTGCTGTTTTTGGTAAATTCTGAAGATGACTCTGAAGATGACTTCCACACAAGTTGTCGAAACGTCAGTCATTGTCAACAACGGGACTACGATCACCCGGCGGACAATCATGCTCAAATGACTCTTGGGTTCAAACTGAGGCTTGATTGTCAGTCGCTGTTCGGGAAACGAGCCCGAGGTCCTCCACTGGAGGCATAATTAAAACTGTAGCTTTATTTGGTCTTCATTATTTTCCGGGATTCTCCTTTTTAATGTTTTCCTGTCAGTAATAATGTCTCAAAAAATATAAATATAATGGTTAAGTTAAAGCATTATGTCTCAAAAAGCCGCTCTTATCAGTTCAGTATTACAGTAAAAACCCGCATATAAGAACCTGTTGATTTAAGAACCTAAAGGCGGAAATTTGGCATTCAAATAGTCAAAAATACAAGACCCTGTCCAGCCTGGCAATTAAAGAAACTGTTGGTTCTTATACAAAAAATCACTGGGGCTCCAATTTTGATGGTCAAAGAATTCTGGATTTTAATAGTGGGAAACTTCTGACAAACAGTTATTGTGTACAATTATGTTTTCCTTGACTATGTAAATTTATTTAGATTTTCACGAGAAAGACGTTTTCCGTAAAGCTACGGTGCAATATAGACTATTTAAAATCTAAAATATCTATACATTTCTGCCAATGGTTAAACTACGACAACCTCTGCAAAATAAAAATATCTATTAAAAGCCTTATCACCTGAATTGTGAAAAACTACCCAAAAATATAAGAACCTGTTCAGCCTGGCCTCGAAAATTCTAAGTTCTTATATGCGGGTTTTCACTGTATTCTCTTATATATCATTACCTTACTTATGCTTGTACACTATGGGGAAGTAATTATTAATGCTCCACTGTCTCAAATCGTAAAATTACAAAACGAAACTAAATTACGAAATTACAAAACGGTATCCCTAAGCCTTTTGAAATTTCTTGATATTGTAAAGCTGAAGACATTGTATGCTTTTTTATAATTATTTCCACCATGAAAAGTTTCCTAATATACCTGTTTCACTAGTATCTGAGCTACATAATTACAATACCTGAAGTACATCACCTAATCAAATAGTCATACCCCCATTTCGAACTAATCTCAGGAGATTCTGCCCCAGCGTTATTGGAAGATTCTTTTGAAATAGCATTCCGCAATTAATCAGAGACAAACCATCTAAAAAGGTTTTTAGAAAAGCAGTTTTAGCTGTTACCTTGCTCAATATTAATGAAACATCATATCTTTAACAATTTACTGAGCTATTTTATAATTTTTCCTTTACTTTGTTATTAAAAACTACAAGGTTTTTGTTGTACGTAACTTTAAGAGGCGAAATATAAGTTCCTCTGGACGTGCCCCTCTCCTCTAATTCCTATCTGCAATGTGATTTAATTTAAGTGCTGTAATTTTGTATTGTGCGCTTTCTTTGTTTGTAAATTTTATTTGTTACTTACTTTTTCACCTTACATGTATATCTAATTCTGTATTATCATTTGCTAAGGTTTGCAGAAACAAATAAAATGAAATGAAAAAATGAAATATAATGACAGAGTAACTGAGGAAGCTTTTACACCTGGTTAATTTTGTCTAATTATCTTCCCCCGCTACTCAGTAAAAGTGTCTCCCTTATTCAACCATGCATTTTTATCCTTGGCACAGCAACCTTGTGACACAGCAAGCGGAATTTCTCACTGCCTTGTATTCTGTGTACTATGTAGTACTGCAAACAAACCTTAAGGCAAGCAGGTGGATGATTCCAAAAGGGCGCTAACGTCTGGGTGAACAAAACTTAACATTTTAAGACTGAGAAAAGCATTTCCCAAATTTGATTCACAAAATATCTTCTTTGGTGATAAATTTCTGGAGCGATTACTTGGGAAGGAGGCGGTTGTGATTCAGGTTTCCATCCTCCTATTTCTCCGCCACCTAGAATGGATGAATGGTCTTTTTTTTTTTTTTTTTAATTCTTCTGTTGCACTATTTTTTCATTCAAGTTCGCTAAATCTAAGATGTTTTCACGCACGAAGATTATCATTATCTACATTAGGGTGGATTCATTTGCAACATACGCGTATAGCTGTCGCATTTGTCCACTGGGGTTTTTCCAGACGATACCATTCAATCAAAATCAAAAATCAATAACATCAATAATAGTCAATAAAAATCAATTGCAATCAATTGATTGATATTGAAAATCAATAAAAATCAAAGCCGCAGTCTTCAGTGATTTTCGATTTTCATTGATTTTCATTGAAAACTAAAATGTGCTTTCTTCTTGTTTTAAACACATCACATGGCTTAGAAAATAAACCCAATTAAGGTTTAATCACTCATGTCTGATCTACGATAAATTAAGAAATTAAAAAAGTACAACAGAAACAACAGTTCAAACAACAATTTATTACCTTCCTGTATTGATAACAGGCCGAAATGAAATGTACTTTAAATAGATGCATGTGTTGCGCTCCTTAATGTATAACTGAGCATGATGTTATTCAATGGTCTTCGAGTCTGCCTTTAATTTTGTCGAAATTTTCTTAGCTGAATATATCAGAAAAATCTTTTAAAAAGTCACCCTAAAGTGGGCTGACAAGCTCCGCTTGGAGATGGCCAAGCTGGCCTTTTTCACTAAAAACTTTGACTGCGTTACCGTGTTCTCAACTCTTCTTGGAAACGGAAAACATTTCCCCTTCCTTTGCTTTGAAAGGACAGTGGTGATACCCCTTGAAAGACACAGCAGCATTGTTGTGTTTGCGACCACGTTTAAGCAAATGCCTAACCGGGTCTTTACTGTTGCACAGCAAATATTGATTATCAATAGCAATCAATGAAAATCAATAACTATATAGACACATCGGTGAGTGATTATAGATCTTTCTTGATTGGCTAATCCAATCAATATTAATCAAAGATTTTACAGACTTTTATCGATAATATTGATTGAAATCAATGATTGATTTTCATTGATTGTTATCGCCTGGGGTTTTAGGTTGAAAAACAATTAAAAACTCCAGTGGGCAAATGCGACAGCTATACGCGTATGTTGCAAATGAATCCACGCTAAATGTTTCTAAACTTGAAACATTCAATGTCTACCACAACCTTACCTGCAATCTTAAATGCTTGAGAAATCCTTTACGCTTGCTTATTAATCTGCTAGGTGCAGGATAGGTGGCTGTATTTGCAGGTGACATCAACAACAATCATTACTAGTTCATCCTGAGTCATTTGAACTCATATTGTGCACGTAGCCGTCAGTAGTAATAAACCATCTGAGGTCTAAACAGTTACGATAAACCTTTTCCTCTAGCTTTGTTGAAGGCACAAATATAATAACAATTGACCAAATGTAATAATGCACTCAAATGTAATACAAATGGACCACAAATGTACTAAAACCGGCCAATGCTATCCAAACCGTATATACTCGAGAGAACGCCGCCCTCAATATAAGCCAGCGCCATCCGAGGTCCAAACAGTTGCGACAAACGTTTTCCTGTAGGTTTCCCTTCCCGATAACTTTACGGGCCCGAGATCAAATATTCAGCTCAAAATCTAATGAACAAAAGCGCGGTTCGCAGCTAAGAAAGCAATACGTTTTGTTTTGTTTACTGATAGTTTTATCATATTATCTGCAAAACTATTGAAACCTCGATCTTCAATATAAGACACTTAGGCAAAGACGTTTTTGAGCGACGCACGTCAACCGGAAGTAAGGCCTTTTCCCTTTCGATATGCCTTGACGCTAACAAATTTATATTGCTAAGTTCCTTTTTAGTCTTATAACGACGATTTTCTCAAGAATGTGGGAAAAGCCACTGCCAAAGAATGCAAAAGTAGCCTTCCGGTTGACTAGCGTCGCTCAAAAACGTCTTTGCTTAAGGTGACTCGACCCAGTTTTTTTGGGGGGGTACCATCCTACTTTGAAGCTCTCTGGTATCCCCACCTTTAGAGATACTCCCGTCACGAGTTGGTTTAATTATTGGCTTGCATTAAACCTATGAAAAAATGATATTTTTTTAATAGTAAGTAGATTTAATGTGTAGCACTTCTTGATTTTTTTGCAAAGGCACAAGAAGCACGACAATTGATTAAAAATTGTGAGTTAAACCTCTATGTATCACGCGATGGCCTGTCTCACTGTACCAAAATTATTATATCTCGGTGAGCATTCGGAAGTCAGCCAAGCGTGGTCATTGCACGCGTGCTGAACAAGAATGCTGTATAATGACAGACTAGAAACAATAGACAACTCCCACAGCACAAACTCAGCCAGAACGCTAAAAATCTTCAGTGTTTACTCAAGTTTGGGCTTATAGAAGATAATGTCACAGTTTTTTAATGACCATGAAATTCAGAGTCCGGGTAGTTAGTTAATCAATTGTGGCCCTGAAAAAATTTGAAGGAAAAAAAACTACGAATTTTTAAGAAAATGCTTTTTTCGTGAGAAGGACTCTTAAACGCTGACAAACGTCAACAAATAGCGCAAACTATAATTTCTATATGTTTGCTTTGCTCGAAATCGCGCGCATTTACAAGGCCCTAAAGCGTTTTGATGACTTGCAAGGACCCATCTGTTATAAGGATGCCCAAAATAAAGAGGTGAGTCTCATAGTTTATAAGATATAATCCGTGTAAAGTTTGCTTACCATTTTCGCATAAATTATGACCTAAATTTGGAAACCGCTGAATTTCTCGAATTGGGTCTTTGCGATTTTGGTGAAACTCTGTTCAGCGCAAGGCACTAATGCGCACTATGTGTAGCAGAGAGATTTTCACGAAAAAATGCCGGTAACAGCAGATTTTCGACTCAGACCTCAAAGGGGCGTGGCATTATAACCACGTGACATTTACTCCGATCGCCAAAAATTTTATGTTATATTGTAGATTGATCTATATGTTATCCATTCTATGTGTTAGACTTACGATACAAGTAAAGGTGGGGACACCAGAGAGCTTCAAAGTAGGATGGTACCCCCCCAAAAAAACTGGGTCGAGTCACCTTAAGCTCCTGAACAACAACAAAAGCCTGGCCCCATGGATAACGTCTAACCCCATGGGGGTGGGGGTGCTCAACAAAATTTTACCTGACGGGGAGGCTTTGCCTTAAGGTCCAACCCCTTACTTTATTAAATACCGTGATGTCACGGCGTAACTGACAGATGACCAATAACATCGCGACATAATTGACCAATCAGATCAATAACCAGAGCATAATACCATCAACCGACGTGCTACTACTCACTTTGACTCTGAAGATGACTACCGCACAGGTTGTCGAAACGTCAGTCACTGTCAACAACAACTGTCCTATTCAGGACTACGTTCACCCGGACGATCAAACTCAACCTTTTGAAATTAACAGTTATATTTACGTGTCATAATTCCGAGGTATTTGTATGTAATTATTTGTAAGGTTTCATATACTTACACCGTTTTACAGGTAGCCATAATGAGACTACACCTGAAGGCGGATCATGAGATTATCTCTAAGTTTAAAAAGATCTCTCTTTATAGATAATCCACCCAGCACAGCAAAGGTTGGCCACACCACCGGGGTATAATTTCCCTACTCTTTTGGAAGAGCGGTGTGGGTTCTTTTGCGTCCCACAAGAACCAGATAAGTGAAGGTGCTGTGAGACGGGAACTACGGTTTTTCGTCCTTATCCGATCCGTGAAGACTAGAACGTCTAACTGTTTGGAAGATGTCACAGCAATTTCTTTTCAGTTACTTTAAATACCCTGAGTGTTGTCCTCCCGCTCAGCAGGCCGGCGCTCTTAACTGAGCTAACCAGGCGGCTGTAATAGTTAACCAAAAAGTGTCTTGTTCGTCTAACAAAACTCGGATGATTACAGTTATCTTTGACTCAAAGCCAACATCCGTTCTCTTTCACATGGGAGATTTCGGATGTGCAGATGGAGGATGGACACCGGTCATAAAGATGGACGGCAACAAGGTACGGAGTAGCCTGTGTCAGGCTCTTAGATAGTAGGGACATTAGAGCCTCTGTATGGGTGTTTCCCACGAAATATACGCGAAGATCACCATTGACATTTCAATCAAGTTTTACGTTTGTCATGCAATGATGGCAAATAATCTTGCCATCATTGCGTTCAGAGTGTTTGTTTTTTACGTATTTTCTCATTTCTGTCGTTGCTGTACTGTTGGGCTGAGCTTGCTAGTAGTGCTACCACGCAAAAAAATGTTCAGTATGCGACAATTTTGTGTTCGCCTCAAAAAACGACGATTTGATGAAAAACGTGCGACAAAATCGAGGTCCGCAGGTACCCATGCAGTGGCTCAAACCACAAAATAAAACAGGCCAAGCGTTGTCATTCTGCGCTGTACACATTAGTAATTTATCGTTTAATTAATTTGACGGCCAAGTACTTGTTTCTCTCGCAGCAAACGTTTAACTACAGTTCCACTCTATGGAGCAACAAAGAAACCTTTAACCTTAACGGAGGGAAAACTGAGTTTGACTCACAGGAGACAAAACTTCCCTCCTACTAGACAACATACTTCTCCAAGATCTGCCTCGGTATGAAGATCGGTCAGCAGCGGGTCAAGTTTATTGTCATCAACAAGCAGACGAACTCCTTGTACTCTCTGATCGCTGATGGGCAATACCGCAACACCTCGCTGGGTCGTGACACGTGGAAGTCACTGATTGGTTCTAATGCCTCCTTGCAGTACAACTGTAGCAACGAAGGGTTCAATGCTGTTGGTGGTAATTCTCGCGATTATTCTAAAGCGAGAATCGGTATCATTGGTAATAATGAAAAAGATTGCAATTCCTGTAACTCTAGAATTGGGTTTGGTACTGGAGGATGGCCTGATAAAACCAACTCATGTGGAAACGAGGCTACGTGGTCTCCAGATAATGGCGATAAGCATATTAAGGCAATGGGATATATTTTGGTGCAGTAAAAAGAAACTGATATGGGTTCATTTACTTTTGACGCCAAACGAAAGCTACTTAATCTAAACTCTACATCATGTTCGTTTTTGTGGATAAACAATAGACTATTTCTAGATTCAATTAAAGTTAACCATTTACATTAGAAATTACATACTCGGCTTCGCCTCCAATTTTTGAAACCTTATAATACACTCCAGCTCGTTTTTTTAATCAATACGTAAAACCGTCAAGTTAACCGAAACGATTCACTTCAACATATCAGTCATTGTACATTTTTAATATACATTTAAAAACTAGCAACAGAAGTCGATAAATAATTTTTCAATATAAATTATCTAGCGCTATCAGGCGTCTTAGCTAACTTTGATAACAGAGAGTTTTAAGGTGATGTTACACGAGACGATTCGCAACGACGACTTTTAGCGCAACACATCGTTGCAATGTTGGAACAATGCTGTAACTATTCGAAACAATTTACGGGTGCGTTATTTTGGGAGAATCCAAAAATGGATTTGTGATCTCAGATCATATGGATTCTTCACTACCAAAAAAAAACGGAAAATCCAAAAAAAGGATCATTTATCATGACAACGGCATGTCTGCTTGCTCCTCGTGGGAAGAAAACAACACACTGATCTTTTCGGCGAAGACAAGAAGAAAAATAAAAGCAACATAAGCTACGTATGAATATACGAAATGTATATACAGCGGATTCAGGTTGAGCGTTTAATGACGTCAAATATCGCGTTCGTTATCACGGTTGATTGGTTGCGTTGCGAGGCAAATTGTCAGACGTTGCTAGGCGGGGATGATATCGTTCTGTCTGAGAAAAGGCATCGATCTGTGTGTCATGGCGATTGAAATCAAGATAGAATATTCCTACTATTCTACAAAAGAATAACTCCAGTATATATTGTCGAAGAAGAGCTTATAACCCTGGAATACAGCAAGTTCGTAGAACGCATTGTGAACGAGGTGCCCCATCTCCGACGTGGTAAATTTTCGAAACTGTCGCTAATGAAACGTTCAGCTCATTTGCAATACCCACAAATCGACCTGGAAATATCATTGTTAGTGGATCACCTCTTCCTTCAATGATTTTATCGATGATGATATGTCTTAGGTCACAGGATAAAAGGTTTTCCTAGGATATAAGAGCGACCGTCTTGCTTACGGTCAGCATGTTTAATTTACATTCTGTATAGCGCCTTTTCTTCGACAAAACGCTATCATCCCCCGCCTAGCAACGTCTGATAATTTGCCTCACAACGCAACCAATCAACCACCATAACGAACCTGATAACTGACGTCATTAAACGCTCAACATGAATCCGCTCTATTTCGGTTTGAAACACAAACGTTTCTCGAATAGAATACACTCCTAAGGATAGTAAAAATATAAGAATTTAAAACTGAAGCCGATGAACTGTTTTTTTCGTTTTCATTTGGAAAATAAACCGGCGTAAGCTAGCGTTTCAGTGCGGTTTAGGAGCAAAGAAGAAGGGACGAGGAACCCCGCGAAAAATGACCTTCTGTCATTTTTTCGCTGTAATGTCATTTCTCACGCGGCTGTTCCTCGGTCTTTCTTTTCTCCGAAACCAAAACGCTTGCAATGCAGGCTAGCGTAAGCAGACACTACATAGGTGCAAAAATAACATGACAAGTAAGGATTTCAAAACAGTCTACCAATGTAAATAGATAACAAACATGGAATGATATGTAACTGAAATGGCTCATAGCCTGCAGTGCAGGCGTATTTTGGGTGGGCGAAACCTTGTTCGTGTTCGTAACGTTGTTGTAGCCGCCATCTTTGATTTTATGACAGTGGAAGATTGGGGAGAGTAGAAATAGTAACCCTTACGGTAGGGAAGTTTCAACATGGTGCTTTCGCGAGCAAATTGCGCGCTCAAAGAAAACGCCTGCACTGCAGGCTAATGGCCAGCAATATAGGTTCGGTTAGAATGTCATACATGTACGGTACCTGTTGTGTACCATTTTTGTTCAGAAAACCGCTTGTCAAAAATACTTTTTTCAAATCCTTTCCCCAAGAAACGTTCAGATTGTGAATTTCAAAAATCCGGATTTGAATTTGATCCGAAGAATCCACCCGGAGTGTTGATTTTATGGATTCATGATCCGTTTTTGGATTTGTCCAAAAAAACGCAAAATCCGTTTTTGGATTCAGAAACTGACGGATTTGGATTTTTCCCAAAAAACGCACCCAATGTCGCAACAATGTTGCAACGGAGTGATGCGCTAAAAATCGTTGTTGCGAATTGTCTCTTGTAACATCGCCTTTAGCAACGACGACGCGACGGCAACGAGAACGTAAAAACAACAATAGGGTTTATTGAACAAAACAACAAGTTTGCACGTACATCACGCTTTTGTGCACATTTGTTACTGCACGACAAGGACGTGAAAATGCCTGATTTTACGTTTTATGGAGGACGTAAAGGTGATGTTACACGGGACGATTTGCAACGACGATTTTTAGCGCAACACGGCGTTTCAATGTTGGAACAGTGTTGTCACTATTCGAAACGATGTCGCAACAATGTTGCAACGCTGTGTTGCGCTAAAAATCGTCGTTGCGAATCCTTTCGTGTAACATCACCTTAAACCAGCGGCGACGAAATTTTCTTTCTCTTTATAAACTTGACTGCGGTCCCCAAGAAATCAACTCCAGGAAAATTTGCGGCCTACATTAGACATTTTCAGTGAATTGGAATAAAGAGGGGGACATTGGGGGGTACCCAATACCGCAATACCGTACGAAAAAATGGCAAATACCGAAATACCGCGTCGCAAATCGACTAAATACCGATACCGCATATTTTAATTACATTTACAATCGGTTCCGCATACTTATGGTTGCTTCCATCTATCGCGTTTAATTATCTCAGGCATTTATGCACAAAGATGTCCATGTTTTTTTTTAATATTTTGGTAGTTCGCAAATTTTTCGCAAATCTTCACTGAAAAGTAAACTTCATTCGTTCAACCTTTTGGTAGGAGTATACAAAACGAAAAGCATACAGTGAGGCGTGATCTCTAATACAGTCCTAATAGTGAATAACAATTCTCTTACCTTAAAACGGTTTTCTAAAGGGCATTTGCATGATGGCGTCATTATTACTACAACCGGTTTAGACTGTTCACAGTTCCCTATTTTTCCGTGAGAAAATGGACTAAACTAAACGACTAAACTTCAAATGGACTAAACGGCTTCCTGACCTTCCTGGCAAACTGCGAGTACCTAGCTCACAGACAATTCTGGTTATAGGGTCTTATAGGTCGACCCAACAGCTAATTAACTCGTATGGAAATAACTCTTGAAAGCTTGAAAACAAAAACAAAAAACAAACCAACCAAAACCCTTTCCACGCACGTCTAGAGCGAGTTTTGAGTCACCTATCTCGACTATCTGACCTATTTCACACGCCGCACCTGTAAGAACTAAAGAAGCAAACTTACCAAATCCTCTCCTTTAACTTTACAAGCCGTTTTTCTGTACTTGAAACCCGGCATCGAAATTTATTTTTCTTGCGATAATTTTCCCCTCCTTTGCCTTCTTCGTAAAAAATTGCAACGCAGTCAATGATGAGTTCGCCGTCTTGACCGTCTTGAACCAAAGCGACCTCAGCCATCGTGAGAAAACGTGTAAGACCTCGAATTACCGGCACACGTGCCTGGTAAGGTAACTTGAGACAACTCATTGTCATTGGATGCAACAACAATCTCATTGTATCTTGACCTATTATTATCGACCATTAACTGTCACAAAATGACCCACAAATGGTGTAATCATTTACCATTATGTCTAAAGACTTCTAAATATTAACTTTTCTTGACCTTTATGTCTTACTGTGTTTTGTTTTGCGTATTGTATCGAAAGGAAAGCGCAAACAACCGTACCGCAATACCGTAAACAATCATATTTCACCGAATACCGTGAGCCAAAATGATGAAATACCGCATACCGCAAGGCTAGACGATACCGCAATACCGCACGTTAAAATTAAAATTACCGAAATACCGCATGAAAAAAAGCCCAATACCGCAATACCGTAAACCCCCATGTCCCCCTCAATAAACGCGACAAAGTTTGAAAAAAACGCCAATTCATTTTAAACTGTGACGTTTTCGCTGCCGTCGCCGTCGTCGGTGCTAACTTATGACTCCCTACAAGAGAGAATGATCATTCTCTCTTGGTCCCTAATAATGACAGTAAACGACAATATAATATTAAGTTTTTCCTCTTTGATTTCACTAGTTAAAGTGTATATACCTGGATTTGTGATAACCGCCGGGTCAGCAAAAAATTTTATAATTTCTTTCGATTATATATTATAATTTTTATGCTAATCCACAGGTAATACATTGGAATTTGTTGTTTAAACGGTCCATCATTGTTCCTTGATCAATTTTTCAACTTAATGAACAGTGAATAAATTTAAACAATGTTTTTTCGGCTGAAATTCTCCAGGGTTTGAATTATCCAGAAACCGTATTTATTGAGTATTTGATCAATTTTAGTTACTGAAAAACTCTAAACATTCTGATCTGACTACTATTTCATAAATTATATTATTTCATATTTTGCAAGAGCGGCGCGAATATCTGTCTTTAGAAAGGGTTAAACCGGTTTTAGCTATGTCCATAAAATTGCATTAAGCGCTCTTTCCTTTTAACCTGTCTGAAGTCTTTTCGTCACAAAAGTAAATTTTTTAAAATGCTGCACTTCAGCCACGATTTCTTTGGTAAAGCTATTCTGTTTCTCAAGGATTTTAAGAGACTCATTTTCTAACCAAGAAGCCGGCAAGAAAACGGGATATATAGTTAACCAAAGTATAATTCTTTGGTGTTAGAGAGTATTAGTACGAAGACGAGAGTGAAAAAAAAAGCAAAATATTGATTATGTTTATTTTTGTCACGCATTACTGTTTCATTGTATTTTTTGCCTGCGAATACAGCCTTCTCTCTTCGTTCCTCACCATTTGTAGGCAAATTGTATCTCAGCAACTAGTGTGAATAAAACCGTTGAATTAAAAATGAGCATTGCTTATTGTCAATAATTCTTTTGTTGACACAAGAACTAAAAGGGAGTTTCCCTGATTCACATAAACAACTAACCACCCCACCCCTCCCTTATTAGGCAAGCTCGTTACGCCAGCTGGTACAGTGGAGTACCTAAAAAAAAAAGAAAAAACTCACCCAGCAGATGGCTTAAACCATGATGGGTAGGACTGATATTGCAAAAAAGGACATTTCTGAATCCAACCTACTTGAAAGAAAGTCCTCATAACCTAAAAAAGGAATTTTTTTCAACTGAGACTACTGATACATTGTAAAACTACGAGAATCTCTGTGGAAATCCCCAGAGCAAATAATCGCCTACCTGATGTGAGGCAAAGGTGCAGTTTTTTTTAACTATTGCTATGGTTGATGAACACTGTGTGGTCATCAGTGAAGTGCTTACTCAATTTCTGTCACGCATTACTGTTTCTTTGTAATTTTGCCCGCGAATACAGCATTCTCTCTTCCCTCCTCACCGCATTCGCAGGCAAATTGTACCTCAGCAACTGTGAATAAAACCGTTGAATTAAGAGCATTGTTCATTGTCAATGATTCCTTTTCTTGACGCAGGAACAAAAAGGGAGTTTCTCGGATTCACCTACACAAGTAACCACCCCACCACTCCCTTACTAGGCAAGCTTTTGTTACGCCAGCTGGTACCTAAAAAAACAAACAACTCGCCGGCAGATGACTTAAACCATGATGGGTAGAACTGATATTGCAAAAAAGGACATTTCCTGATTCAAACTACTTGAAAGAAAGTGCTCATAACCTAAAAAAAGAATTTTTTTAAACTGAAACTACATATAACTAGGAGAATCTTTGGAAAAAAAATCGATTTGAACACTGCGCTATTTTCAGGTCTCAAAAAAACTCACCATAATTTTTCTTTGTATCGTTTTTAGAACGTTTACTAACAAACTTAAGTTTGAAATTTGAACTAACCCGAACCACCCATCCCATTGTTTTAGGTGGTGAAGCAATTAACGTTGGGTTCTTGCCACGGACCCCCAGATTCCACAGCAGGTGATTCCTTTTACTAATGGCTAATACTGAGTTTGCTAACAGTCAGATGGACATAACTACATTGTACACAATAACCACGTATAAGCAAATCCCGATAATTCTGAAGGGTTTCAATCGCATCGCTAATGCTTGGCATAAGCGATGCGCATAAGCTAATGATCGAAAGAACCCACGTAGTCTCTAAAACCTTATTGACCAGTATATTCTTCTTATTTGGCAAGTCGTCAAAAAGCTACTGTTTTTAAAGACTAATAATTAAAGCAAAATTTAAATTTTAACTGTATTGGTGGAAAAACCCATTAAGCACTCCCGAGCATTGAAATAACATTTTCAAGAACTTTTAAGTAAAGCTAATGGGAACCTATTATTTTTTCGCTTTTCAAAAGGAATATACTAGACGATTCGATGAAAATTCTTTTTGGAAAGATAAGCAATGGTTGTAATTATATTTTTGGACGCACAGAAAACGATTTTGTGATGGCTGCTGTTGGCGCTTTTATTAAGACCGGAGAATATGGTATTTATGGTTGAATAAACATAGAGTCTTTTCTGAAAAAATAACCTTCCCTCTACGCCAAATCAACCTAAAAATTTTGTTAAGTTCTTATTAGTTTCATTCTTTTTATGTTGTATGTTCACAGATAACTAAAGAAAAATAGACCTGTAAGTTGACCCTCGAGACAATTTAATTAATATTCCCTTATTACGGAAGAAGTATAGTCTGATATACAGCCTTGTAAAATTGCAGTTCAGAAAACTGTAAAGATATTTTCTAACGCCAAAGAGTCTTGGAGCTAAAGAAAAGATTATCTATTTTGGTAAAGTCTCCTGTAAGGGGGCAATACCCAGGCGACGATTTTTTGTCTTGTTTTTATAAGAATGTGTTGTTTTTTCCAGAGCCTTAATCCTAGCAACCAATACGTTGGCGTTTGAAGTGCATTGGTTGAGGTTTCAAGACCTGTCATTAATTGGCCCTGCCACATTGAAGCGACGTATTAGACAAAGAAAGTCATCAATAACAAACATTTAATATTGCATAAAAAACTGATGGTTTCTAGAACGGCTATCACTTTGCAAAACGCTGTTTTGGCAGTGTTTGTCAAGTTCATCCACTGATTTTACGAAGTTTGCCAACCGTGAACAGTTTCACCAATCTGAGATGTTCTCTTTATCCTTCTTCCAGCTCCTTCCGTTGTTTTCTGCGATACCCAGTGCAGTCTTTGCTCAACTGGAAGGTTGGTTTTTCTTCGCTTTATTGATAGTCGAGTGAAATTTCATGGAAATAACCTTTTTACTTTGTATAAGTTAGAGGGAAATCTCTGAAGAGGACAGTTCAGGGAAGATGGAGGCAAACAAGCTTTCCTCGTTATAACGATATGCATGTAAAACAACGCCCGCGGATAGTATTTTGTCACTAACTAACATGGCTCTTTTTCTGTTTCGCTTGGTTAATTACTTTAAAAATCGCTGAAAATTGCTGCCGGCATGTTAGAGAAATGTATGACAGTTCCTAAAATTTTGCTGGGAAGGGAGCTTAAACAACTAGGACAAAAACGAATACTAGTTTTGCGTTGTTTTAAATTCTATCGCGTTTATAAAGTTGAGTTTTTATCGCGATACTTTATTTTGTTTCGGTCAATTTGTTTAACGCTGATGTACCCTGTAAATTTTCCTTGAGTTTAATTCTTAAGGAGCAAGAGCCATAATGGTCCCAGTTATGGCACGACATTAACAGTCAAATAAATAACAGTAGTGGACTGCCAGAAAATCTCTAATTAATTTCATGAAGATGATAATTCCCATTTTTCTTCTCCTGACCTCTTAGTAGGCTTTACTCTCAGCTAAGGTGTTTGAATTCCACTTCACATAACGCGTTCAATTTTAAAAGTCATTCTTAAAGTCAGGAACTCCCTAAATTAAGAGATATCTTAGTGCACGACCCATGCATTCTAAAAAGGTAAATTTCAAAACCATTCTTTCTTATTAATGATTCTTCAGAATTCACCACCATGTATCATCACAGCCTTCGTCAAGATGTCTTTATAAAGGAAGAGTACCATTATTTAAACGTTCCTAAAGTTGGAACATTCACAGTGTATGACAGCCTTGACTGCACCTTTGAATGCCTCGGCAATCCTTCCTGTTTGTCCTTCAACCTGGCAGCTTATAAAGGAGCAGATGGAAAGTTGCGGTGTGAGTTGTTATCCTCAGAAAAGTACACCAGTCCTGAGGAATATAAAAGGAACGAGAGTTTTCATCACTTTTCCATCAAGGTGGGGTAAAATCTTTGCATAGAGTTGATTAAAGTAAGATATTTTTTGATATCCCAGTCTATGCGATTTTTGATAACGTGTCACGAACACTAATCGATGTAAAAGTGACTACTGCACGATAACAAGTCGGGGTTATTCAGTCGAATGTCACTTTCTGCTTTCTTTCTTTCTACAATCAACACTTCACGCAAAACAAAATTACCTTTAGTTAATTGTAGGGCATTTGACATCAACCTCTTTTATAATTATTTTAGACTCCATGTATGTCATCACCTTGCCAGAACGGAGGTACCTGTGTAGCGAACTACAAGTATCACTCGTTTGACTGCCGTTGCAAAAAAGGCTTTTATGGCGAAGTTTGCGAAAAAGGTAATTGATATTCAGACCGGGGCCCCCGTTTAAGTTAGGACAACCAAACTTAGCGGCTTTACCTAAAATTTATATGGGAACATTTTAAAGACGTAGTGTCCTGTACGTCAACGTTGATGTTACCATAGCAACCGAGTTTTGACAGCCATGTTTTTCAACATTTGCATTTTCTCTAAAAAATAGGTTTAATTTATTCCTTTTTTCTACTGATTGAATTATTACGTTATCTACTTTTTTTTCAGTTGCCAAGTCCTCATGCCAAGACGTTTATAATCAGCTCAAAGAAAAGTGGGTAAACCTATGCATAGTAATTTAATTAATGAGGATAGATCAGTTAAAGTCCGGAGGATCCTTCGGAGTGCGTCAGTACTGTGTTTATGAGCCACAAAAACAGCCAAAAAATCAGTCGTCGAACCTCAATAACGGGGTATTCAACAAATTTTTACGGGGAAGCCCTGCCCCGAGGTCCATGTCCTTACCTTTTCACATACCATTTTTGACAGAAAAGGTTTCGTATCCCATTCCATCCGTTTTGGCGGTTGAGGGGTGGAGTGGCTTGTTACAGGCATTTTAAAATGATCTCAGACCATACAAGGGTCAATGGCAAGAAAGAGTGCCTTATTAAAATCAAACTTGCACGCTATTTTGCACTTTCTTTTGCTTTTTTGGTAATAAAATCGTATTAACCCACACAAAAAAACAGGGTTCATTGTATGCAGTTAGTACATGATTGTGACGACGAAATAGACAGTGGACAGTAAGGTAGCCAGTGGTTACCAGTGTCCATAAAGCGAAGTTGACGGCATGAGATTTTCTGACTTGGGAACACAGAAAAGTGTCCGTTTTCCGTATTAACCGTTGTCCTTATTAAACGGGTTGGAGAAAATACGTGACCGTCAATAAACATGCAAAACTACTGAATATCTGTGTAACATGTTCTGAGTAGTTGTCAAGAAAAACCAATCCAAGTCTTACAGGTAGCTCACGGGTAAAATAGGGGTCCTTTGACCTCAGATAAGAAAAACATCATGCGCACCATTTTCGCGGTTTTTAGGTCGCCCCTTTCCCCTTCCTTCTGAACATCTGCTACGCTGTTTAGCCATCTTCGATGTCCGAATTTAATTCCTATAGAACACTTCATTCAAATACACTTTATTAAAGTTAGTTGAAGAGCAGAACAGCTTGGTATCATAAAGCAAAAATAAATATCAACCTGTGCCGGAGGTGAAATTATATCAGTCCAAAGTACATTAATCGTGTAGTAACTCCCAGTAACATGATGGGGAACCTGAGAAATTTAGATTTAACTGAGACTGTTTTGAATTCCATTGATTCATTTATTTTTATAAGAAAAAGCGAACCTTTTTTTTTTTTACAACCAGTTAAGGTACATTCCATTTTTTCTCTCCGACAGTTAGGAGCTGGAAAAACTAAAATGAGATTTCATTTTGTACAGGTTGAACGTGGCTCAGTTGGTCACTGTCCTCCTTGACTACAAACTAGTTTCAGTTCTTTGTCACTTTGGAAATTTTGGATGCGGAGATGGAGGATGGACACCGGTCATGAAAATGGACGGCAACAACGTAAGACATTTGTGTACGTTTTGCCTTAGTGTGGCGACTAGAGTGAAAAAAAATGTGCCTCTGTCAGCGGTAACTTTCAATTATCCTAGCCTGCGAATACAGCCGTTTCTCCTTGCTCCTCGTCGCTAGGGACGCTTCATCAGGAGGAACGTCTGCACCTCAGCGACAGAAATTCCATACTAATGACGTAAAATTGTAAATTTTCTGGGGAAGCATAACCCCAGTCCTCCAAGTTTTAAGTGCCTTCGGTGCTCCAACTTTTCTTCTCGTGCGTATACATGCTAAGTCCTTGGATCTGAAAGATTTAAGTATTAAGAACACCTTTAAGCTTCTGGAATATCTCGGTCAGTAGCAGAGGTCATCATCCGCTTTTCCTGTCAGACGAGGTGAAGGTTTTCATATCAAAACACAGAGGCCTCTGGTCTCTGTACTTGCGAATACGCGAGAATTAAAGATAATTAAATTCAATTCGGCATTTTTCAATCGCATCAATGATTAAAGAGCGCAGTATTTGTTTACTTTTTATTCTATCGGTGACCATTAACGCCATTTCGCCTGCTGTGACTAACTTCATTTTATAAAGCTGGAGAAACAAGGACGTTGTAGATATTCTTTTCACTGTAATTGATCTTTCATTACAAATTCCTTTTTTTTTCCTTCTCCTGAAAGGATGTTGTATTAAGAAGAAAAAGAAACCTTAATTTGAACTTTTCTTTTTAAAGGACATTTTTCCTATTTCTTCCTCCTTTCTACCATAGCAAACATTTCATTACGATGCAGCCTTTTGGAGAAACAAAAAGACCTTTAACCTTAACGGAGGGAAGACTGGTTTTGACTCAAAAGAGACTAAACTGCCCTCCTACTGGAACACTTCCTTCTCCAAGATCTGCCTCGGTATGAAGCTCGGCCAACAGATCAGGTTTATTGTCATCAACCGGCAAGCGAATTCCTTGTACTCTCTGATCGCTGATGGGCAATACCGCGGCACATCGTTGGGTCGTGACACTTGGAAGTCACTGATTGGTTCTGAGGCCTCCTTGCAGCTCAACTGTAACAAGGAAGGATTCAATGCTGTTCGTGAAATGTCTGCATCTTCCAAAGCCAGAATCGGCATCATTGGTAACGACCAAGACGATTGCCACTCTTGCAACTCTAGAATTGGATTTGGTACTGGAGGATATCCTGATAATAGCAACTCATGTGGTAACGAGGCTAAACATTCTCCAGATAATGGCGAGAAGCATATTAAGGCAATGGGATATATTTTGGTACAGTGAAATGAAACTGATGTGGGCTAATTTGCCCCCTTGGCGCCAAACAAAAGCTAGCTTAACTTAACTCTAGATCCTGTCGTGTTTTTTTTATTGAGGATAAACAAAAGAAAATAAGTAACCATTATACATTAGACTGAAGCATATAACACGGAAAATAAAGGATACACTGGGAAACCAAGATAAAAATCGTTGGCTGTATTTCTCTCAGTTGCTCCTCAAAGTTGGTACGCCCTAACAAAACTATGTCATTTTGAGATTGTAATGTGAGTGTTCAGGTTTTACTTTTTTTTTTGTCATCGTTGTTGTTTTACTTATGTGACGAGAGAATTTATTGTTGTGTAGTTATTTTGCTTTCGCTGATAAAAATATGAAAAGCCAATGTATAAATCCTATATTCTTTAGTTTTAACTTCTTTTAGACGTAAACAACGTGTCGATTTATCGAGCGTAAACTTATTTGTCAAGTCATAATTGCTTTTAGTCTTCAAACTCAGTGTAATTTGACCTGCAAAAAAGCCCTTATCCACCTGCGTAGCTTTTGGAAGTAATTAATGTTTCAAAACAAGCTGAGGTTTCCACCAATAGTCTTTTAGAAATGATTGTTGCGCTCTGTAATTTGACTCGTTAAGTTGTGATATAATCTGTATCGCTCCGCTAGCTTAGGCTTAAATACGAGTGCTTTGTAGGAGCTTCTTCGGTTATATCCTCGTTGCATCTAGTAGCCTTGGTTAGATTTTGGTTGGTTATGTTTTGACTGTACCCGCGGTATAGTCTTGGATTAAAACTTCCACATTAGAGCCAAGTTCTGTTGTGGTCATTGTCTCAAGGGTATTCAACAGGCGTAAAGATTCCGTGCCTTCCCGCAGTCAGCGAGTGTCCCCAGGAAAAGGCCTTTCCGAGAGTCTAAGAGCTTTTCCCCCGTTCGTCGGTTACCCTTTTGTAAAGGCAAAACCTGTTTTCACACTTAGATAAGTATTTGAAAAGGGCGAAGTTGGTGATGCTAGTATTAACTTTTCTACATGACCTGTTTTACATTAGTTCTTTAAATAAATAAGCGTCCTTGAAGAGTACTACTGTAGTAATGAAAATAAAATAAGGACCGTCCTGTATCGGTAATTAGAAACGGTCAGTGTTAACATGGAAAAATATAAATTCAGGGAACTGAAGTGTACGCATAGGCTTAAATTAGTCACAAACTAGTGGGTTGGGAAAGTTTTCAGATTGGAATGATATTTCTCAAATTATGATCAATCGGTTCCAGAGGAGACTGAATCGGAGTTTGAACCACGCACTCAAATGATACTTGGAAACCGAATTTGATTCACGAGATAATATTTTATTTAATAAATTCCTAGAGTGATTTTGATTTGGAAGTATATCCCTTGGAAAGGATAGGATGCGGTTGTGTGAATGGTTTCCATCCACGTACTTTTCTGCCACCTAAAATGTCGTGTTGTTTTTTGGGTTCTATTGCTACTTTATTTTTTCATTCATGAGTGAAATCAGAAAATCTGAAATACAATCTCAGTTTAATAATGAGTTTTCTTTGCTAAATCTAATCGACTGTGTTCTTTTTAGATCTAAAATATTTTGCGCTTTCAAGGTTCTTGCTGATCCATTAGACGCTCGGACGTCCGGGACCTTTATTGAATTTTGAGACCCACGTGGGGTGTATAGACAGGAGACTCAAAGGAGGCGTTTATTGACTTTATATTGTAATAAAAGTTGCAAGCTCAACAAAATTTTAAAAGATAATTTCGACCAAAATATCAAGAGAATTTAAAAATAGTGGAATTTTTGTGTCCATCAATTTTACGTCTAGGGCCGTATCCATAGCGATGTATATCAGGCGCTCTTTCGAATCTTTACATCGATATCAGAATCCTCGCTTCGGGTTATTGTGTTGTCATTGTTAGTAAATCCTTACCCTGAACTTAACACAGAACGAGCAAAATGCAATGCGCGGACGAGGTTGCCTATTTACCGAGTCAGGATTTCGAGTTGGGTTTCCAGGTGGATTTTCGAGTTGGATTTTCGAGTTAGGATATTTTTGGCGGGATTTTTTGGCGGGGTTTCCAATAAATTTTCAGTGGTTTTACGCAACGTACTCTGTCAGCGGTGTTGCACATCGTCTTGAGGTCTTTTCAAGGTGGAGGAGAACGAGGATGGTAGACCGGTAACGGCAATCTTGTTTAATCTATCCTAGCATTGCATTCGTAATTATATTTTTGACTGGACAGAATGGCTTACACTTCAATGAATGCTTTTCGTTATGAATTATTCATTAATTGTCGAGTGTCGGCCGAATGAAAACCATTAAAATCTTTCGTAAAATAATGTTTTATTTCAAGAGAATTATACACCAGAAAAAACCTACATGTGATCCCAGAAATGTTACCTGGTTATAATTTTGTTTTCAGAAGCACATGATATATCCAGGGCCGGGTGGAAGTGCCAATTATAGAAATATATAGTATATAAATATAGAAGTCAATGTCACGAGGTGCAAATTATCTAAGGCCCAACGTAACTGGTTTTTTAATACTGCAAGAGCGGTGCAAATATCTTTCTTTAGTAAAATCCAACTTTAGTGGTCTATTATCAATGCTGCGTTCTGATTGGTTGAGCTACTATAGCTACTAGGCTAAAATGTTATAGCCCACTAGTAGCGAAAAGCGCCGGCTTTGAAAACCAAAACAATGGCGGCTGAATAGCGTTTTGCTAGTTAAAGTTGTTTTGTCTCGATATTTTTGACCACCTAGTTGGATTTTACTAAAACAATTATTCCTCTCGCCCTCATGGCCCCTGAGTCAATAGCCCATGACCCCCCTGTATAACTCATGTATTTCGGGCTGATAGTCCGCTTGTTTCTACAGTAATCTGGTGCTTAATGCAGTTACAAAAAAACTCCATACCTAGACAAAACGAATGATGATACCGAGTCTGGATGAAAAAGAAGTTTCAACACCTGTGTAATTTATCATTTACTTGGGAAAACTGGAGGGGCTGGACATTCCGCTTGTTTGTGTCATTCCAACCTTCAGAGAAGATTTAAGACGAAGTAATTTTTGTACTCTTTTCAGTCTGTTCAGCCGATTTGGATATAATTTGTAGCGGATCGTTCTCAAACTACGTGAAATTTTATTTACCATTTTCACCGAGACCACAATTATACACCTCGTTTGAGCCCCCCATTTTTCATCACCATTGTTTCCAATTTTTTCACCTCTTAATAGAGTCGTCCCAAGAGAAATCGAAGAAAAGGGTTGTACCAAATTTGGAGGTGTAAACAAGGTACGTTATGGTCTCGGTGAAAATTTTCAATAGTTTTATATCTATGCACCAGATTTCCACCTGGGTGGTTTGTGTAAATGGTAAGCATCTCTCAGTTTCCAAAGATTGTTTACTAACTATGCAATACAACAGACGCGCTGATCAGACATTTCAACTCAGGTTTGATTGATATTCTTATTAGTCTGGCTACCAGAAGCGACACACACAATTGAAAAGAAATTCATAGATAATTAAAATTTAATATTGCATATAATTTAAAGGTTTTTGAGAACACCTATCGCTTTAGAAAAAGACTCAATATTTTACAGTGTTTGTCAGGTTCCTCAATTTCACGGAGTTCTCCAACAGTCTCTCCCCACTAATCGGCGATGTTCTCTTTTTACTTTTGCTCGTTTTCCCTCATTCCGTTGTTTTCTGTGATACCTAATGCGGCTTCTGCTCAAATGGAAGGTTAGTTTTCTTTTATTTATATAGAAGGACATAGACTGACATGACTTCTTGTGCTTTGTATGTAACATATGACTTTCCTTGGTAACTAAAAATTCCGGTGAGTGCGTTAAAGAGATTGTATAAGAGCTCCGATCTAAGTGAGGGCTGTGGATGTAAACTATGTTTTCTTTTAAAGACACCATGGTTAAAATGCAAAGACGCTTCTGCCCTTGGCAATGAAAATAGCACTAGTCACTCGGGGGGAAAACTTGGCAAACAATTTGGTTTGGTCATCGTTAAAAATTGTCTCTCCATTCACGACTCAGACTCAGTAGTGAGAAAATTAAGAAGTGGAAAAAAATTGTTATGGTCATCGTGAGACGATTGTCTTCCCCTAGCTAGTTCTTTATTCAACAGCTTAAGTACTGAAACTTCTAGCAGAGACATTTTTTAAGTGTCAAGAGCTGCAGACGGGCTACATGGGTTTCCATTCCTTACCAAAACCACCCCACCCCTCCATTGCTAGGCAGGCTTGTTACGCCAGCTGGTACCTAAAACAAACGACTCCACGGCTGATTGCTTAAACCACGATGGGTAAATTGAGGTTGCAAAAAAGGACATTTCTTAATCCAGCCTACTTTAAATGAGTGACAGTGCTCATAACCAAAAAAAAATATCTTCAACTGAAAGTATACATTTGTTGTGGAGTATTTTGAAAGTTATTTTTAGACAGATCTATCTTATCTTTTAAGTTTAGTTTTTGATCTTTTGTTTTTACTTGTACTTTATTTAATTCACGCTTAGCTCGTGAATTTTTTTCAGTTACCATATTCGGAATGTTATTCGCTTGGCATTCTCAGATGTTAGTTTTTTACAGGTGGTCGTGCTTGTGGTGTTAGAGCTGACCTTCGTTCTTTGGTACTTATCAGTTGCGACTGTGCGTAGGCTAATCTATTCACTAACAATAGGAAACCTGTTGCAATGTTAGCGATACGATATACAGACATGTCCAGTTTTGGCTATTAAAACCACTACTGTACTTGATCTAGATGACAAAATCAGGGATCCGAGACAAACAAATATGTCTCCTGAGCATTATTTTTGAAGTTGCAAGCAGCAGGGATCAACTTTGAAAAACTGTTAGGCTGAACAGTTTTCAAAATCCCTAATTTCAATCCGTTTCAACCTTCTTCAGTTTTGTCCATACTTGGCATCTGTTGTTTCTGTTATGTTATTTTAACCTTGCTTTAAAGTTTTAAGAGGCTATTTTTATGTTTCTCTCAATTTAACGGGCATTTTGTAATTTCCTAATTTGGCTGAATTTCGTGACATAGCTCCTTTAAAATGAGAGATTATATGGACAGGCGGGTTACCCCACCTACGCGGTTTACCTCACCTTACTGGGGTCCCCCACCTCCATGTAAACAGGCCCTAAGAAATGTGCCCCAAAGTGTGATGCACGTGCGGAGCTGTTATTTTTTCATTACACAAATTATTTTCAGACGTCCGATCGTTGCCGCCATCGTCGAGTGGCTGCTTCAAACTTAATAAATCTTAATCAGTTTTAAAGCTCACAAAAAGTATGATTTATAGAACTACATGACTTTAAACAGTCCGGGCCACAACCAGATCTGGATATGTAATTTCCTGCAATGTGATTGGTCCAGAACGCAACCAAAACATTGATTTGACCGCGAAAGGACTAAGTTCGACAGAAATGTCGCAGCACAGAGCGCTATGGCTGGGATGTTCCTTGAAGAAACTTAACAGCATGTACTACCAAACCGATTAATCGAGATGATTTTATGCGTCTTAGCGTTCGATTTACAAATATCAAGATGATAATGATCGAGGAAGGTTTCTGTAAAAACGCCTGGACTTCTGATATCAAGAGACCCGAAGCAACTCTGCGACACCGATCGAAAGGGAAGAGTAGAGAATTTGAATACTTGAAATACTGATACATTTTAAGTGGAAAGGTATAAAGAAGTCGTGTTTGGAGTACTTTTTGCGAGCACTGCTTCGGCCTAGAGTAGTATGCTTTATGCTTCTTCGCGAGCAATTGCATGCAAGTTTTCAGTGTCACGCCATTCAAAATAGATCAAAATCAAAATCAAAACCATTCGACAGATAAAGCCCAGAATCTGGGAAGTGAAAGGAGGTAAATATACAAAGACCCTCGCCAAGATTTGGGCCGAAGGAATAATTCGTATACGAGATATCCGAGGAAATGTTTTACCCAAATTTATAGAGCTTTGTATGGAGACGCCATGCTGGAGCTCATCCGGATGAGCTCCAACATGGCGGACGGCAGTGTTGTATCACGCTGGGCCCAGCTCGTTAGTTTTCTTTGCAGGATGTTAAATTATCACGGATAGTGGTTTACAGATACTAAATTATAAGAATTAAGTGCAGCTTCAACTGAAGCTGCATCAAATATGGAGAAATGCATTGTGACTCAGTAGACTCCAGCTTGGTGTTTTTCTATAAATGCGAGTCTTCTGACTGCGGAGCGCGTATTCCCTTCCTTGACAATAGCTTTTGAATAAGCTTAACAGTGTTTGAACTGTTTTGTTATTGCCACTTTGTGATCAGGCAAGACCATGGTTACGGTTCTCCACGAACAAACAGGCGGCATCGTTTTGCCACAAAAACAAGGTGCTTTTGCTTTTCCATCCGACAGCAAGATAACATAAAATAAACATTGCGATACAATGAAAAGCAGCACGAGAACAGCGCAACTGACTGTTGCATCTTCCAAAGCACAGCACTATTTGAATTCGCTATGCACTACACCAAAAAGACCACCAACAACAGAAAAATGTTATGTAGATTTCAAAGAATTTTTTTCAAGGATCAGAAAATTGAAACTCACCTTCTTTTTTAGATGTTTTGCGCCTTGTCCAGCATTTCTTTGAGCTGAAAAACTCTCGTGTTCGGTCGTTTTGCCTCTCAAGAACGCACAAACGTTAATCGGACGGCATTTTTTCTTCACACCCTTGATTTCTCGCTGTCTAAAGTCACAGCTCTCAAAGTAGTATGGGGAAAAGACACTTATAGGCGCAGCAAAGAGCGTGGAAGTGACCTTCCCCGGTGTTTCTAGGCGAGGGCGCCATTTTGCAAATGTGGGTGACGTCATCATATATCCAGATCTGGTAGTGGCCCGGACTGTTAAAAGTCATAATTATCAAGTACCTAAGAACTGCCAGAAAAATACCTAATTCCATCAGAAAATAATTAATTCCCTATTTTTCTTCCCCTGACCTCTAGGCTTCACTTAAGCTAACGTTTTTGAGTTTTAGCTCACTTAATGCGTTCCACTTTAAGGGACTGTGCAATAATTATCTGGAGGGGGGGTTCTAAGATTAATAGGGGGGGCTGAAATTAAACCAAAGCGCAGGATAGGGGGGGGGGGTAAGATGTAATTTCTTAAACATTTGTAGGGGGGATTAGAAGTTAAACTGAGAGGTCTGATCTCAATCCATGGACTCAAGATAATGTATATTACATGTAAGCTAATCAAAATCAATTTTTGGAGTCTTTTAAGAAATATTAATATTAACAGCTTCAAAACCTTGTACTAAAAATGAACAGTTTATCTCAACAATATTAAACATATATTCAAGAACTTGAGTTAAATCCCGAGTTGGTTTTGAACAAGCACTTCCGCTTCCCCAACGAAGCATTTACAGGAAAGCAAGTCCCTCAGACAAGATTTGTCCGTATGTGATGTAAACAGTAACAATGTCTCTTGGTCAATATTGTCAATTTGCGGGATGCCAAATATCTCTGGGTTGTATTCCCAGTCAACGGGACTTCCTCCCAGCGATTGGAAGATTATACAAGCCCTTCGCTTTCTATGTTCGGATGCTGCTTTCTTTTGATGTTCGGATTTCTTCCTGTTTTCCTTTTTCTTTCTTGAAACTGATGACTTTGACTTAGATCCAATACGAAAGTTCTTGCAGAAGATATCTTCAGCACCTTGAATTCTTGGCTCTAAAAGCAGACAAAAGAAATCTGGAAAGAAACACCATTCCAGAAGATATTTGTTGGGAGAGCAGAGACGATGTTGAAAGACTGACTAACAAGCAACTTCGGCTCTATCTAAGGCAAGAAGGTCTAATGGTATCTGGAAACAAGGCACAATTAGTTGAGCGAATACTTAAGCATGCAGATTGTTCTGTAGCAAGAACATTTGATGAAGACATCGAAGGTGATGATGAAAACATGCCCTCCAGTTCTCATGATGATACCTCAAGTGATTCTGAGGAGGAGTCAACCGAGTATGAAGGTGGTTCATCAGGCGACGGTTATGTGGAGCGCAGCTTCCAAGTTTTATTTATTGATGATGCAGACATACCAGAAGTAGTGTAAAGGTAAAGAGGGATGTAGGGAGGATCGGAGGTTGGGGAGGGGGGGTTGAAAGTAATCTCCCCTCTAGACGGGGGTGGACAAGAAGTTATTTTAACTTTAATTCAGGGGGGGTGCAACTTTATTTTAAGGCCTTCTTTGCTAATTTTAGAACCCCCCCTCCAGATAATTATTGCACAGTCCCTAAAAGCCATTCTTAAAGCCAGGAACTCCCTAAATTAAGAGATTTCTAATATGCACGACCCATGCATTCTAAAAACGTAAATTAGACCCTTCATTCTTTCTCTTCAGAATTTACCACCATGTATCATCACAGTCTTCGTCAAGATGTTTTTATAAAGGACGAGTACCATTATTTAAACGTTTCTAAAGTTGGAACGTTTACAGCGTATGACAGCCTTGACTGCACCTTTGAATGCCTCGGCAATCCTTCCTGTTTGTCCTTCAACCTGGCAGCTTACAAAGGAGCAGATGGAAAGTTACGGTGTGAGTTGTTATCCTCAGAAAAGTACAGCAATCCTGAGGAATATAAAAGGAACGAGAGTTTTCATCACTTTTCCATCAAGGTGAGGTAAAATCTTTGCATAGAGTTTATTAAAGTAAGATATTTTTTGATATCCCAGTCTATGCGACTTTTAATAACCTGTCACGAACACTAATCGACGTAAAAGTGACTACTGCACGATAACAAGTCGGGGTTATTCAGTTGGAATGTCACTTTCTCCTTATTTTTTCTTACTTCTGCCATCAACACTTTTACGCAAAACAAAATTACCTTAACTATATGGCATTTGACATCAATTTTTTTTTGTAAAATTATTTCAGACTCCATGTATGTCATCACCTTGTCAGAACGGAGGCACCTGTGTAGCGAACTATAAGTATCACTCGTTCGACTGCCGTTGCAAAGAAGGGTTCTATGGAGAATTTTGCGAAAAAGGTAATTGATATTCAGACCGGGGCCCCTGTTCAAGTTAGGACAACCAAACTTAGCGGCTTTACCTAAAATTTATCTAGAAAAATTTTAAAGGCGTTGTGACGTGACCGAGTTTTGACAGCCATGTTTTTCAGAATTTGCTTTTCCTCTTAAAAAAATAGGTTTAATTGATTTCTTTTTTTTACTGATTGAATTATTACGTTATCTACTTCTTTTTTTCAGTTGCCAAGTCCTCATGCCAAGATGTTTATAATCAGCTCACAGAAAAGTGAGTAAACCTATGCATGGTAATTTAATTGATGAGGATAGATCACTTAAAGTCCGGGGGGATCATTCGGAGTGCATCAGTACTGTGTTTATAAGCCAAAAATCAGCCGTCAGGCCTCAAAAACGGAATACAATTGTGTTCCAGAGAAAGTCGATATCACTTAATTAATTGTACATGTTAGAAGTCGTATCGTGGCTGATGGATTCTATTTCAGCCTTTGTTCTCCACTCTGGAAAACTTAGGGTTATTAGAGACCTTAACTTGTAAAAACTGTTGAATTTTTAAAAGAAATGATTGGTACTGTTCAGATAATAAAAACCATAATCTGTGAACACCACCATCCTGCAATGAAGGCCCTCCAGCAAAAAAAGTTGTTGATGAAAAGCGGTGGAACCCCGCCGTTTCGCTTAATAAGAACACCCGTATAAAACGAATGGTTCGTTTGTACCGACAAAAAGTTCAGATATTCTAGTGCTCATAAGTAAACCTGGTTAATATGGAAAACGAAAACTTTTCTTGTGTGCCGAGTCCCAAACTGTCATATAATAATTATCGTAAACTCCCCCGGAAGGTCCTCAATAATGTTTTGTAGGGGAAGCTTAGCCCTGGGTCTAACTCCTTACGTTTTATGCCCGTCATTTTTGCAGAATAGGTACTCCTTTCGTATACCATTCCATTCGTCTCTAATGGTTAAAGGTTCGAGTGGCTTGTTGCAGGCACTTTATCCCCAGGGGGTACTCAACAAATTTTTACGGTGATAATCCCTGCCCCAAAGTCCACGTCCTTACCTTTTCACATACCTTTTGGCGGTTGAGGGGTGGAGTGGCTTGTTACAGGCACTTTATCCCCAGGGGGTACTCAACAAATTTTTACGGTGATAATCCCTGCCCCGAGGTCCACGTCCTTACCTTTTCACATACCTTTTGGCGGTTGAGGGGTGGAGTGGCTTGTTACAGGCACTTTATCCCCAGGGGGTACTCAACAAATTTTTACGGTGATAATCCCTGCCCCGAGGTCCACGTCCTTACCTTTTCACATACCTTTTGGCGGTTGAGGGGTGGAGTGGCTTGTTACAGGCACTTTATCCCCAGGGGGTACTCAACAAATTTTTACGGTGATAATCCCTGCCCCGAGGTCCACGTCCTTACCTTTTCACATACCTTTTGGCGGTTGAGGGGTGGAGTGGCTTGTTACAGGCATTTTAAAATGAGCTCAGACCATACAATGGCCAATGGGCAGAAAGACTGCCTTATCAAAATCAAACTTGCGCGCTATTTTAATTGGAGTTTCTTTTTTTAGTAACAAAATCATATTAACCCACAGAAATCTGTAATTTTTTGAAAAAGGTTCATTGTATGCAATTAGTACGTGGTTGTGACGAGGAAATAGGCAGTGGCAGCTATAGGTAGCCAGTGGTCACCAGTGACCATAAAGCGGGGTTGGCGACATGAGATTTTAAGACTTGGGAACACAGAAAAGTGTCCGTTCTCCGTCTTAACTGTTGTCCTTATTAAACGGGTTGGAGAAAGTACGTGAGTTCAATAATTAAAACATGCAAAACTGACTACTGAATATCTGTGTAACATGTTCTGAGTAGTTGTCAAAAACAACCAATCCAAGTCTTACAGGTAGCTCGCGGGTAAAATAGGGGTTCTTGACGTCAGATGGGATAAACATCATGCGCACCATTTTCGCCGTTTTTCGGTCGCCCCTTTGCCCTTTTTTTCTGAACATCTGCTACGCTGTTTAGCCATCTTCGATGTCCGAATTTAATTCCTACAGAACACTTTATTAAAATACACTTTATTAAAGTTAGTTGAAGAGCAGAACAGCTTGGTATCATAAAGCCAAAATAAATATCAACCTGTGCTGGAGGTGAAATTATATCAGTCCAAAGTACATTAATCGTGTAGTAACTCCCAGTAACATGATGGCCAACCTGAGAAATTTAGATTTAACTAAGACTGTATTGAATTCCATTGATTCATTTATTTTTGTAAGAAAAAGCGAACCTTTTTTTTTACAACCAGTTACGGTACATTCCATTTTTTCTCTCCGACGGTTAGGAGCTGGAAAAACTAAAATGAGATTTCATTGTGTATAGGTTAAACGTGACACAGTTGGTCACTCTCCTCCTTGACTCCAAACTAGTTTCAGTTCTCTGTCACTTTGGAAATTTTGGATGCGGAGATGGAGGATGGACGCCGGTCATGAAGATGGACGGCAACAAGGTAAGACATTTGTGAACGTTTTCCTTTAGTTTGTCGACGAGAGTGAAAAAAAAATGTGTTATTAATAATTAAATACAGGTTTGCCTCTGTCAGAGGTAATTTTCAATTATCCTAGCCTACGAATAGAGCCGTTTCTCCTTGCTCCTCGTCGCTAGGGACGTTTCATCAGGAGGAACGTCTGCACCTCAGCGCAGAAATTCCATACTAATGATGTCAAATTGCAAAATTTTCTGGGGCAGCATAACCCCAGCCTCAAAGTTTCAGGCGCCTTCGGCGCTCTAACTTTTCTTCTCGTTGGTACATGCTAAGTCCCTGGATCTGAAAGATTTAAGTATTAAGAACACCTTTAAGCTTCCGGAATATCTCGGTCAGTAGCAGAGGTCAGCTGCCCTTTCTGTCAGACGATGTCAAGGTTTTCATCAAAACGCAGAAGCCTGGTCTCAGTACTTGCGAATACGGGAGAGTTAATAAAATATAATTATATTCAATTCGGCATTTTTCAATCGCATGAATGATTAAAGAGTGCAGTATTTGTTTACTTTGTTTTTTATTGGTGACGGTTAACGCCATTTCGCCAGCTGTGGCTAATTTCATTTTATATTATAAAGCTGGAGAAGCGAGGACGTTCCAGATATTCTTTCCATTGTAATGGATCTTTCATTGCAAAATCTTTTTTTCCTCTTCTCCTGTAAGGATTTTGCCTTTAGAAGAAAAAAGAAACCTTAATTTTAACTTTTCTTTTTAAAGAACATTTTTCCTATTTCTTCCTCCTTTCTACCATAGCAAACATTTCATTACGATACATCATTTTGGAGAAACAAAGAAACCTTTAACCTTGACGGAGGGAAGACTAGGTTTGACTCACAAGAGACTAAACTGCCCTCCTACTGGAACACATCCTTCTCCAAGATCTGCCTCGGTATGAAGATCGGCCAACAGATCAGGTTTATTGTCGTCAACCAGCAGGCGAATTCCTTGTACTCTCTGATCGCTGATGGGCAATACCGCAACACTTCACTGGGTCGCGACACGTGGAAGTCGCTGATTGGTTCTAATGCGTCCTTGCAGGAAAACTGTAACAAGGAAGGGTTCAATGCTGTTTCTGGTAAACCTGGTTATTCCAAAGCAAGAATCGGTATCATTAATAACAACCAAGACGATTGCGCCTCTTGTAACTCTAAAATTGGATTTGGCACTGGTGGAAGGCCTGATGGGAGCAACTCATGTGGAAACGTGGCTGAATTGTATCCAGATAATGGCAATAAGCATATTAAGACAATGGGATACATTTTGGTGCAGTAAGAAGAAATTTATCTGGGTTAATTTACTTCTGGTGCCAAACGAAAGCTAGCTTAAGTAAACTCTAGACGCTGTTCGTTTTTTGTGGATAAACTAAAGACTATTTCTAGATTAACTTAAAGTAACCGTTATACATTGGATATAAAAGATACGCTGGAAAACTAAGATAAAAATCGTTGCTCCTCATAGCTCATTGTTTGTACTAATAAAGCCAAACCAAACGTCAGGGAGAATTCGTAATAAACCTCTCTTGTAATAGACTATCAGTTGTAGATTAAAATAAAGAGCCAAACTCACTTGCTAAGGCATGAATACATAAGTAAGAAAAAAAAAGAAAGAAACTGAAGAATAACGTGGAAACAGATAAAAATCGTCGAATGTTTCTTTGGTGCTCCTGATTTATACCCACTATTGAGTGAATGAATGTTCTAAGATTGGAAGCAAGTTTACATTTTAAAAAGGGGACGAACATGGTAATATGAGTATTGAAACTTTGTATGGGTATTTCTGACGAAATCGAAGTCGGAACGATCTTCTAGATTAACGCGACGATCGAATTGCCATTCTGTTCAAATATGACAACGTTGAGTTTTGTTTTGCTTATCAAACAGGTGTAATTACATTTTGATTTTCTCTTTTTTGTCGTCATCGTGGCTCCTCAAGCTCTCTAGCAGCGAAACACTGACGATTTGATGGAAAATGCGCGACGAAAACGACGCCCTCCTGATACTCAAGTATTAGCTTTTTATACGTGTTGTGTTTTCCAAGCTCTCATGATTGGCCTTTGCTTGGACAGTTAATTACAAGAATTCAAACCAATCATGAAAATTAAATATAAAGAACGGTACTTTACCCGTAATTAGCAATGTAGTGTTGACAAGCAAAAAAATATAACAGTTCATGACAGTTCGGGGCTGAAATGGACTCATCAGCTTAGATGAATAACAAAATGGACCTGAAACGTTTTTAGAAAGCTGGGGGATAATCTTTCTCAAACTGCGATCATATCCAGTGGTTCCACAAAAGACTGAATCAGATTTAAGGCCACCAACCGGTCTGAGGGAGGCACTTTAGGACTGAGACAGTTGTTACACGCAGACAAGCCGTTGCGGAGACTGACGTGTGATGTGTTGAAAGTGATAAAAGAGGCAGTGGCGATTCCCACCAACAAAGAAACGTCCCCCCTTGCACTGTTCCAACAGCAATGTAGGTTGTTTAACCTCACCTTCGAATTTTAAAATAAATGAGAGAGGTGAGAATCAATGAGACGAGGCAAACGGCTTAATGATACCGCCAAATAATGCTGTCATCTAAACTAAGTCATGATCACTACACACGGCCAGCATTGTCTTGACAGTATTTTAAAAAGATCGTTGGTGTTTTGTCCTGGATTTGAAACCGGACCTCCCGCGGCTTATTAGCAAATCTGAGCTAACTGGCCGAGAAGTGGTTACATGCATGCATACAAGACAGCGAGGGAGGAAAGACGTAGGGCGAGCGAGGAACACCAGACACGCGCGTGTCTCAGGCTCCTCGCCCAAAAAACGCGAAAAACTAGCACGTATTCTGCAGACTAATAATAAGGAAACAGGAAGAGGTACTGAGATTTCAGAAAAGAAAAGGGACATGGCGCTTTCTTAATAATGGGCTCGTGTTTGTAGCACCACTTCACAACCTTTAGATTCTAACTACAATAATAATAGGCTTATAAGCGGTAAACAAAAATAATGATACACGACGTAGCGACCTGGGCGTCGTTGTCTGAGCTGTTAATGATAGTTCTCTAGTTTCACGTTTTTGTAGTGATATCAGAAAAAAAAAGTGTGTACAGTAATCAGGATCTGTAAGGAGGGGGGGGCGGTGGGGGGATCCTGATCCAGCTTCTTGTTTACGAAAATCCCGCATCTCGTCCTGTTTTCGTCGCTTTTCCAAATCCCGTTTTTAAGTTAGAATAGATGACATTATAATTAAGCATCAAGTCGTTAACTGCCGTTTCGCCACGTGCAATTCCCTTACAACTTGACCACTTTCGATATATTAAAATTAAGCATGATAGCGAGTCTTGGAGGACACAAACAAAGAAAATGAAGAAACATATGAAAACATGTTTATTCATATTCTTTATTTGGGTCCTCTTAGACTCGCTATCATGCTTAATTCTATTAACCATTGGAAATCATGCATTGCGCGCGCAACCTACTGATTAGTTAGTTTTCCGCTAGCAGATAACTAACTAATCTGTAGGTTGCGCTTAGGTTGCGTTGATTTCCAAAAGTAACTGTAGGCTCTTGGCCAATGGGAAAATAGATAGTGAGTACAATGTATAATAACTCAACTAAACATAACAGGGTTAAAAATCCCAGCTAGACTAAACTGGCCGAAGGCAAACCGGTTTGGCTATTTGTACAAGCGTGATCAAGGATTTGAACTAGGGACTACCGACAACGAGAATCCATCTAGCGGTCAGGGGGAAAGTTGAACTAGGGTCCACTGGATTGCAAGTCCATCATGATCATACACCTAATTTTAAGAAATGACCGATCAATTTGACCTTGATTTTTCTTCGCCTCATGCAGAGTATTTCCGAGCTCGAGCTTATGCTTTTTTTCAAGCCGGAAACCGGCGGAAGAAAGAACATACTCTGAATTTTAAGATTTAGATTTTTTTTATAACGACAACAAGATGACAACTAAGGCATATTCATTTTTTTCCGTTTAAGATTTTGCTAACACAGCAAGGTTTTGCTTAGTCTGGAATCTAAAAAATGATATTACAGGGGCACCCAACGAGAATATAGTTCAAAACCACTTAAACATAGCATTGTTAAACGTATTTTAGTATTTAAACGGTAAATATAAGCATATTTTTATCCCCTAAAAATTTTTCATCTGTTCGGATTTCCTAGCTGAAAGTCTAGTGATCCGAAAATTATAGGGATCAAAACTTATCTTTTCGAAAATTTCAGCCAGAAAAAAGGCTTCCTAAAATTCTAGGCGACCTTTTTATGGTAAAAATCCGTTAGAAACAGGCAATTATACCATTTTTTAGATGTTCGAAAAGTCCTAGGAGAGGTAGGCAAGCAAGAAATTTTACAACAAATGTTCCGAAAATTCTAGATTTCAAATCGTCTTGCGAACAGATATTTTCCGAAAATTGTCGTTGGGTGCCCCCGATATTAAAGGTCGGTGAAACTGATGTAGGTTCGTTAAGCAACCTTTGGCTGGTGTTGACAAAAAAATATTTCTAACATTTACAAACAAACAACTCTCCAGCAGAGTCTTGCACTAATAAATGTCATATAATTAAAACTGTAACCGTTAATCGCCGGCCATGTGTTCTTCATCATTCCGCTGGTTTCTCCATTTAAAAGTTTTGCTTTCACAAGGTCAGTTTTGCTTGTCTATATCTTCCCTCGCTACTGTTATTTTTCAACCATCTTTTTTACAGACTCTCAAGCTGGTGACAAGAATTTCTCACTTCCTTGTATTCTGTGTATGCTACGAACAAAATTGTACAATATCGGATTCTACAACGAATCTAAAGGAATGTGAGAAAAACATTTTAGCAAAAAAATACCGTACATGCATGTATTAGTTTCAGTTGATATCAGTTATGGAAACCGAATTTGATTCACGAGGCTAGATTACGTTTTAACTAATAAATTCCTAGAGGATTTTGTTTTGAAAGTATATCACTTGCAAATTTTGGTTTCTATCCACGTACTTTTTTGCCGCCTAAAATGTTCTGTTTTTGTGCTGTATTACTCATTCAAGTTAAAATGAGAAAATCTGAGAAACACCATCTTTTGAGGCTGTGGTTTTTTTGCTGAATATTTAAATTATCATCATGAACAGTAATTTGATAAATCTTGTTTTGATTTTTAGTTTATTAAGCTTCACAAAAACATTGATATTACCTTTTCTATTTTTCTTTTTAGATCTAAAACCTTTTCCGCAGTAAAGGTTCTTGCTTTCTTAATATAATAAAAATCTTAATACCGTTCTTCTTGATGCTCTGCATTCTGTCGAAATTTTAATTATTGCTCTTTCTACAGGCTTTGATTCCGAGTTTCGCCAAGATGTTTTCACACACGAGAGATTATCATTATCTAAATGTTCCTAGACTTGAAACATTTACTGTCTACGGCACCCATGCTTGCAACCTTAAGTGCTTGAGAAATCCTTCTTGCTTGTCTGTTAATCTGGCCGCCACAGAAATTGCATCCGACGAAAAGATTTGGTGCGAGTTATTGTCCTCTGAAAAGTACTTGAAGGTAGCTTATGTAAATTCACTCGCAGTACCCTAAACAATGTGTTTTGTAGAAAATTTGTGGATGATATTTCGAGATACTTGCTATTTCAGACCTCCTGTGTTTCCTCGCCGTGCCGTAATGGAGGTACGTGTGTGTCAAGCTTCAACCATCACACTTTTTTGTGCAGTTGCAGAGACGCTTTATTGGAGTATCTTGCGAAATAGGTAAGAAAAGTTAACTGATGACTTTTATAAAAATGGGAGGGAGGGGTGGAGTGGAAATGCTGCTACTGCAACCAGTTGCAATCGAAACCAACTCGGGCGATCATCCGTCATGTGGTGTGACAAGAAAGGCAAACTTGAAATGGATTGTCTTTTGTTACTTTTAACAGTAACTCGAGCTTGCGTGCCTGTATTACATGACGCGCTCTCGTGTGAAAATGTAGCGGCGAACGTGAGGGATCTCTCTCCTCCGCAAAGTCCTCTTCTTGGCCGTGTGGAGGCTTGGGGAGAGGGAAAAAGAAATCGCGCGGGAAACATAGTCCATCACACGTTTTGTTTAATCATTGCTATTTTTATACTGGAATACCCATCAGCGGGAGCATCTGCGAAGGAGATGCGGGAGACTACGTGTAAGGGACAGATTAACCTGCCTTTCAAATTCGAACCGCATGCCCGACCTAAATCGGGAGATCTTCTCGCATAATTTCATCACCTTCAGCCACGCGCGTGGTCATTTAGTATCTCGCGCGTCTCGCCTACAACTCAGTCAGATAAGACAACTGTATTGACTCCAACAAGGAGTAATGACTTGATTAGTCAATGAGTGTCTCTGGTGTACCAGAAGTTTACTGCAATTTTTTTTTCAGCCGTCAAGTCATGTCAAGACTTTTACCATTTTGACCCAGAAAAGTAGGTAACAAGATCAATGTCTTTTTCAACATTCATTTACAACTTATTTTCACGACAAATGTTTACAAGCAGAATGACTTCCATTACAAATTTAAAAACATTAACTTGGGGGATTGGCCATGCCAAACTCGTTTCCAAGCACATGAAGTTTGGATGGCTGATTCTTATTAGCTCTTTTCCTTAGGCCTTGAGAACGAAGTTGAAGCTAGGAGTGTTATTGGAAAAACACTTAGCCGAATACTGACAATTCCCGAACTGACAAGTTACATTTGATAAGTTCAGTTAAGAATATTACTACTGGAACATAAACCTTACAAAAGCGCTAGACTTATTGATTTATTTATTGCTCGGGTGATTTGCTTAAGGTTATCAGCAGTTTTTGATAGAATTTCAGGTAAGGCATGGTACCATTTTCGTCAGAATTCCTTCCAAATCTTGGGTTCATTCATGAGTAGAAGAATGGATCATCATTGGTTTCTACTGTAGTGAACAACAAAGAAGTCACAATAATGTAGACTGATTTGGTATCCAAAATGTCTCTGTGTGTAGATTGAGCCAAAGCCAGGTGGTAACAATTATCTTCAATCAAAAACCTACTCCAATTCTTTGTCACATGGGAGATTTTTGATGTGGAGATGGAGGATGGACACCGGTCCTGAAGATGGATGGCAACAAGGTGTGTAACATACGAAGGTGATATATAGATTTTGCAGAGGCGAAAAGCGAACTTTTAAGAGATATCTTTGTGAAGTAAAGTTTTCTGAGCCTGCGATCACTTTGATTCCATACCTGGTCAGCGGAAAACTTTAAAAAAACACGCCACCTCAATAAGTTGTACACCTAAGCCTGCGATACCGTAATGTGACACTGATCAGTTAATACCCTATTTTGACAGCTGTCAGTTGATCATAACATGGATGTCCAATCTCGAGTTAAACACATTTTGAATAAAGCTAGTAAGTTAGACATTTCACATCCGCCAAGATGGAGGGGACGTACGTATGTACGAATCTGACAGAACCAAAATTCTTGAAATTCTCCTACCCATGTTGTTCCGCTGCGCGCACTTAGTGCGCGAGAGAGCTCCGCTATGAGGTAATATGTTAACTTGATGTTAATCAATGAAGGCAAACTTGTTCTCCTTTTGTGTCGCAGTCCCAGTCCGACTGATAACAGCATGCAAATTAGGTCGGCTAAACATGTCTTTGTTCATGGCTTTTAAAAATTCTCATAGTTAGAGGGAGACTATGGAATTGCACAGTACAGTTGATTGCCCTTAGTTATTTTAAATTGTGGGCGTTCGTTTTCATCGGTTGATAGAGCTCCCACAGATAGCTGTTGCAGAAGATTTTTTCGGGAACTTACCATCATTACCTTGAATCTTCCGTAATTGTTTAAATGCAGTATCTATCATTTCGATAAAAAAACTAATGCTCTCAACCAAGCTTACTATATGCTTTATCCTTTAAGTGATTTTCTTTTACAGCAAACTTTTCATTACAATGCCGCCCTCTGGAACAACAAAGAAACCTTTAACATTGATGGAGGGAAGACTGGGTTTGACTCCCAAGAGACTAAACTTCCCTCCTACTGGAACAGATTCTTTTCCAAGATCTGCCTCGGCATGAAGATCGGTCAGCAGTTAAATTTCATTGTAATCAACAGGAACGCCAGTTCCCTGTACTCTTTGATTGCTGACGGACAATTTCGCGCCACTTCACTGGGTCGTGGCGCGTGGAAGTTGCTGATTGGTCCTGATGCCTCCCTGCAGGCCCAGTGCAACAAGGAAGGGTTCAACAGTCAATGCAGTGGCCTTTCCAAAGCCAGAATAGGTATCATTGGTAATGAACAAAACAACTGCAATTCCTGTGACTCTAGAATTGGGTTTGGTACTGGAGGAGATCCTGATGATACCAACTCTTGCGGGAACGAGGCTACTTGGTCTCCAGACAATGGTGACAAGCATATCAAGGCTGTAGGATATATCCTTGTGCAATGAAAAAGTTCTAGACTGTTGTGTTCTAACTGCTAACGGTGTGAAACAATTCGGTAAAAGTTAACTAAAATACAGAGGCCTTGTGAAAACTGTTGTTCCTGTGCCGGGAGAAACAATGGATTGTACGTCCAGTTGAAATGTTGAGATTACCGTAACACAGATTGTGATCTCTGTGCAGGTGTATTACAGCCTATTAATTCTGGTGAATGTATAGCCACAATCGTCGACAAACACAAATTGGCGCAGTACAATGTGGTTATTTAAACCAGGTAGCGTAAGAATTCGGCCCAAATTTATTTGAATGAATTTCTATTGTTTAATTGAAAATCGATTTTTGTGTATTACATGTGAAGAACGCTCAATTGATTGTACTACCGCATTAATGTTTTTTTTTTATCCATCCTAAGGTTGTCCGGGAATCCTATTGAATTGCAAACAGTGTCATAAAAATGTTAATAAATAGTGTTTGCACTTTAATGTTTGTCTGTTGTCCCTATTGAATTTCAAATGGTGTTAATGACTTTGATGTTGACGTTTAATAATGAAAGTATACTTTTCTCTTTTGTATGCCGAATGACGCATATGAATGCCCAAAAGTGTTATTGAACGTTGATTAAAATGTAAAGAAATGGTAATTGAATCTGATTTGTGCGCAAATGTTCGTATCTATGCGCTAATGAATGTATCTTCGCACTATTGGTCGCCGTTTCACGCAAATAATTGCGTATTTTCTCGTAATGAACAGCAAGAAGTGTAACTCAAAAACTCATTAATAATTCATAAAAAATTAAAAACATAAGAAATTAATGTTTAATGAGTGTCTTTATATCTCATAAATACAGGGCTAAACTTTACGTCTAATCTTTTAGACCAATATAACCCCGAATCTAAATGTTAGTGCAAGGGTGAGTGGATCTATATCAGAGAGTTTGAAGCCGTTCAAAAACCTCTCAGTCGTATATTATCAGGTGTAAAATATATTACCTTGGTATGTTACACACCTTGTAGCCATCCATCTTCATGACCGATGTCCATCCTCCTATCCACATCCAAAATCTCCCGTGTGACAAAGGTTTTTGAACCTGTTTTGTTTGAAATTACAAAGTTCAAAGTCTTGTCGAACATCCCGCTTACCGGATTTCGTCGAGATCCTGGACTCTGAGGCTACTAAGTATCAAGTCAAGCTTAAGGAATCATGTTCATAGAATGGGAGAAACCCGACCTTAACCAGCAGGTGAAACACTTAAACCTAATTTTTTTCCCTGTAAGTGCCTTAACATCACTTGTTTAAACTTTTAAGTGCGCAATATTGTAAAAGCAATTTAACGAACTTTCTGACTGTTACATCGCGCGCGATTTAAATTCAACGGCAATTTCACAGTAACTACAGTAATACTGAAGACGACGAATGTGCCGTCAAAAAATGTCTGGTAAATTAAAGAAAGTTGTTTTGCTTATGCGACCATCTAAATTTTTGGGTCTGAAATAGGGTAAAGGTTTGTCCTGTCTACAGCTTTCTCTACTAGAACTAAGGTCGTCTCTTTTACTGTTCATCTTTTAAGAATGGTTTGAAATAGGATGATGTGCCACTAGCCCACCCAAATTTCCTATCGTATCACTCCACGTATCATCTCTAGCTGGAAGATGAGGCATTTTCCTACTAGCCTAGAGCAGACTCACTTGTAAAACTTCGGGGAAATTCCTTCCCCATTATTTTACTCGCCCATTTCCTCGCCTTATGATTCTCCCCGGCTGACGCTGCCTGTCGTCTCCACCGCAAACATTTTCCCCGAAATCGCACCACAGGTGGCCCAAGCGTAACATGGGCCACCTGTGGCGTAATATGAGAGTTTGTATGGGAAAAGTAGAGATTGAAACTTACATGAAATAAATGAAGTAAAAGCGATAAAAGTTATCAATAAAGTGTAAATATTGTTACCTGGAGTTGTTGTCTTTGTTTTTACGAAGTTTCAGCGCTATTTGAGTACTTTTACATCATCTGACCTGACAGTGTAATAATAAGAGACAATATTTACACTTTATTGATAACTTTTATCGCTTTTACTTCACTTATTTCATCTAAGTTTCAAACTCTATTTTTCCCATCCAAACTCTCATATTACGCCACAGGTGGCCCATATTACGCTTGGGCCACCTGTGATCGCACGAGTGAGCCTGCTCGTGGGCTATATATTTTTCCCACAAGCCACCTTTAAACCTGCCAACGTTATTTGATTTTCTGTTGAAATCAGACAGTGAGCTTTCCACTTCCATTTTCCAGGGTCCTTACTTCATTTTTTCCCACTTATTTTTCACATAACTTCTTTCTAGTCGGAAATTTTCACCCACATCAGATACAATCTTATCAGAATACACGGCCACTGTCAAAGCAACAACGATTTCGTACAATCATCGCTTCTTGGTAGCAAAGAGCAATAACGATTCCCATCGATTTTCCTCCCCGTCTCTAATGCATAGAAATTCCGAGATAATGCTGTTTTCTAAGGAAACTGGCGATTTTTAAAACTCTAAACTACGACCTTTTTTTCAATAATTACAGCAAAAAGATAACCACCACATATTGTTCTATATTACGTACCTATTAAGATTTTGCAAGCAAGGTTTGACTATTGCAGGTTGGAAACTAATGATATTAAGGGTTGGAGAAATTGCCAAGGTTCGTTGAGCTGCCATTGGCTGGTGTTGACAAAAAATTGTTTTTGACATTTAAAAACAAACCAATCTCCAGCAGAGTCTTGGTCGAAGGTAAATGTAATATTAAAAATGTAACTTTAGTCGCCGACTAGTATGTGTTCTTCTTTATTCCCTTGGTTTCTTCTTTTGAAAGTTTTACTGTCAGTAATTGCTGAGACAGCTTATACACAAGGTCAGTTTTGCTTGATTATCTCAGTGCCTTCGCTACTGTAAAAGTTGTTATTTTTCAGGCATTTTTAACGGCCACAACAAGTTTGTGTCAGTAACTTTTCAGTCCTTTGTATTCTGTGAAGTGCACAAGACAAAACTAGGCAAAATATCCGATAACAAAAGGACGCTAAAGGCGTCTGGGAACAAACATTTTAGCAATGACAATGCTGTTTTCAGTTGATATTCATGATAAAATTGATACATAGAAACCGAATTTGATTCAAGAGACGCGTGATATTTAAGCTAATAAATTCTCAGAGTGATTTTTGCTTCGAAAGTATACCGAATGGAACGAAGGCGGTTTTGGTTATGGTTTTCATACACGTACCATGCGGGAGCCTAAAAAAATTCTTTTAGCTGGTTGTATTGCCCCTTTTCTCTGTCGTTCAAATTGAAATAACAAATCTGAAACACATTTTCTTAAATAATGTGGTTTTCTTTGCTAAATTACATTGAATTAGTTTTAATCAAGGATGTCTGGTGTCATATAAACATTTCCTGAATTAATTTTATCAATCTTGTCCTGATATTTTTAAGGGTCCACGCAAAACACTGATATTAAGTTCTTTTTAGATTTAAAACATTTTGCGCTATAAAGGCGTTTTTGCTTTCAAAATATATTTAACAACTTACAGCGTTTTCGATGCTCTGCTGTTTTTCGAATTTTTTTAAATACTGTCCTTTCTACAGGTTTGGACTCCGGGTTTCGCCAAGATTTTTTCATGCAAGACGATCATTACTATCTAAATGTTCCTAGACTTGAAACATTCACTGTCTCCGACAAGCTTTCCTGCAACATAAATTGCTTGAGAAATCCTTCTTGCTTGTCTGTTAATCTGGCCGCCACAGAAAACGCAGCCGACGAAAAGATTTGGTGCGAGTTGCTTTCCTCTGAAAAGTACAGCAACCCCGACAAGTATAAAAGAAACATAACCTCCCATCATTTAAGTTCCTTCTTGAAGGTAGTTGTAAATTCAGTGATAATCTACTCTGAATAACTGATCTGTTTTTGTAGAAAATGTTCGATGATATTTCGAAATATTACTATTTCAGACCTCTTGCGTTTATTCGCCGTGCCGCAATGGAGGTACATGTGTGTCAAGCTTCAACCATCTCACTTTTTATTGCAATTGCAGAGAAGGTTTTGTTGGAGTATCTTGCGAAGTAGGTAATAAACGTTAAGTTAAGCTTTTGTGAAAAAAACCGCACAGTTTGCACGGTCTGCACATCCTGCAAAAGTCTGCGTAGTCTTTGCAGTCAAAACAGTCTGCAGTCTTCATAGTCTCCAGTCTGGACAGTCTGCGCAGTCTGAAAAATCAACAGTCTTCGTTGTCTGCAGTCTGGACAGTCTGTAAAGTCTGTGGTCTGCACAGGCTGCGTAGTCTGCCGTCCGGATAGTCTTCACAGTTTGGACAGTCTGTAAGGTCTGCAAAGTCTGCAGTCTGAACAGGCTGCAGTCTAGCGGTGCGAAGTCTGCACAGCCTGCACTCTGCAGTCTGCACAATCAGGACAGTCTGCAGTGTCTGCACAGTCTGCAATCCGTAGTCTGCGTTTCAACATGACCGCGACTCAGTCGATTACCCGCGATGTGATTTGATAAGAAAGACAAACTTGAAATTGTCCTTTGTTCCTCATCAGTAACTCGAACTTGTGTGCTAATTTCGAATCGCGCTCAGCAATAATGTAGCGAGAGAACTAAGTTTTCCGGCCGCGCGGTTTCCTTTTCAATTTTGTGGGTACTGTGTGTAACAAACCGACGAACTGCCTAGCCAGTGTGAACAGCATGCCGACTGGGATTGCGAAGATCGTCTCGTATTATCTTAGATAAGAAAATTGAACCGATTCAGATAGGAATAATGGCTTGTTATTTCTTTTTCAGCTATAAAGTCATGTCAAGACTTGTATCATTTTGAGCCACAAAAGTAGGTAACATGATCAACGTCTTTTTCAACATCTACTTATAATTCACGACAAATGCTTACAAACAGGAAGATTCCCTCTACGAATAGAAGTACATTAACTATGGGTTATGGGGGGAGGACATGGCAAACTCATTCCCAGGCCCATGGATTTGCCGCTGAGAGCCTGAGAAGGAGGCTGTAAACGAGTTGTATATTACATACAGTTCCAACCGACGTGTTATATTTCATAAGCTCAGTAATGAATACTATTGGATCATGTTACTTCTAAAATCGCTAGGCTCATTTACCTAGAGATCAGGCCCAATTTTAGCAGCTTTCATACATTTTCTCTTGCATGGTCGAGCAATGATCAGGCTCTATGTCGTTTCGCCTCGCCCCTCGGAATATTACTTACCAAGCAAAACAAAAGTAGAGCCTGATTTGAGGTGAGGCTCAGTTGATTCATTTATCATAATGGGTCATTTGGGCAAAATTGTCATCTCAGATTTTTTGTCTAACTTTAGGAATATTACGGTTCAATTGCCTTCGGACGATGTAGCTTGGAGGGTTTGAAGCAACAAGGGGACGAAGTTTTAAATGTTGGGTCCAGTTGGAGTAAGGGATCACTAGTGTTCACGTGTCATTAATGCCTCATGATTTTCTATACGAAAACTGTCTCTGTGTGTAGGTTGAGCCAAAGCCAGGTAGTAACAGTCATCTTTGATTCAAAACCTACTCCAATTCTTTGTCACATGGGAGATTTTGGATGTGAAGATGGAGGATGGACACCGATCATGAAGATGAACGGTAGCAAGGTGTGAAATTTTATTTGGCAACATGTTGTTTAAGGTTCGAACTTGTTCTACGGTTGTGTCGCCTTATAATATGGTCCCGGCTAGGTTGATTCCAACGTGCATTTAGGTTGACTAAACACTTCGTCATTGGGGTTTTAGAATTGCTTTGAGCGAGTAGAGGGAGACTATGGTATTGCAAACTAATGGCCATACTGATGACGTATCACTGTCAAGATCTGGGTAATGCTTTTGATTGGTCCTGCTGCATGGCAGATTTGCTTCAGCCAATCAGAGGGACTATCGAGATCTGGGTAGTGACGCGTCATCAGCAGTGGAATTTCTACGCTTTTCTCAGACATCATTTCGCTTTTCTCAGGCTAAGAAACGAATGCTTACAATTTAGCTAAGCTTAGACTGTTCACAGTCCTATATTTTTCCGTAAGATCGTCGAGATCGAGTGCTTTGCGTTACGGGTTTCCATCTTCATGAGTGTCAAAACTTCTTAGGGGGCGGGGGCGGTTTTAGCCTGCGAAGCGCAGACGCATTTCCGGTCGTCGCTTCTCTCCCTCCGCTATTTTTCGGAGGGAGAGAAGCGACGACCGGAAATGCGTCTGCGCTTCGCAGGCTAGGGCGGTTTGGGAGGAAGCGGGAAAAATATTTTTCTCGTCGCCCTCCCCTTACAGATGTAATCCCCGACGCCAGCCCCCACAATACATTTAAAAATCAAGATGGCCGCCATTAAAGGTAAGACGCGCTATATCTCGACGATCTCACGATGAAAGAGGGGACAGTGAACAGTCTAAGCTAAGCTATATACTTACAATTTCTCCTTTAAATCATACAAACGCCATTGAACTGTTTTTTTCTTCCACAGCAAACCTTTCATTACGATGCCTCCCTCTGGAGCAACAAAGAAACTTTTAACCTTGATGGAGGGAAGACCGGGTTTGACTCCCAAGAGACCAAACTTCCCTCCTTCTGGAACACATCCTTCTCCAAGATCTGCCTCGGCATGAAGATCGGTCAGCAGTTTAATTTCATTGTAATCAACAGGAGCGCCAGTTCTCTGCACTCTTTGATCGCTGACGGACAATTTCGCGCTACTTCTCTGGGTCGCGACACGTGGAAGTTGTTGTTTGGTCCTGAGGGGTCCCTGCAGGTTGAGTGTAACAAAGAAGGGTTCAACAGTCATATGGTCGGCAGAGTCCATTCCAAAGCCAGGATCGGCATCATTAGTAACCAGGAAAACCATTGCAATTCATGTGACTCTAGAATTGGGTTTGGTACTGGTGGGTTACATGATGACACCAACTCCTGTGGAAACCAGGCCACCCACTATCCAGATAATGGTAATAAGCATATCAAAGCCGTAGGATATATCCTCGTGCAGTGAAAATGAATTTAAGAGTTTGTGGCTTACTAACCATAATTGACGGTGGGAACAATTCGGTAGAAGTTAACTTAAAGACAGCCTTGAAAAAAATGTTAAAACTGTTGTTCCAGTTCCGGGATAAACAATAGACTTTATCGTGTTTGAAATGAGTAAACAAAATGTAGATATATCAGTTATCTTAATTTTAAAACGAAGTATTTTAGAGTAAGTAATCATTTACCTTTTTTTTTCCAAGACCTTTCAGTACTTTCATGTGCCAATGCTGCAGGCATCTTGCTACGGTTATAGCTAATGGATCTATTTGCCCTAGAAACATGTTTCCCTCGTTTCAAGGTGCTTAACTTTATATTATATTATATATTAACCCTTCAGTTCCTTTTGTTTTATTTTGCACTGTGTATTGTGTTGGACGTGGCTGCATTGCAGTTTGTTGGTCGCTCAATATCGGTGTTTTTAACTTTTAACATTTTACTTTGCACTGTATATTTGTGTTGGACGTGGCTGCATTGCAGTTGTTGGTCGCTCAATATTGGTGCTTTTTCTAACTATTTAACTGTTAACCAGTATGCCTACAACATATGCCTACAACACTCTCATTTACACACACCCTCCCTCCCCACCTTACCCACTATTTAGTGGAGACTTGGGAACCCTTTCATTAGGGATTCCATACCACACCTGTAATGCCACAAAGGTTGCTAGAGAAACTACTGTTTTTTTTTTTTTTTTTTTTTTTTCAACGACTAGAGTGCGACTAGAGTGAAAAAAAATGTGCCTCTGTCAGCGGTAACTTTCAATTATCCTAGCCTGTGAATACAGCCGTTTCTCCTTGCTCCTCGTCGCTAGGGACGTTTCATCAGGAGGAACGTCTGCACCTCAGCGACAGAAATTCCATGCTAATGACGTAAAATTGTAAATTTTCTGGGGAAGCATAACCCCAGTCCTCCAAGTTTGAAGTGCCTTCTGTGCTCTAACTTTTCTTCTCGTGCGTATACATGCTAAGTCCTTGGATCTGAAAGATTTAAGTATTAAGAACACCTTTAAGCTTCTGGAATATCTCAGTCAGTAGCAGAGGTCATCATCCGCTTTTCCTGTCAGACGAGGTGAAGGTTTTCATATCAAAACACAGAAGCCTCTGGTCTCTGTACTTGCGAATACGCGAGAATTAAAGATAATTAAATTTAATTCGGCATTTTTCAATCGCATCAATGATTAAAGAGCGCAGTATTTGTTTACTTTTTATTCTATCGGTGACCATTAACGCCATTTCGCCTGCTGTGACTAACTTCATTTTATAAAGCTGGAGAAACAAGGACGTTGTAGATATTCTTTTCACTGTAATTGATCTTTCATTACAAATTCCTTTTTTTTCCTTCTCCTGAAAGGATGTTGTCTTAAGAAGAAAAAGAAACCTTAATTTGAACTTTTCTTTTTAAAGGACATTTTTCCTATTTCTTCCTCCTTTCTACCATAGCAAACATTTCATTACGATGCAGCCTTTTGGAGAAACAAAAAGACCTTTAACCTTAACGGAGGGAAGACTGGTTTTGACTCAAAAGAGACTAAACTGCCCTCCTACTGGAACACTTCCTTCTCCAAGATCTGCCTCGGTATGAAGCTCGGCCAACAGATCAGGTTTATTGTCATCAACCGGCAAGCGAATTCCTTATACTCTCTGATCGCTGATGGGCAATACCGCGGCACATCGCTGGGTTGTGACACTTGGAAGTCACTGATTGGTTCTGAGGCCTCCTTGCAGCGCAACTGTAACAAGGAAGGATTCAATGCTGTTAGTAAAAGGTCTGCATCTTCCAAAGCCAGAATCGGTATCATTGGTAACCAGCAAGACGATTGCCACTCTTGCAACTCTAGAATTGGATTTGGCACTGGAGGACAACCTGATAATACCATCTCTTGTGGTAACGAGAATTTCCATACTTCAGATAATGGCGAGAAGCATATTAAGGCAATGGGATATATTTTGGTACAGTGAAATGAAACTGATCTGGGCTAATTTGCCCCCTTGGCGCCAAACAAAAGCTAGCTTAACTTAACTCTAGATCCTGTCGTTTTTTTTTGAGGATAAACAAAAGAAAATAAGTAACCATTATACATTAGACTGAAGCATATAACACGGAAAATAAAGGATACACTGGGAAACCAAGATAAAAATCGTTGGCTGTATTTCTCTCAGTTGCTCCTCAAAGTTGGTACGCCCTAACAAAACTATCTCATTTTGAGATTGTATGTGAGTGTTCAGGTTTTACTTTTTTTTTTTGTCATCGTTGTTGTTTTACTTATGTGACGAGAGAATTCATTGTTGTGTAGTTATTTTGCTTTCGCTGATAAAAATATGAAAAGCCAATGTATAAATCCTATATTCTTTAGTTTTAACTTCTTTTAGACATAAACAACGTGTCGATTTATCGAGCGTAAACTTATTTGTCAAGTCATAATTGCTTTTAGTCTTCAAACTCAGTGTAATTTGACCTGCAAAAAAGCCCTTATCCACCTGCGTAGCTTTTGGAAGTAATTAATGTTTCAAAACAAGCTGAGGTTTCCACCAATAGTCTTTTAGAAATGATTGTTGCGCTCTGTAATTTGACTCGTTAAGTTGTGATCTAATCTGTATCGCTTCGCTAGCTTAGGCTTAAATACGAGTGCTTTGTAGGAGCTTCTTCGGTTATATCCTCGTTGCATCTAGTAGCCTTGGTTAGATTTTGGTTGGTTATGTTTTGACTGTACCCGCGGTATAGTCTTGGATTAAAACTTCTACATTAGAGCCAAGTTCTGTTGTGGTCATTGTCTCAAGGGTATTCAACAGGCGTAAAGATTCCGTGCCTTCCCGCAGTCAGCGAGTGTCCCCAGGAAAAGGCCTTTCCCAGAGAGTCTAAAAGCTTTTCGCCCGTTCGTCGGTTACCCTTTTGTAAAGGCAAAACCTGTTTTCACACTTAGATAAGTATTTGAAAAGGGCGAAGTTGGTGATGCTAGTATTAGCTTTTCTACATGACCTGTTTTCCATTAGTTCTTTAAATAAATAAGCGTCCTTGAAGAGTACCACTGTAGTAATGAAAATAAAATAAGGACCGTCCTGTATCGGTAATTAGAAACGGTCAGTGTTAACGTGGAAAAATACAAATTCAGGGAACTGAAGTGTACGCATAGGCTTAAATTAGTCACAAACTAGTGGGTTGGGAAAGTTTTCAGATTGGAATGATATTTCTCAAATTATGATCAATCGGTTCCAGAGGGGACTGAATCGGAGTTTGAACCACGCACTCAAATGATACTTGGAAACCGAATTTGATTCACGAGATAATATTTTATTTAATAAATTCCTAGAGTGATTTTGATTTGGAAGTATATCCCTTGGAAAGGATAGGATGCGGTTGTGTGAATGGTTTCCATCCACGTACTTTTGTGCCCCTAAAATGTCGTGTTGTTTTTTGGGTTCTATTGCTACTTTATTTTTTCATTCATGAGTGAAATTAGAAAATCTGAAATACAATCTCAGTTTAATAATGAGTTTTCTTTGCTAAATCTAATCGACTGCGTTCTTTTTAGATCTAAAATATTTTGCGCATTCAAGGTTCTTGCTGATCCATTAGACGCTCGGACGTCCGGGACCTTTATTGAATTTTGGGACCCACGTGGGGGCGTATAGACAGGAGACTCAAAGGAGGCGTTTATTGACTTTATAATGTAATAAAAGTTGCAAGCTCAACAAAATTTTAAAGAGAATTTATCAAGAGAATTTAAAAATGGTGGAATTTTTGTGTCCATCAATTTTACGTCTAGGGCCGTATACATAGCGATGTATATCAGGAGATCGTTCGAATCTTTACATCGATGTCGGAATCCTGGCTTCGGGTTATTGTGTTTATCATCGTTAGTAAATCCTTACCCTGAATTTAACACAGAACAAGCAAAATGTAATGCGCAGACGAGGTTGCCTATTTACCGAGTCAGGATTTCGAGTTGGGTTTCCAGTTGGATTTTCGTGTTGGATTTTCGAGTTAGGATATTTTTGGCGCGATTTTTTGGCGGGGTTTCCAATAAATTTTCAGTGGTTTTACACAACGTACTCTGTCAGCGGTGTTGCACATCGTCTTGAGGTCTTTTCAAGATAGAGGAGAACGAGGATGGCAGACCGGTAACGGCAATCTTGTTTAATCTATCCTAGTATTGCATTCGTAATTATATTTTTGACTGGACAGAATGGCTTACACTTCAATGAATGCTTTTATTTATGAATTATTCATTAATTGTCGAGTGTCGGCCGGATGTAAACCATTAAAATCTTTCGTAAAATAATGTTTGATTTCAAGAGAATTATACACCAGAAAAAACCTACATGTGATCCCAGAAATGTTACCTGGTTATAATTTTGTTTTCAGAAGCACATGATATATCCAGGGCCGGGTGGAAGTGTCAATTATAGAAATATATAGTATATAAATATAGAAGTCAATGTCACGAGGTGCAAATTATCTAAGGCCCAACGTAACTGGTTTTTTAATACTGCAAGAGCGGTGCAAATATCTTTCTTTAGTAAAATCCAACTTTAGTGGTCTATTATCAATGCTGCGTTCTGATTGGTTGAGCTACTATAGCTACTAGGCTAAAATGTTATAGCCCACTAGTAGCGAAAAGCGCCTGCTTTGAAAACCAAAACAAAGGCGGCTGAATAGCGTTTTCCTAGTTAAAGTTGTTTTGTCTCGATATTTTTGACCACCTAGTTGGATTTTACTAAAACAATTATTCCTCTCGCCCTCATGGCCCCTGAGTCAATAGCCCATGACCCCCCTGTATAACTCATGCATTTCGGGCTGATAGTCCGCTTGTTTTTACAGTAATCTGGTGCTTAATGCAGTTACAAAAAAACTCCATACCTAGACAAAACGAATGATGATACCGAGTCTGGATGAAAAAGAAGTTTCAACACCTGTGTAATTTATCATTTACTTGGGAAAACTGGAGGGGCTGGACATTCCGCTTGTTTGTGTCATTCCAACCTTCAGAGAAGATTTAAGACGAAGTAATTTTTGTACTCTTTTCAGTCTGTTCAGCCGATTTGGATATAATTTGTAGCGGATCGTTCTCAAAATACGTGAAATTTTATTTACCATTTTCACCGAGACCATAATTATACACCTCGTTTGAGCCCCCCCCCCCATTTTTCATCACCATTGTTTCCAATTTTTTCACCTCTTAATAGAGTCGTCCCAAGAGAAATCGAAGAAAAGGGTTGTACCAAATTTGGGGGTGTAAACAAGGTACGTTATGGTCTCGGTGAAAATTTTCAATAGTTTTATATCTATGCACCAGATTTCCACCTGGGTGGTTTGTGTAAATGGTAATTAAAGCATCTCTCAGTTTCCAAAGATTGTTTACTAACTATGCAATACAACAGACGCGCTGATCAGACATAACAACTCAGGTTTGATTGATATTCTTATTAGTCTGGCTGCCAGAAGCGACACACACAATTGAAAAGAAATTCATAGATAATTAAAATTTAATATTGCATATAATTTAAAGGTTTTTGAGAACACCTATCGCTTTAGAAAAAGACTCAATATTTTACAGTGTTTGTCAGGTTCCTCAATTTCACGGAGTTCTCCAACAGTCTCTCCCCACTAATCGGCGATGTTCTCTTTTTACTTTTGCTCGTTTTCCCTCATTCCGTTGTTTTCTGTGATTCCTAATGCGGCTTCTGCTCAATGGAAGGTTAGTTTTCTTTTATTTATATAGAAGGACATAGACTGACATGACTTCTTGTGCTTTGTATGTAACATGTGACTTTCCTTGGTAACTAAAAATTCCGGTGAGTGCGTTAAAGAGATTGTATCAGAGCTCCGATCTAAGTGAGGGCTGTGGATGTAAACTATGTTTTCTTTTAAAGACACCATGGTTAAAATGCAAAGACGCTTCTGCCCTTGGAAATGAAAATAGCACTAGTCACTCGGGGGGAAAACTTGCCAAACAATTTGGTTTGGTCATCGTTAAAAATTGTCTCTCCATTCACGACTCAGACTCAGTAGTGAGAAAATTAAGAAGTGGAAAAAAATTGTTATTGTCATCGTGAGACGATTGTCTTCCCCTAGCTAGTTCTTTATTCAACAGCTTAAGTACTGAAACTTCTAGCAGAGACATTTTTTAAGTGTCAAGAGCTGCAGACGGGCTACATGGGTTTCCATTCCTTACCAAAACCACCCCACCCCTCCATTGCTAGGCAGGCTTGTTACGCCAGCTGGTACCTAAAACAAACGACTCCACGGCTGATTGCTTAAACCACGATGGGTAAATTGAGGTTGCAAAAAAGGACATTTCTTAATCCAGCCTACTTTAAATGAGTGACAGTGCTCATAACCTAAAAAAAAATATTTTCAACTGAAAGTATACATTTGTTGTGGAGTATTTTGAAAGTTATTTTTAGACAGATCTATCTTATCTTTTAAGTTTAGTTTTTGATCTTTTGTTTTTACTTGTACTTTATTTAATTCACGCTTAGCTCGTGAATTTTTTTCAGTTACCATATTCGGAATGTTATTCGCTTGGCATTCTCAGATGTTAGTTTTTTACAGGTGGTCGTGCTTGTGGTGTTAGAGCTGACCTTCGTTCTTTAGTACTTATCAGTTGCGACTGTGCGTAGGCTAATGTATTCCCTAACAATAGGAACCTGTTGCAATGTTAGCGATAAGATATACAGACATGTCCAGTTTTGGCTATTAAAACTGCTACTATACTTGAACTAGATGACAAAATCAGAGATCCGAGACAAACAAATATGTTTCCTGAGCATTATTTTTGAAGTTGCAAGCAGAAGGGATCAACTTTGAAAAACTGTTAGGCTGAACAGTTTTCAAAATCCCTAATTTCAATCAGTTTCAACCTCAGTTTTGCCCATCCGTGGCATCTGTTGTTTCTGTTGGGTTATTTTAACCTTGCTTTAAAGTTTTAAGAGGCTATTTTTATGTTTCTCCCAATTTAACGGGCATTTTGTAATTTCCTAATTTGGCTGAATTTCGTGACACAGCTCCTTTAAAATGAGAGATTATATGGACAGGCGGGTTAACCCGCCTACGCGGTTTACCTCACCTTACTGGGGTCCCCCACCTCCATGTAAACAGGCCCTAAGAAATGTGCCCCAAAGTGTGATGCACGTGCGGAGCTGTTATTTTTTCATTACACAAATTGTTTTCAGACGTTCGGTCGTTGCCGCCATCGTCTATAGGCTGCTTCAAACTTAATAAATCTTAATCAGTTTTAAAGCTCACAAAAAGTATGATTTATAGAACTACATGACTTTAAACAGTCGGGGCCACAACCAGATCTGGATATGTAATTTCCTGCAATGTGATTGGTCCAGAATGCAACCAACACATTGATTTGACCGCGAAAGGACTAAGTTCGACAGAAATGTCGCAGCAAAGAGCGCTATGGCTGGGATGTTCCTTGAAGAAAATGAACAGCATGTACTACCAAACCGATTAATCGAGATGATTTTATGCGTCTTGGCGTTCGATTTACAAATATCAAGATGATAATGATCTAGGAAGGTTTCTGTAAAAACGCCTGGACTTCTGATATCAACAGGCCCGAAGCAACTGAACGACACGGATCGAAAGGGAAGAGTAGGGAATTTGAATACTTGAAATACTGATACATTTTAAGTGGAAAGGTATAAAGAAGTCGTGTTTGGAGTACTTTTTGCGAGCACTGCTTCAGCCTTGAGTAGTATGCTTTATGCTTCTTCGGGAGCAATTGCAAGTTTTCAGTGTCATGCCATTCAAAATAGATCAAAATAAAAATCAAAACCATTCGACAGATAAAGCCCAGAATCTGGGAAATGAAAGGGGATAAATACACAAAGACCCTCGCCAAGATTTGGGTCGAAGGAATAATTCGTATACGAGATATCCCAGGAAATGTTTTACCCAAATTTATAGAGCTTTGTATGGAGACGCCATGCTGGAGTTCATCCGGATGAGCTCCAACATGGCGGACGGAAACCAACAGAAACATCTTTTGCCGAGTTTTGCTACAAAAGCGTGAATTTACTCCTAGAGGAACTCATAAACATTAAAGTAATACTCTTTCTAATGCTTGAACTGTTTAGATAGCAAAATTCCTCGAAAAAAGTTACTTTTTTAACCTAAATGACAGCTCTCTCGGCCGTAATGTAAATGCTGCGTCACGCAAAAGCTTAGAAATTCAAGCGTACTCTATTACAAAACCAAGAACCCTTTTGAAGCGAAAATTTGTTTGAAAATTAGTTTTCAGCTGCTCTAATACACCATGAAAGTAAAATCTCAGTTGGATCGATAGTTTTTTATTTTGAATTTTAGTGACGTCATGTGAAAAACAACAATACCATACGCGCTAAAATCTAATTCCGATCGAAGGAGTGCTGGATATCAATTTTCAATATTTCAATCGTCAAACATCTTCGATTAATATGCGAAGGTAAAAAAAATAAATGAAATTTCTGTAAATTGCACTCGCGAAGGGTCGTAAACAGTCATTAATCATTCTCTGTCTTTTCGTGGTGCAAAACCCCATTGCGGATGAAAATATTAAAATACCATTCACCAGTTCAGAGGTGGACTTTATCGTGTTCTAACAGCATTAAAGTGGGGTGGTAGGCCTACACGAATTTTGACTCATGCCAAAATGCTGCTTGTCTCAATTAAGTTTTTTTACTCTTCTGGGTAGATTATGATCTGGAAGATTGTACATTTTCACTGAGATTTTAGCCGCTTGTTGCACACTGAGAGGTCATGGCACACACATCGATTTACTGTGGTTTTTGTATCTGGTCTGAAGGATTTTCCCTCTCATGCAAGAGCATTTTCTGTGACCTCAGTTTTTGAAGCGTAAAGCATTTTATTTCGGCTGAATAAGGGTTGTAATTTTCTCCAAAGTGCCTTCTAGATCTGAATAACTAAGCGATTTTTGTTAGTCCGTGAATGTAAATAAAAAAGTTGTTTTTTTTTTTTGCAGTGTTGTATCACGCTGTGAGTTTTCTTTGCAGGATGTTAAATTATCACGGATAGTGATTTATAGATACTAAATTATAAGAATTAAGTGCAGCTTCAACTGAAGCTGCATCAAATATGGAGAAATGCATTGTGACTCAGTAGACTCCAGCTTGGTGTTTTTCTATAAATGCGAGTCTTCTGACTGGAGCGCGCATTCCCATCCTTGACAATAGCTTTTGAATAAGCCTAACAGTGTTTGAACTGTTTTGTTATTGCCACTTTGTGATCAGGCAAGACCATGGTTACGGTTCTCCACGAACAAACTGGCGGCATCTTTTTGCCACAAAAACAAGGTGCTTTTGCTTTTCCATCCGACTGCAAGATAACATAAAATAAACATTGCGTTACAATGAAAAGCGGCAGCACGTGAACGGTGCAACTGACTGTTGCTTCTTCCAAAGCACAGCACTATTTGAATTCGCTATGCACTACACCAAAAAGACCACCACCAACAGGCAAATTTTATGTAGATTTCAAAAACTTTTTTTTCAAGGATCAGAAAATTGAAACTCACCTTCTTTTTTAGATGTTTTGCGCCTTGTCCGGCATTTCTTTGAGCTGAAAAACTCTCGTTTTCGGTCGTTTTGCCTCCCAAGAACGCACAAACGTTAATCGGACGGCATTTTTTCTTCACACCCCTGATTTCTCGCTGTCTAAAGTCACAGCTCTCAAATTAGAATGGGGAAAAGACACTTATAGGTGCAGCAAAGAGCCTGGAAGTGACCTTCCCCTGTGTTTCTCGGCGAGGGCGCCATTTTGCAAATGTGGGTGACGTCATCATCTATCCAGATCTGGTAGTGGCCCGGACTGTTAAAAGTCATAAATATCAAGTACCTAAGAACTGCCAGAAAAATACTTAATTCCATCAGAAAATAATTCGCTATTTTTCTTCCCCTGACCTCTTTACTTTAGCTACGTTTTTTAGTTTCAGCTCACTTAATGCGTTCCACTTTAAAAGCCATTCTTAAAGCCAGGAACTCCCTAAATTAAGAGATTTCTAATATGCACGACCCATGCATTCTAAAAACGTAAATTAAACCCTTCATTCTTTCTCTTCAGAATTTACCACCATGTATCATCACAGTCTTCGTCAAGATGTTTTTATAAAGGACGAGTACCATTATTTAAGCGTTTCTAAAGTTGGAGCGTTTACAGTGTATGACAGCCTTGACTGCACCTTTGAATGCCTCGGCAATCCTTCCTGTCTGTCCTTCAACCTGGCAGCTTCCAAAGGAGCAGATGGAAAGTTGCGGTGTGAGTTGTTATCCTCAGAAAAGTACAGCAGTCCTGAGGAATATAAAAGGAACGAGAGTTTTCATCACTTTTCCATCAAGGTGGGGTAAAATCTTTGCACAGAGTTTATTAAAGTAAGATATTTTTTGATATCCCAGTCTATGCGACTTTTAATAACCTGTCACGAACACTAATCGACGTAGAAGTGACTACTGCACGTAACAAGTCGGGGTTATTCAGTCGAATGTCACTTTCTCCTTTTTTTTTCTTACTTCTGCCATCAACACTTTTACGCAAAACGAAATTACCTTAATTATATGGCATTTGACATCAACCTTTTCTTAAACTATTTCAGACTCCATGTATGTCATCACCTTGTCAGAACGGAGGCACCTGTGTAGCGAACTATAAGTATCACTCGTTCGACTGCCGTTGCAAAGAAGGGTTCTATGGAGAATTTTGCGAAGAAGGTAATTGATATTCAGACCGGGACCCCCGTTCAAGTTAGGACAACCAAACTTAGCGGCTTTACCTAAAATTTATCTTGGAAAATTTTAAAGGCGTTGTGACGTGTACGTCAACATTGATGTTACCATGGCAACCGAGTTTTGACAGCCATGGTTTTCAGAATTTGCTTTTTCTCTAAGCAAAATAGGTTTAAATTCATTTCTTTTTTAACTGATTGATTTATTACGTTATCTACTTCTTTTTTACAGTTGCCAAGTCCTCATGCCAAGATGTTTATAATCAGCTCACAGAAAAGTGGGTAAACCTATGCATAGTAATTTAATTGATGAGGATAGATCACTTAAAGTCCGGGGGATCATTCGGAGTGCGTCAGTACTGTGTTTATAAGCCAAAAATCAGCCGTCAGGCCTCAAAAACGGAATACAATTGTGTTGCAGGGAAAGTCGATATCACTTAATTAATTGTACATGTTAGAATTCGTATCGTGGCTGATGAATTCTATTTCAGCCTTTGTTCTCCACTCTGGAAACTTAGGGTTATTAGAGACCTAAACTTGTAAAAACTGTTGAATTTTTAAAACAAATGATTGGTACTGTTAAGATAATAAAAACCATAATCTGTGAACACCACCATCCTGCAATGAAGGCCCTCCAGCAAAAAAAGTTGTTGATGAAATGCGGTTGAACCCCGCCGTTTCGTTTAATACGAACACCCGTATAAAACGAATGGTTCGTTTGTACCGACAAAAGTTCAGATATTTCAGTGCTCATAAGTAAACCTGGTTAATATGGAAAACAAACACTTTTCTTGTGTCCCGAGTCCCAAACTGTCATATAATAATTATCGTAAACTCCCCCGGAAGGTCCTCAATTAAGTTTTATAGGGCAAGCTTAGCCCTGGGTCTAACTCCTTACGTTTTATGCCCATCATTTTTGCAGAAAAGGTACTCCTTTCGTATACCATTCCATTCGTCTCTAATGGTTAAAGGTTCGAGTGGCTTGTTGCAGGCACTTCATCCCCAGGGGGTACTCAACAAATTTTTACGGTGATAATCCCTGCCCCGAGGTCCACGTCCTTACCTTTTCACATACCTTTTGGCGGTTGAGGGGTGGAGTGGCTTGTTACAGGTTGAGGGGTGGACTCAACAAATTTTTACGGTGATAATCCCTGCCCCGAGGTCCACGTCCTTACCTTTTCACATACCTTTTGTCGGTTGAGGGGTGGATTTGTTAAGGCATTTATCCCCAGAGCTCAGACCATACAAGGGCCAAAATGAGGGGCCAATGAAAAAGACTACCTTATCAAAATCAAACCTGCACGCTATTTTAATTGGAGTTTTTTTTTTTTAGTAACAAAATCGTATTAACCCACAGAAATCTGTAATTATTTGAAAAAGGTTCATTGTATGCAATTAGTGCGTGGTTGTGACAAGGAAATAGACCGTGGCAGCTATAGGTAGCCAGTGGTCACCAGTGTCCATAAAGCGGGGTTGACGACATGAGAATTTAAGTCTTCGGAACACAGAAAAGTGTCCGTTCTCCGTCTCAACCGTTGTCCTTATTAAACGGGTTGGAGAAAGTACGTGAGCTTCAATAATTAAAACATGCAAAACTGACTACTGAATATCTGTGTAACATGTTCTGAGTAGTTGTCAAGAAAAACCAATCCAAGTCTTACATGTAGCTCGCGGGTAAAACAGGGGTCCTTTGCCGTCAGATGGGAAAAACATCATGCGCACCTTTTTCGCGGTTTTTCGGTCGCCCCTTTCGCCTTCCCTCTGAACATCTGCTACACTGTTTAGCCATCTTCGATGTCCGAATTTAATTGCTACAGAACACTTTAGTCAAATACACTTTATTAAAGTTAGGTGAAGAGCAGCACAGCTTGGTATTATAATGCAAAAATAAATATCAACCTGTGCTTGAGGTGAAATTATATCAGTCCAAAGTACATTAATCGTGTAGTAGCTCCTAGTAACATGATGGGGAACCTGACAAATTTAGATTTGACTGAGATTGTACTGAATTCCATTCATTTATTTTTGTAAGAAAAAGAGAACCTTTTTTTTTTTTTACAACCAGTTAAGGTACATTCCATTTTTTTCTCTCCGACAGTTGGGAGCTGGAAAAATTAAAATGAGATTTCATTTTGTACAGGTTGAACGTGAGTCGGCTGGTCACTCTTCTCCTTGACTCCAAACTAGTTTCAGTTCTCTGTCACTTTGGAAATTTTGGATGCGGAGATGGAGGATGGACACCGGTCATGAAGATGGACGGCAACAAGGTAAGACATTTGTGTACGTTTTCCCTTAGTTTGGCGACGAGAGTAGAAAAAAAAAATAAATACAGGTTTGCCTCTGTCAGAGGTAATTTTCAACAGGGGCACCCAACGAGGATATAGTTCAAAACCACTTAACATAGCATTGTTGAACGTATTTTAGTATTCAAACGGTTTGATATAGGCATATTTTTTCTCGTTGGTCCCTCTGAAAATTTAAGTTTCATCTGTGTTCGGATTTCATAGCTGAAAATCTAGTTATCCGAAAATGATAGGGATAAAAAATTATACCTTTTTTCATTCTATCGGTGACCATTAACGTCATTTTGCGTGCTGTGGCTAAATTGTCATTTTATAAAGCTGGAGAAGTGAGGACATTGCAGATATTCTTTTCATTGTAATGGATCTTTCATTCTTTCTTTTTTCTTCTCCTGAAAGGATGTTATCTTTAGAAGAAAAAAGAAGCTTAAATTTCAACTTTTCTTTTTAAAGGACATTTTTGCTATTTCTTCCTCCTTTCTACCACAGCAAACATTTCATTACGAAACAGCCTTTTGGAGAAACAAAGAAACCTTTCACCCTGACGGAGGGAAAACTGGGTTTGACTCACAGGAAACCAAACTTCCCTCCTACTGGAACACATCCTTCTCCAAGATCTGCCTCGGTATGAAGATCAACAACCAGACCAATTTTATTGTCATTAACAAGCAGGCGAACTCCTTGTACTCTCTGATCGCTGATGGGCAATATCGCAGCACCTCACTGGGTCGTGACAAGTGGATGTCACTGATTGGTTCTAATGCCTCATTGCAGCTGAACTGTAAAAAGGAAGGGTTCAACGCAAAGTGTACCTTGAGTGGTCGTTCCAAAGCAAGAATCGGTATTCTCGGCAACGATCAAACAGATTGCCATGAATGTAACTCCAGATTGGGGTTTGGGAGTGAAGGGAACTACGATGATAGGCGGAATACATGTGGAAATTTGGATAACCACAAAGGAAAAAGACTGAGCATCAAGACAATGGGGTATATCCTGGTGCAGTGATAACAATGCTCCTTTACATGTCTTTGAGCGAGTAGTGGGAATATGTTATACCCGAAGCATATAAGCCCGATTCGGGTTATATGCTTCTGATTCTTCACAGTCCCTTTAACGATACCTCATCGTTACGATGATGAGTAGAAATAAGTTTAGTTATAGACAAACATTATACACGTCTAGACCTAACGTTTTTTTCTGTCGAGGCATGTGAACAGACAACCAGTGGAGATCATGTTTGTAATGTTTGTCCAAGAATGTTAAAGAGCGGTTCTTGGTGTGTATAAAAGTAGAAGTGCTCGGATAATTTGTTCTCCTATTCCTTGCCATTGAAACCTGTGGAATTGAAGAAACGTTTTTAACAAGAACTTAAATCTAAACGTTTCTCAATGTAAGAAAGCTACTTAAAAACGAAGAAATATATAATAATAAACTAATATAATAAACTTTATTTCTCAAACTGCGATCATATCCAGTGGTTGCACAAAAGACTGAATCAGATTTAAGGCAGCCAACCGGTCTGAGGGAGGCACTTTAGGACTGAGACTGTTGCTACACACAGATAGTCCGTTGGGAAGACTGATGTGTGATGGGTTGAAAGTGATAAAAGAGGCAGTGGCGATTCCCACCAACAAAGACACGTCCCCTACACTGTTCCAATAGTAATGTAGGTTGTTTAACCTCACCTTCAAATTTTAAAATACCGTATTTCCTCGAATAATAGCCGTCCCTCGATTAATCGCACCCCTCGAATCAATTACCCCTCTTAGACGGAAATATTGAAGACAGGCTCCTCCCTCGAATAAACGCCCACTCTCCACCTCTCTCGCCATCTTCTCTTTCTGTTATACCCTCCCGGTCAACTTGAAGTGGCGTCTGATCCAGCAGAATGATCAGTGACAATTCAATTAAGTTCTGATAGAGGATATTGACGCTGAAAATTAATCAAGGAACCAAATTTGGAACGCTTAAAAAGACCATGTTCAGTTTTTCTGATGTGATCATTTTTCGATTTAATGGGATAATAAAACAAAAGGACACGACTTCCAAAATTTTGAATAATCGCCTCCCTCGAACAATCGCCTTGTCTCCTCGAATAATCGCCCCCGGCTATTATTCGAGGAATTATGATAAATGAGGGAAAAATTAATGAGACGAGGCAAACGGCTTAATGACACCGCCAAATAATGCTGTCATCTAACCTAAGTCATGGTCACTATACACGGCCAGCATTATCTTGCCAGCATTTTGCTTATTATTAGCAAATCTGAGCTAACAGGCCGAGAAGTGGTTACATGCATGCATACAAGACAGCGAAGGAGGAAAGACGTGGGCGAGCGAGGAGCACCAGACGCGCGCGTATCTCACGCCACTCGCACGAAAAACGCGAAAAACCAGTACCTGTTCTACAGGCTGATAATAAGAAAACAGGAAGAGGTACTGAGATTTTAGAAAAGAACAGGGACAGGGCGCTTTCTTTATAATGGGCTCGTGTTTGTAGCACCACTTCACAACCTTTGGAGATGTAGATGGATTCTGACAACAGTAATAAGCGGTATACAAAAATAATGATACACGACGCAGACGTAGTATAGAGTGTTTTCACTAACGTGGCCAGCATCTATGCAAATTTATTAGAACAAAAGAAAGCGTTTGCATAAGAAAAGAGTTCAACTCCCACAGGATTGGTTTGGGACACCATTTGGCCGTCGTTTCATTGTTTTGGAACACCAATATGGCCGCCGTGACGTCATGTGAAAACACTCTATAGTAGTAAGGAGCATAAGCAAAGACCACGGCTACGAGCTCGAGAACGCCACTTAATTAAAAGGTGCATTCGCTCTGCCTCGAACGTTTTCGTGCTCATTCCATCTCGTTTAATTTGTTAAATGATGGCAAATTGTTTTTGGAGTTGAATTCTGAGGACGGTATCAAAGTTCAGGAAAAGAAAAAAGAAAAGAAAGTTGTTGTTTGTGTCCCCGTCTTCGACAAAAGGTGAAATTAGACACTTTCACGTTATAGTCGTGTAACAAGGTGCAAAGTTGTTGTTTTGCCAATCTAAACCTATTGCTTTTTTGCCTTTCTCGTTGCCGTCGCCGTCGTCGTTGCTTAACAGGCTTAAGCTCCCTAATGATGACTGCTTTTGTTTTTCGTTTTTGTAGAAATCAGAAAAAAAAGTGTGAAAGTAATCAAGATCTGTAAGGGAACGGGGAGGGGGATCCTGCAGTCCCACATTCCCACTTCCAGGGTTTTTTACGAAAATACCGCATCTCGTCATTTTTTCATCGCTTTTCCAAATCTCCTTGGTTGTTTCCAAAAAAACAATGCTTTAAGTAAGAATAATTGTTGCATTAGGCATCAAGTCGTTAACTGGCATGGTACGCTATTGCGCCACGCGCCCTTCCCTAAGACCTTGCAACCATAAGACTCGCTATCATGCTGAATTTATATTAATAAATCGAAAGTGGCTAATTGAAACAATGGGTTTCCTGTTCGCTTTTGATTATTTTTTTTAGTGTCAATTAGAAAATTATTAACATTGGAAACCATGCACAACCTACAGATTAGTTAGTTATCTGCTAATCTACCACCCAGTGCTAGCAGATAACTAACTGTACTTTGCGTTGATTTCCAAAATTAACTGTAACTGTAGGGTCTTAAAGCTTGGCCAAGGAGCAAATAGACAGTAAGTGTAATGTCTAATAATTCAATTAAACAAAAAAGGGTTAAAAATCCCAACGGCCGGCAAACCAGTTGGCTATTTACAAGCGTTATCGAGGGTTTGAACTAGGGACTACCGACAGCGAGAATCCATCTCGAAATACTGTTGTTTCCAGGACAAAAAACAGTTTTCCATATTCTTAAAAATAATGGTAATTTTATTTTTTGCTGAGTAATATTGCACAGTCTCTCATTCTGGAATTTTTCGCTGAAATGATTCGAACCATTTCTACGTTCAAAAACTCATAAGTGATTCATAGCGAAAAACAAAAGAAATTTTATGTTTAACGAGTGTCTTTATATTCGATAAAGATGCGGTTAAACTGTACGTCCAAGTTTTTATAAGACCAAAATAACCCCAAATCTACGTATTAGTGCAAGAATCAGTTGATATATATCAGAGATTTTGAAGCCGTTCAAAATACTCGCGGAAGTGTATTACCAGGTGTAAAAACTCTCGGCTTCGCATCGAGTTTTTAAACCTGATAATACACTCCTGCTCGTTTTTTAAACTGTACGTAAAACCGTCATGTTAACCCAAGCGATTTAATTCAACGATATGGTTCATTTTTAATAAACATTTAAAAATCAACAGTAGTCGACAAATAATTTTCAATATAAATTATCTAGCGCTATCAGGCGTCTTTGCCAACTGTGATAATAGGAAATTCTAGCCACGACGAAGGCGACAGCAACGAGAACGTCAAAAAAAAACATTAGGTTTATCGAGCAAAACAACAAGTTTGCTTTTGTGTACATTTCTTTGCCTTTGTGCTCGACTACGACGTGACAATACCTAATTTTACGTTGTATAGAGGATTTTAGTCGCTGAAAAACTCTATATTTTGCAAGAGCGGCGCAAATATCTGTCTTGAGTAAAACCCAACTAGTGGTCTGTTATCAGTGCTACGTTCTGATTGGTTGAGCTACTACTAGGCTATATGTTATAGCCCAACAGTAGCGAAAAGCGCCGGCTTTGAAAACCAAAACAATGGCGGCTGAATGGCGTTTTGCTAGCTTAAGTTGTTTTGTCTCGAAACTTTTGACCAACTAGTTGGATTTTACTGAAACAATTATTCCAGTACCCATTCGGGCTCGAGGAATAATTGTTAATTAGAAAGGGTGAAAACGGTTTTAGCTTTGCCGCACAAGATTAAACTCTCTTTCCTTTTCACCTGTTTGAAGTCTTTTCGTGAGTTTATACACGGTACTCGCTGTCAGTAAATTTTTCAAAATGCTGCACTTCAGGTACGATTTCTTAGGTAAAGCTGTTCTGCTTCTCAAGGAGTTTAAGAGTCTCCTCAGTTTTTTAACCAATTTTACCGGCAAGAGAACGGGGTATACAATTAACCAAAATATAATTCTTTGGTGCTAGAAAGTATGGGTACGAAGACGAGAGTGAAAAAAAGCAAAATATAAATTATGTTTTATAAACAGATAAACGTAAACACTTAATAACCTTTCTGCATGTCTCTTGAAGTCTGGAACTTCCTTCAAAGGGTGATATTTGAACGCATGTCACCGAGACCAAAAACAAACAAAGTTTTCAGTATGGATTAATCAAGAGGTTAAATTTGGTAGTAGAAACATTACGGAAACACAAAGGAAGACATATTTTAATAAGCATTGTTTAAGTTAAGTTAGGACTTCTTTTCAAAGGAATTTCAATTCTGACGTTTCCCGCATGTGACAATCCGTTAATTTGAGTAACGTTCCTTTGCTTATTACATACCCGTCACATACATAGAATTACATTCTTTATTGAGACTCCCTTCAACAGGGCTTTTCAATGTTAACTATTACATGATGTAATAATGTTGTACTGCATGTTAACTATTACATGTTAACTATTACAACGATGGAATTCCCAAGGACTTGTTTTCGTGCAGTTGCGATTCGCTCGACCCCGCAATAACACTTCTTAAGCACTTCGGCCCTGGTGCTCTTATGAGTAAACTGGACCTCTCTGACGCCTTTCGCGACGTCCTTTTTCATGACGGGGACTGGGAACTACTCGGATGCACATGGCCGGTGAAGATTGATGGTACCGTTGTTACTGGTTATTTCTTTGACACTTTTTGTCCTTTTGGTCTTTGGAGTTCGCCCGCTCTATTTCTAAAATTCGTCGACGGGCTCAAGTTTGTCATGTCATTTCTGGACTTGCGGCCCGCCTTCTCCTTCTCCATACTGCCAGAATTCGCTTGATGTTAAGCTGAGAACGTGCGATGAGCTTGGTTTCAAAATCAACCCTGAAAAAACAGTTCAACCGAACACGAACTTAATCCTCCTTGGAATCGAATTAGACTCACTTGCTCAGGAATCATGCATTGACCAAGCTTAAGCTCGACTAACTGAAAATTTACACATGTTGGATAAATGGTCGTCCCTTAAACATTGTACTAAGCGACAATTACAATCTCTGATTGGAAAGCTTCAATTCATTTGTTCTGTATGCCGCCCGGGAAGAACCTTTCTTCGCCGCATGATCGACTTACTCCTCAAGGCCACACACCCTTCTCATCGCATCCGCTAACCGTGGGCTTTCGTAAGGATATTCACTGGTGGCAGACCTTTCTTATCTCGTGGAACGGCCGTAGTTTCTTCCACGCGGACGCATGGATGTC